TTGCAGGGATCGAGGTTAGCTTTCTTAATTAATAGTCTAATTACTGCTAGTTTAAGATATTTTGGGATGTATCCAAGGCTAAGAGAGGAGTTTATTATTGAGAGAATAGGCTTGGTTATTTCTGGCAAAATTTCCTTGAGTAAACCTGTAGGAATCAGATCCAACATACAAGCAGGTGATTTTGCGGAAGAAACGATTTTAACTATATCACTTTCTTGAAGTAAAGTAAATGATTCCAGCCTCTCTGCAGGGATCATAATATTCTCAGGATTGAGGCTGGCATTATGGGGAAGCAGGTTTGTAGATTTTAACTGGGCATTCTGAATTTTCTGCCTAATGTTTTCAATTTTATCACTAAAGAAGTTCATAAAATCATTGCTGCTATAGGCTAATGGTATCTGGGGTTCAGTTTTGTTCTCTGTTATTTTAGAGATTGTGCTGAAAAGTAATCTAGGATTATTTTTCTTGTTTTCTATGAGGGAGGAGAGGTAGGCTGAGCGTGCTGTAGCAACTGCTCTTCTATAGTCTATAAGGCTCTCCTTCCAGGCGGACTGGAACACTTCTAGATTAGTCAGGCGCCATTTTCGCTCTAGTTGTCTGGCAGTCTGTTTTAAAGCCCGAGTATTATCATTATACCAAGGGGTGAGTTTTTTTTTTTAAGAGCTTGGTCATAATATCTAACTCGGTAGGATCAGATGGACAGCTGACAGAAGCTGATAATTGTGGAAGGTTTCTAATAAAGCTACCAGCTGTGGAGGAAGTTATTGTCCGCTTAACATGATAACATGGTGATGAACGCATATTACCACTAAAGTGAATTTCATATGAGATTAAGTAATGATCTGAGACTGCTGTGCTCTGGGGGAGAATGGCTAAGTTATCTATGTCTACACCAAAGGTCAGTATTAAGTCTAGAAACATCAAGGTAACATCCTTAGGCAACTCTAAACTTGTAGAAGTTCTCGTACACACCTGATTCAGCTGAAGGGCTGGAGAACTGAACGAGAGAACGGTTTGTTAAACTCGTTTGATGAATTTATTATACACCAGTGTTCTTATCACCAAATCCACAGTTTAAAGCCAAACTTGTTAATTGATAACTAGCCGACTTGGTTACAGCACAACTGCCTTGTGGTGCCCCATGAACCTCTGAACTTTGACCCACAAAAGAGTACAAGGCTGATATACAAAACAGGGTCAGTCTACTATTGTGGTGGAAACTCTGAAGCCATGAAAAGAATTATTCACACAAAGCTAATAGACTTAGATTCTTGGCTGTGTTCCTAAATTAACAAGCAAAACAGATATTATATTAATTAATTTATATATTTATTCATTTATTTATTTAATTTTAATGATGTTTTAGATATGTTGTGCATGAAAAACAGCATGGCTAATTTTATTTAGCACAATAATTTTGTTTTTAAAAAATGCATTAAAAATTTCCCATGTAAAATCATTTTATAAATATCATTTTATTTTGCTTTTCCCAAGATTTTTTGTCAGTGGTGTTACAAAAGATAATTTAAATTTTGAATAAGTATTAAAATAAAAAAGAAGGTCTTTTTAATGTATTTCTTTTCTATGTGTAGCTCATAGAAAGAAAAAAAAAACTGAGAAGTCTATAGTTAGTGAGACACTGATGATGATTTTAACATATTTTATGACACATTCATGTGACAGAATTGAAATAAAACAACATGAATGCAATGTCTATATTTTAGAAAAGTTCAGGTTTGAGTCATTATGTGAGTTGTGTTAGTTTTATTGATAACACCACTGACAAATTACACTAGTACATAAAAAATAATGTCTAAAAAAAAAGATATATATATATATTGTATTATTTTAATTTTTATTATTTTAATTATAAAAGTAAGTGCAGCTGAAAGGCAGCATCTCTACAGACAGGGATTGTTAGTTGATGGTATGTGGAGGTGTTGCCTTTCTGTTTTTAGTGGTAGGTTCTGTAGCATTTTCACTGTGACAGAGATGTAGTGACAGATAATGTAGTTTTACTATTTCATAGCTTTATGATAGGTAGTCTTACAAATGTCTACACTTTTACCAGTCTTAGCATCAGTAAGCAGGTGAACACTTTTACCAATCTTAGCATCAGTAAGCAGGTGAACACTTTCACCAATCTTAGCATCAGTAAGCAGGTTCAGTTACACACAGTTTGATATTTAATGATTTTTATGTTTCTACCATTTCTGGTCTCACTGTTGAGTCTGTTGAGGTTCATACATTTGTTGCATTTTATGTTTAATGTGTAAAATTAATAAGTAGGTCAAGTCATAGAAACTGCCATTGGTGTAAAATGTGGTCATTATTTTTACATACATTACTGGTCTGGTGTTTTTGACTTTGACTTTTCAATATATGCAAAGTGGCAAGTAGATGTATTTAACGAAATAAGGAGCAAATTAAAATAATTCTTTAATTATAAAAGTTACTTATTTGCTGCAAGATGTCCTAAAAAAAGTAAGAACACTCATAACACCACTGATTAACAGTGAAGCACTGTTTTAAAATGCTGTAAAAACAGCATAATTTTTAAGCTCCCCTTTTTTGTATATTTAGAATGAAGGAATGTTGCTGAATATACAGTGTAGGTCCGAAAGTATCCAGACACCCATCCAATGAGTTACTTCAAGTATTTAATGTGCACCCATTGCTGACAGAGACATTCAGCTGCACATATACAGCTTGTATAATCTCCTTAGAAAAGCATTGCTAATGAAATGGGACGCTCTGGAGCATCCACACATGAGCCTATGGTTGCCTTGCCCAATGTCAAGCATCAGCTAGAGGGGTATAAAGCCCCCAACAATGGGCTGTGGAGCAGCGGAACTATGTTCTCTGGAGTAATGGAGCTCCGTCCAATGCATCCAATACACCCAATACATTAGTTGGAGTGGCCTTTGTGATCTAGAACTAATCATCTTGTGGCTGAATGCAGTCAAATCCTGACAACAGTGTTCCAACATCTAGTGTACAGAAGAATAGAAGAGTGTTACTGCAGCAACACCCAATTAATACTCTTGATTTCAGAAGAAACACAGGCAAGAAGGTATGTAGAAACTTTTATAGTGTATATGTGTAGTGTACATGTATAGTGTAACAGACTACATTTTAAATTCAGTTGCATATGAATATATATTTTTTTTAATATCGCATCTCGTTTGTCACTGCAATGGTCAATTGATCCAACTTTTTTTTTCATTAATTTCTACATTTGACCAGTACAATCCTCTGTTTTCTCTGGTTGAACAGAGATTTTCAAATTAGATCAATTTCACTGTTAGCAAGTTGCAATTAACATGTATTTAAAAGTTGTGTCTTTATCCCCCTGCAGATCCTGTACCAAACAAATCAGAGAAGTATGTCATCATCACAGGCTTTGACACTGGCTTTGGAAACCTCCTGGCCAAACATCTGGACACACTGGGTTTGCTTTGTAATTCCTGGCTGCTATACAGAGGAAGGAGAGGATGAGCTAAAGAAGGCCTGCTCACCTAGACTCTGTACTGTCCAGTTAGATGTTACTGACAATGAGAGTATCAAAAAACAGAAGACATAATTAAAATGTTATTAAGACATTGATGAGATAGAGGTAAGAGATGATGTCTAACTTTTTTGCTGTTCACTCCATACTTGAGTTTGGGGTTATGTAAAGTCAAGTTAGACTGTTTTTTTTCTTCTAGGCACAAAAAGTTACTGCATCCTGTGATGCAATGAGATTGAGCTATAACGAACGTGTAAAACTAGGCAATTTTACAACTGACACCCTACAGAGCACGCAGCAGTGCAGTACTGCTTCATCTCTTCAAATAATCATTTGGTTTAAGACTCGTTTCACAAGTTCTAACATAGAGTTATTTGAATGCAGTGTATTAGCCTTCACTCACTGAAATACAGTAGTGTGTTATGTGTGTGTATGCATGTGTGTGATATTCAGGTCTATAGGCTGTGGTAAGCAAGGCAGAATCCTCTGTTCCATCTGCCCCCAACGACTGGTTGGTTATGAATGATTTTAAACACATGATCAATGTTAATCTACATGGAGTTATTGCTCTGACTCTGAGCGTGCTGCCTCTCATTAAAAAAGCAAAGGGCCATGTGGTCAATGTCGCCAGTGTGCTTAGCAGGGTCAGTTCATTTGGAGGATCATACTGCATCTCAGAAAACAGAGTGCATTCAATGACAGTCTGAGCTAAGCTTGTATCACATTGATTGGCTGTTTTATTTTTTAAAAAAGTGGTCATTGTTTTATGGCCAATAAAATTATTACGCTCTCTGCCAAGCTCCACCTTCTTTTCTAAGCCCCCCATGACTAGAGACAGCTGCACATCATGCTCTTAGAAGCCATGCCTCACCTCTTTTAGTAAAAGTAATGATGATGGAGAAGTATGTGAAGATGCTGGATGGAGATTTGATGAAGGTGAGCTATATGGAGCATGCTGTCTCTGCTGTCCGACCCCTGTACATGCTACTCTACCGGCTGGGATGCAAAATTCTTCTGGCTGCCTCTCTCCTACATGCCAAGCTGCATTGCTGATGTTTTACTGTTAAAAGATGTTTTTAACAAAGTTTCCATTTTGTAGTCCACATCAGTACATCAGTACAGAGCTAACCACTTTCTCACATGGAAGATATCATGTTAGTCAATTAAATAACCAAATAGAAGACTGTAACGTATCTAATGTTTTAATCATAATGAAATAAAATAAGAATTTTCGTTTTTGCATGTTGAGCTGTTATTTAATCTCTAATTATTGTTTGCTGAAACAATGCACAAAAGTAAAATGTTCTTTTTCTGTGTAACCACAACATCCATAATATTAAGTCATGAAACTGAAAAACAGACAACCCTTTTTATCATAAATTATGCTTATTTGGGTAACTCATGGACGAGCACTTAAATCATCCATTGTTACTGTACTGGCATACATTCAGTGCTTATTATGCAACATGACACACCAGATAAGAGTATAAGAGCTGGCAGGTCTCCTCATATAAAATCAGGTTAGCCTCTTTCAATCACGAGTAGTCACTGTGTGTCAAGTCAGATGTAGTATGAGCACTAAAGAAGCAGTGAAAGAGGCTGAATGAACGCAAAAGAAATAGTAGAGTTCTTTAGGGTTTATTACACAACTACTGGGGTCATGTTTACATGTGTGCAAAAGACCTTTGACACTTCAGTCAAAGCTCCCGTTGCTATTCTGGCTTCATTTACTGAGGAATGGAGAGAGATCTGACCAAGGAATGAAAAAGACAACACTTCAGGTTCTGCCTGCAGCTGAACGACTAAATAAGAGGGAAGATTCAATCAGATTCAATTTGATAAAGCAATCATGGTAAGTTCCTTTTTTATTTGCAACACTTTGTAAAATGACTGTACCCTAAATCCTCAATTTGTGTCAAATCTTTGCTAATGTGTTAAGTAAATAGAGAAATCTGGTAAAATCTTTATATGTTATAGCTGACATTAGTGCAGGTCCTTTATGGAAAAGGTGGTGAGGTGTGGTGATTTGCACACATAATTTCCTAGGCTGTTTAAAGCAGAAAAGGGATTTGTAGCTGTATGCCATCTGGTGGCTTCCTAAGAAGACTGTATCTGTGCCAGGTGGTCATGGAAAACATTGCCCTGCTGCTTTGGTTGTTGGTGTATTGCATGCAGACAGTCACCAATTCATTTTGGGAACTGTGGTCTGATAAGATTTTAATCGTTCTTGCACATCCTGACCACCAGGGGGTGCTAGTAGAATAGCTTTTCTATATGCTTGCTCTCATTTGCCCCCAACATACATACAGGGGACAACAGGGTGGGTGGGCACAGTATAACGTTATCTGGGTTAGCAGGGGAAACTCTTACTAAGATGTAACCTTCATCCTTTTTGTCAAGAGCTTTGAACATTACAGTCTGTTATGGTGGAAGTACTGTTTTGAAAGTCTCCCCCGAGGAAATGTTTTAAAGAGAGATATTGATAAAATGTATGACATATAATTTGAAAACTATAAACAAAAAGAAATTGGTAAAATAGTTCAGTTTTATTTTTCTTCTAATGGTTCATGAATACTAGTCAGTGATAAAAGAAATAAAACATTCCTAATGCTTGATTAATTCACAAACATTGCCACTGAATGGTTTATATATGTGCTTTAAATGAAATGCTCTGATTTTCAATATGTTACTTCATTATTTGAAACTATCTGTTAGCTATATTGGGGCAGCCATCTCCATAACATCTGCCTGCCAACTTCATTTTGGAGCTGTGTGGCAGAAAGTGCACAGCATGAATTTTGTCATAAATGAACTAATTCCAGGAAACATTCTGACTCTGAATGTGTCTGTTTTTCTACTTACACTGTTAAGCTTTTATCTGATACTTGTTGGGTTATACTAGTGTGTGCCCTGCTGGAAAAAAAACAGCACAGCCCAGCAAGCATTTCATGCTGGTCTACTGGTCTGGCTCTGGTTTAGCTGGTCACCCCAGCATGGTCATGCTGGTTGACCAGCATGCCAGCATCAAAACACAACATATGATGGTGTTGCTGGTGACCAGTCATGCTGGTCAAAGTTGTTTTTTCTAGCAGGGTGATATGAGTGGGAGATACAGCAGTGAGTGAAAACTGTGCCATCCAACCCTGCTTTGGCTTACATGCATATACATACATGGAAATACAAAGAAAGAAAAGTAGACATAAGAAAATAACTAGCAGGTCTACTAAGCAACAGCAACCAACAAATGAAGAAGCTAAGGGTTTCCAGAAGGTTTCCTAGTCCTGGCCAGTCAACGGCTCCACTTTATCAGCTCCACTTACTATATAGGCGCACTTTGTAGTTCTACAATTACAGACTGTAGTCCATCTGTTTCTCTGCATACTTTTCTCTCCCCCTTTTACCCTGTTTTTCAGTGGTCAGGACCTCCATGGACCCTCACAGAGCAGGTACTATTTGGGTGGTGGATCATTCTCAGCACTGCAGTGACACTGACGTGGTGGTGGTGTGTTAGTGTGTGTTGTGCTGGTCTGAGTGGATCAGACACAGCAGTGCTACTGGAGTTTTTAAACACTGTGTACACTCACTGTCTATTAGACACTCCTACCTCGTCAGTCCACCTTGTAGATGTAAAGTCAGAGACAATAGCTCATCTGCTGCTGCACAGTTTGTGTTAGTCATCCTCTAGTCCTTCATCAGTGGTCACAGGATGCTGCCCACAGGACGCTGTTGGCTGGATATTTTTGGTTGGTGGACTGTTCTCAGTAAAGCAGTGACACTGAGGTGTTTAAAAACTCCAGCAGCACTGCTGTGTCTGATCCACTCAGACCAGCGCAACACACCACCACCACATCAGTGTTACTGCAGTGCTGAGAATGATCCACCACCCAAATAGTACCTGCTCTGTGAGGGTCCATGGGGGTCCTGACCACTGAAAAACAGGGTAAAAGGGGGCTAACAAAGTACGCAGAGAAACAGATGGACTACAGTTTGTAATTGTAGAACTACAAAGTGCACCTATATAGTAAGCGGAGCTGATAAAGTGGACAATGAGCGTAGAAAAAAGGAGGTGGTCATAATGTTATGCCTGATCGGTGTACTTTCTGATGTGTTTTATGTATCTGAAGAGAGTGCTGCCTTGAACTTTGTGCTTTTATCACTCCATCATCACATCTGTTTTTCAGGTGGTCTCCTCAGATATAGTCTGGTGGTGCTCGCTGGCGCTCATAGTTCTTGCAGCCATCGCTTGGTATGTGAGGGACTCGCTCAAAATTAGCGACGTCCGTCAGAAATTTGTGCTCGTCACGGGGTGTGACAGTGGGTTCGGGAACCTGGCGGCCCGCCAGCTCGACCAGCAAGGCTTTCGGGTGATAGCCGGGTGTCTGACTGAAGCTGGAGCCTCCAGCCTGCAAGCTGTGGCCTCCAAAGGCCTGAAGACGCTGCTTCTTGATGTGACCGAGAAGGAAAGCATCGCCAGCGCGGTGGAGATGGTGCGCCGAGAGGTTGGGGAGAGAGGTGATGGGGGCTGGGGGTAGAGGGGGGGATAGGGTGCCAGCTCGAGTCAAGCACAGCCGAAGATAAAGTGGAGATAGGGGCGCTTTGACGACCGCACAGCTCTCACACCAACCCCATAAATCTGGATTTTTCAGTCTGAAGCAGTGAAGAAGCTTCATATGCATGTTCGTATATTTCAGATAGGACTTATGTATAGAAATGGGTTTCGATACCAATACTGATGCCTTGATTTCAATATCGACTCCTGAACATTGCTTTCTTCAGTATTTTCTTTTAAAAAAATATCGAGATGTAAGTATATTTACATATGAAAACGTACCGTTTTTGTGCAAATCTTAAATTTTACATTTTCACCCACTCAAGTTAGTTACAAAAACATCTAACACAAAAGTTCCAGTCAAAGAAGTAGTTGAGGGTTGTAGTAAGGATCGTAGTAGGGATTTTTAGAAACACTGCCGTTTGTATTTGTTCTTATAAAAACCCAAATGCAAAAATAATTTGCATATATAACATATAATGCAAATATATAATTAGTTTAATTGTGGTTTAACCAAAAATGTGTGTCAACTGCTGGAAGTTGGTATATTTACTTCAACACTAAGACTAAAATGTAAGAAGTTCTGATGTTAATAATATGTATATAGGATGTAATTTACACAGATAATCACCAGTCTAGATTTGGGAACAAGCATGGTTATTGGCTCACCAATGCTAATAGACTGACTACTTAGACATAGTATTATTGAAATTAATCCATTGGTACTGTAAAAGCACCGTATTAGATCTCTGGCAATTGTAGTACATTGTGCCAGTCATTCATAGTGTTTCATATTCCATTTGTTTTTCAAAGCAGCTTGTGGTCAAAATCGTTTGAAATATATCTTACTTGATCGTGCAGCCCTCCCAGCAACCCAAACAATCTGCAATCTGCATTTTTCAGTCTGACACAGAAAAGAAGCTTCAAAGGCCTACTTCATTATTGCAGAGAGGCTTATAGGCCTAAACAGCACTTCCTAGGACTTATGTAAAGGCCTAGTTCAACAAAGATAAAATCATTGCTAGCCTTCCAGAGTATTTTAAAACCATATACTATATAGGCTACTATATCTATTCAGTTCTCCAAAGTAACTGGATAGATATAGTAGCCCTATCACATTGATACTGGAAAATATGAATAAAGAAATTACTTTTGAAGTATATAAACCCCTCTAGCAGATCAGTGTGCCATCTTTTTTAGCGGAGCTCTTTGTAGAGATCTTTAGATCTTTATTCAGAGTCAAAGTGGCTTTATCTCCGCACAAAAATTACTGAGCTACCTAGTGAACTTGCTGTTAGAGATGTAATGTTCTGGACATATATATTTTTTTCTTATCTTGTCTCACAGGTCTGTGGGGATTGGTGAACAATGCTGGACGGTCTGTCCCTATTGGCCCAACAGACTGGATGCAACTGGAGGACTTCAAGCAGGTTCTGGATGTTAATCTGATTGGGCTGATAGATGTGACCCTACAGTTCCTGCCTTTGCTGAAGAAGGCTAAGGGCAGGATTGTGAATGTAGCCAGTATACTGGGCAGGCTTTCTATAACTGGAGGAGGATACTGTCTGTCCAAATGGGGGGTGGAAGCATTTTCAGATGGACTGAGGTATCGTATACAGATAAACAGCCGGTATTTCTTAAACAACTGTACAGACAGTTTTGTTTTGACTAAAAGCCTAGCCATTTATGGTCAGTTTCCCAGACAGGGAATAAGCCTAGTCCTGCAATTCACATTAAAATGAGATTCAGCATTAAATGGACAGTGTAGTCCAGGACCAAATCCCTGTTCAGGAAACCAACCCTTAATGGGAAATAGTAAATGTAAATAGCCATAGCTATAGCCACATAGTGGCTAATCATAATTTGAGATAAATACAGAATGAATGGCTGGCAAAGATTTTGCATATCACTATCTCTTAGAAATTTCCTTAGGTCTTTGACATCTTTCTTGTATGTTGTGTTTTTTGTTGTAATTAGGAGAGACATGCAGCACTTTGGCATGAAAGTGAGCATTATTGAGCCTGGATTCTTCAAAACGCGAGTGACAGACCTGAATCTTATTGAGGCTGATCTGAAAAGACGGTGGGACAGCCTCCCAGCAGACGTGAGGAGGTCATATGGAGACTCGTATCTTCAAGAATGTTAGTAGTTTGACAGGGTTCTGTGCCAAACTCAACAATTTGACAGTGAAAGGAGTTTCTTGAGTTCCAAGTTTAGGTCTAAAGGTTTCGGTTTGCTGAAACTATTTGGTGAATGACCTGCACTTAGGTTTGAATGAATGTCTGGTGTATCATGCAGAGATTTCTAGTTATTGAAGACACAGATAGCTGTAAATGCATTTATGGGAAAAAAAAGTGAAAAATAATGTTTTTATAATAACCGTGTTCTTTAACATTATGTCTTTTCTAGATTTAAAGATCCAGGCATTCTCCATGGACATTCTTTGCAGTGAAGACATCTCAAAAGTGACCTCATGTATGCAGCATGCCCTCTCCGCAAAGTACCCACGTACTCGCTACGGAGCAGGCTGGGATGCAAAGCTCCTCTGGATACCTCTGTCTTATCTGCCTGCATGTATAGCTGACTTTGTCATCACTGCACTCCTGCCATCACCTAAACAGAGTTGAGTGGTGAATTTAATATACAGTGCTATGAAAAAGTACTTGCCCCTCAACCGACTACTTCTATATTTACTAATTTGTCACATTTTAATGTTTCAGATGATTTGACTAAATTTAATGTAAGATTCAGACAACACAAGTAAACACAAAATGCATTTTTTAAATGATCATTTCATTTATTGAGTTAAAGATTTATTCAAAACCTATATAACTCAATGCCGGGATAGACTCCAGCACCCCCTGCGACTCAGGAGAATAAGTGGCTTAGACTGTGTGTGTGTGTGTGTGTGTGTGATGACTCAACTCCTGGATTAGTCACCAATGCGCTGTTTGTAAAATTTTGGTCGGCCGGCCATTCCTAGGAAGGGTCACCACTGTTCCAAGTTTTCTTCATTTGTGGATAATGGCTCTCACTGTGGTTCGCTGGAGTCCCAGAGTCTTAGCAACGGCTTTGTAACCCTTTCCAGACTGATAAGTGATTTTGTTTTGCATCTGTACTTAAATCTCTTTAGAAAGTGGCATCGTGCTGCTTTTTGAGACCTTCTAGCCTGCTTTACATTGCCAGACAGGATCTAAGTGATGTTTAGATTCAACAGATCTGGCAGTAATCATGCCTAGATGTGAAAGTGAACTCTGTAGTCAATTGAATTTGGTTAACTGTTTGATTTAGTAGCTAAGGGGGCAGTTACTTTTTCACTTAGGGCCAGGTAGCGCTGAATAGCATTTTTCATTCAGTAAATGAAATCATCAATTAAAAACAGCATTTTGTGTTTACTTGGGTTACCTTTGTCTAATACTAAAAGTAGTTTGACAATCTGAAACATTCAAGTGTGACAAATATGCAAAAATAGATGAAACTGAAACAATCGGGGCAAATACTTTTTTTTCCACAGAACTGTATTACTTTCTTTCCTTTCAGCCCAAGTTAGTAATCAGTATTCACAGAGTAAAAGTAGTGTAGAAAATTTCACAAGTAATAGATTGGCATTTGGCACTTTTTATTGATAAATGTAGATTTTCTAAGTGAAAATAAGAACACATCATCTACAGTAAACAAATTTAAATACAGTAATGGTGTTCACATTTTAGTACATAATTTCTACCTATTTGATGACTCTGACATAGAAAAAAAATAAAACAACATATTAAATGTGCTATGACCTTTGTACAGGCCACATTTTTTTTATTTTCCTCCAATAAGTTAAACTCAGCAAATAAACAGTAATTGTGCATAAAAAATAAAATTGTGCAGAAGTGAGTTCTCTGTAGAGGATGTGTTCTTATTTTCACATAGGAAATCAACAAAACTTGTATTTGAAGAAGGGCACCTTTTGCATATGACTTTATATGGTTGTCCATTCTACTACTGTATGCATAATGACATATAATTTGAAAAATCCCCTGTTGCAAAAATGCAATAAACATATTAGATAAAACATCAGTTTACGCAAAACATGTTATAAAACAAGACATTTATTTGATTTTTTTCTCAGCAGCTTTTGTCAAATTTGTTTTCCAGTTCTTTCTATCAATAAAAGTGTGTTCATTTATTTAATTAATATACAAAATCATTCAATAAAATAAAATGTATTCCTTCTTCATTAGGTTAGCCTGCAGTGAAAATAATTGGCCTGAACCAAAAGTAGGGAAACGGTATATTACAGTTGAATTTAGTTCACAGACAAAAAAACTTTTCAAGTATCGCTGAAAATTCTCTATATAGGCCATTGTTATGTGGTATCATTGTCTCAATTGTAAAATCTGTAAGTTGGGCAAAGATAAAAGACACTGCAGTTTTCACTTTCATTGTTATAATCAGACTGTTTTTGGATCAGTCCCTTTCTCCTAAATGATAGGATTCCAGTCCAAATGCTACAGGAATGCTACCCTCACATTTTAATACTCGCCTGCTGTAATAGTTGATAATAATCGCAAGACAGATTTTGATTAAGGAGGCTTCATAAGTGTAATTCTTTTTGGGGTAGTGAAACATCACCAATCATTCTGATTTAATCCAAAAGCATACCTGGTAAATAAGCTAAGTATACTTGGATAAAAAACAGTAGTTTTATGAATTTTTGAATTCATAAACTTAAAAATTATCCTGTTATTTAATATTGATGTATATTTAATATGAAGAAAACATACTGCTTAGGAACTGATTGTGAACAGTGGACCAAACCACTCTAATCTGCTCTCCATCATTTTGTTGGTCAGTCCACAGATGAGGTATATAAATATGCAAGATGAGATGCACATTGTTCATTCCAGTGGAAAATCTTGATTTAAATTTATGCGCAAAGAGGTGGCAAAATCATGGCAAACCAATTACAGCTCAGTTTTTTACTTACACGTCACCATGTTTGCCTGTCACCATGTTTAAGTATCTCTAAGAAAAATTGCAAATAATCTATTACCAGAAGATATTACCAACAAAATCTTTTCAAATTTACAAATGTACAACATATTCATAACATTTACCATCAGCAGCATCAGTGCAAAGATATACATATAGTACATCACAATAAAAAATCATAAAACATGAATTGGCATAAGAAACAGCAGAAGGCATAGTCTTAATAGACCTTTTTCTGTGGGTTATACAAACATCTAGTCTCTTTTCAAAATAATTTTAAGTTTCTTTTTTGTACACAGGCTGCATATAAAAATAGATTCTGTGCAAAGAGGGATAGTTTGTCTTTGTTTTTTCCCCTTGTGTGTGAAAGAGAGTTAGAGAGAGGACGGGGACAGTTATATGTCACTGTCCTCTTTGACCAGGTTGGCTGTGTCTCGGAACGTGTCCTCTGTGGGGGAGTACATGCTGGGTTTCTCCTGCTTTGTAGGCTTGGGAGGCGGTACGAAGGGAGATGGCTGACTGGAGGAGGTGTCCTCTGCACTCCCAGCAGGCTGCTCATCCTGCATCTGAAACCCCACAAGCACAATAAGATGGAGTTATGACATAACTGAAGTTTGAGGGAAGACCACGCCTAAAACTGTTCCTTCTCAATTCCAGCTTCCTATAAATACCAGTCCTTCACTTCTCCTACTCATGACGAAATTTCGCACCCAACCTCCTCCCCTTTCTCCTTCACCTTGTCCACGCCTGCACTTGATCTTTAATATATGGGGGGTCGGCCTTCTTGTGACCTACAGAAGCCGTACTGAACTCCAGCCCAAAATTCCTCAGAGTTCCCCTCCTCTCATTATCTCATTTACCACGGCGTGGTCTGCATTCACAAAACACTTTTATGAATGAAACTGATTCTATGAATGGCACAGAACTCCATCCCTAAAGGAGTGGTGTGAAGTGTAATGTCTACAGTGAAAGGGGAATTTCTCACAATTTTTTTTTAGATTTATCTCTATTTCAACATATAAATACTCTAAAAACTGTAGACTCGCTGGTGGTTTTGGATAGTAAATGTTATGTTTGTGCTGTAGACATTGCGACACCTGGTTCCTATCACCACCACTGTAAACTCTGAGAGAGCATCCAGCAGTAGAGCACCAAGTCTTTTAAGTTGGAGTGTCCTGGACAACTGGAAGTAGGATACCCAGGCTGGAATCAGGCTACTAGCGAGAATCTACTTCTCACTTCCACTGATAAAACCAACAGTGCACTGCCCAAGCTAGATATAAGTAAGTCAGCAAGGGTGCTATATGGACAGTTGGCAATAGGATAAACCAAGCTGGCTAGTTAGTTGCTACAGGGAAGCATCCTAAAGCGACGACAGTGTTGCCAGGCTTTACACAAGCAATCCAAGTTGTTGCCTTTTGCCACTGTGTGGTACACAGACACACATGTATATAATTACGCTTTGTAATGCTTTTTTGGTGAGAAGGAAAGAAATAGAGCTCTAAAGTGCTCAGAGAAAAACATTTTTTAAGCCAGTCACTCCAGATTTAAATTACAGTTCTATCAACAAAACTTTCCTTTATACATATAGTATCTATGTTACAGGCTTGATATAAAAAGGGTAATAAATATTTTTATAGAATTTTTATAGAAAAATGTCTTACCTCTGAGTATGTTGGGTTTTCAAATGTTGTGCTTGGTTTCAGTTTTCTTTTGAAGAAGCTCCACTTGGACTCCTAAAACAAATACAATATGAAATATGACAATATGAAAACAAGCCAATTCTATCTTTGATATATTTAGCTACTTTGGATCTGTTCTCACCTGGGTGGTCTTGGGGCCTACTGGAACACTCTTGACCTCCACTGCCTGTTGCTGTGCATGGTACATAGGGTTTGCAAAGTTGTTCTCTATTTGATCACCACTGACATTCACAGTCACCTGTTTGAAAGCAGAACACAAAACAGTTTGCTTGGTTTGTCTTCAGTTTTTAATTCAGTTTTTAACAGTAATAGGCCAGTTTTTTTGTATTAAAGGGAAACATGGTGGTTTGCATCATGTCTTGGTTTACCTGGGTAGCATGTATGACTGCAGGATCACCAGACGCTCCTGCTGCAGTTGAATAAAGAGGATTCTCAAACGTGACAGGCTGCCTTCCAGCATCGGCAAAGTTCTCATCCTGACAACATAGAAGAGTTTGGAATCAGAATAAACTCACATAATCAACCTACAAAAGCTGCAATCTAAAAACTGTAATTACAATAATAATAATAATAATAATAATAATAATAATAATAATTTTCCAGTTATCAAATCAGCTTCGAACTAATTTTATCTGAAATTCCTAATTCCTTTATATGAAAACAGCTCTGATTAAAGCTGTATGCATGAATGTAAAATTTATATTAGAATGCATTTCTATTAAGCAAAAAGTACTCTGTTGCTCTGCAAAAAGAAGACTGTAGGTGAACCTCATGAACAACGTGGTAAATCATGCACTTATGATGTTAAAACTGGGGTTAGGAGGTTAACCAGGGATTTCAAAGCTCATGCTTACAAGCTGAATGTGCTGATATTGCATTTAATAGCTGAAGCACCAGCACTTAGTGCTGAATTAAGACAGAGTGGTTGATGTTTACCAGCTGCATGGCTCTGTCGATGAAGGACACCCCAAGAGTCTGGGGTTCCAGGTCCATGGTGACATTGTCGCCAGAGCGGAAAGACACTCCATTTCCTGTGTCACCTGACTTGACCAGGCTGCTCAGACTAAAAAGAGAGTCAAAGACAGATGTAAGGAAAAGTTTTTAACTTGCAATATTACACAAACCTAGGGGAAAATCATTGCCTAATAAATAATAGTAACAGTGTTAACAGTAATAATACTGTTTTTCTCTGCAGCACAACCTTGTAAGTAAAAGCATAATATTGTTGGTATACATATTTTTGGCAAAAATTATGTGGATGCTATTTCTTATTTGTAGAAATTATGTAGATATTTGAATCAAGAAAATTCAATGCATCCCTTTTTTCAATGCATAAAAGGTTCTGTGAAGTGTTTTGATACAGTTGTAAGCAAAAAGTTTGAACATTCTTTACAAGGAACAAACTTAAATATAACATTTTTTACTACTGTTAGTGCACAATTATTTTCTTTCTGCTGAGTTTAACATACTGGAAAAAAACAAAAAATATGAATTGTGCCATAACTTTTGAACAGGCTACATTTTAAGTTTTGCTTTTTATGTAATATGTAAATGTCAGCAAATAAACAGTAATTGTTCATTAATATGTGCAGAAATATGTTCTCTGTAGAGGATGTGTTAACTTATTTTCACTTAGAAAATCAACAAAATGTGTAATTTGACCAGGGGTGCCAAAACCTTTGCATACAACTGTACTTCCTAAGGTATCTCTTTCTGGCAGAGTTCTGCAGAAGACTGCAGAGTGTTGATGAATGAGTTTGATAGAGTACCTGGGCAGTTTGGGCAGAGAGGGGATGACTGAGCCAGTTCGTCTGTAGTTGAGGAAAAGCCCAACAGCCAGAGCTCCACTCAGCAGAATAATAATCACTGCTAAGAGCACAGCCACTGCTAAACACAGAGCAAGAGATGGAGAGAGAGACGGACATGATGTCGTTATTTATTACTAGCAAAAGTTACCAGTGATAAATTTTTTTTGCCTTGCTTCTGCAGGTGAATAAAAAATAGAGTAGAAGTCTCTCTAATGTTTATGGAGTCAACAGGGTCCCACAGAAGGTACAAAAATGAAGCAAGGCAGCAGTTGATGAATGGTTAATCATGTGTTCTATAGACATTAGCAAAAACTAGGTAAACCTTCACTCTCTGCATTTGTTATTAACTGGTTTCATTAATGTGTCTGAAACAGGATAAAAGGACGCTGCGTGGCTGGTCGAAACTAGTTTGTGAAGTGAGAGCACTACTGTTACCTGTTCCAGCAGGGGCTCCTCTGGACTTTCCCATTTCACAATAGCTTCCTGAATAGCCGTATGGACACCTGGGTTGCAGAAGATAATTAAAGCGTAGTGAACATCAAATCAGTATGTACTTTCTGCTATTGGTATTTGTCTTGTGTTCCCGAGCCCTCTTTTTAGACTTACTTGCATTTGGGCAGACCCGCTTCGTCGGTGTAGCACGTTCCACCATTCATGCATCTGCATGCAAGCGGCATGGCCACCTCTGTCTCTATGGCTACAAAGGCAAGAGCCATGCAGAACATTACAAAAGCAATGCAGCCACGACAACATTTCAAAATCAAAGCAAAGGTATACAACGCGTTTACACGTGTAAAAAAAAAAATAAATAAATTGCTCAAATAAATTCCTGCAGCACAGTCACATTAACACATTTTGGCACAGAGTCACCAGCAGCAGCCAACACACATGCATATGCATTATGATATAAGTGGGGAAGAATGACCAAAATCATCTAGTAGCTCCATAATTATTGCCACCTTTGATAAAGATGGGTAAACATTTCTGTGGTTAATGAGCTCAAAAACACTGAAAATATGACAAAAATCTAGCCTTTAATTTTAGAAAATTTAGTTTAAAAAAACAAAGGCTTTTCATCAGAAAATACTCACTTTGAACAAAACCATGCATTGCTATTGGCACTCTTGCACTTAATACACTGAAACCTGCCCTTGCCAACATAATAGTAATGAGTCTTTTCCTGTAATGCTGGAGGAGAAAATATAGCAAGGAATCTGAGACCACCCTCAATACACAATCTATCCAGATCCTACAAATCATATGCCCACTTCCAGGAAGGTTTACTACAGCTGTGACTTTTAAACTTCTTAATTATTGCCATGATATGGGCTGATATTGGCATTTAAGGGCATGTGGCTATTTTTATAGCCATTGCCTGATTTATGAGGGTCAGCACACTTCTGTCACATTTCTTTTGTGTATTCTTAAATCTTGATGTTGATAAATGATTAAGGGAGTAAGGCCTTTGTGTCAATTAATATTTATACCCCAGCAAACAGGAAGTCATGGATAACCACACAAGAGCGGAATTAAAAAAAAAGTTAAATGTGAATAGAAAGATACTTTGATTTAATTTCTACGGGTTCCAATAAATATGAAAATTGGTCATGTTAAAAAGATTTTTGATAAGGGTTTTTTTTAAGACTATGTCAATTAAGAAGGTACTTCAATAATTTTTTTTTCATTTTTTCAGTGTGTGAGTGATCTAATTTACTATTTTAATGAACTTTCTCTTACCTATCATCAACAAGGGTGCCAATAATTATGGAGCTTACTGTAAGAAGCACAGGTGAAGCATCTCTCACCTGCATCACATTCATTCTGGTTGAAGCTGAGCAGCGTGGAGCCTTGTGGACAGGCACAGGTGTATCCAGCAGGTCGCAGCAGACACAAGTGACTGCACACACCCTTACAGGGGTTCACCACTGCGACACAATCCAGGACAATCCATGTGTCCATTAATAAAACACTGAACCAATGAAAAACAATGCGGCAAAATAACACACTCTAAAGTTTTACTGTACAGTGTAACTGCCTGTTTTACTGTGCATATGAAAATAAAACTCTTGAATCTTGAGTCTACAGGCTAAGATAGTCAGTCAGGGTAACCTCCACAATGCAGTACTCACTGTAATCACCAGCTGACTGAGCTCCCCTCACCTGAGCGGTTGTATCTGTGTTCCTGATAGATGCGGACCTGCGTCAGCCAAGGGTTTACAGTCAGCACCTTCACTTTATCCCCCTTGCCAAACTTGTCGGTCTTCCACACCTCACCCTTGGCTTTTGTTGTCCAGTATACATGGCCCTCAAACAAATCCAGACTGTACGGGTTTCCAATATCTATAAGCAAGACCAATGTGATCCACCACAAAACAAAAGGCAAAATGTTGCCGTGAATATTTAAAACAGACTTCAGATTTCTTTTAGGACAGAAACCCAAATTAAACTTAGAAAAACAAAACAGCTTTGGTGACAAACCTCCTGACATGACAATCTTCCTGTCTGTTCCATCTACTTTCATTGATTCAATGATGTTCTCTTTGGAGTCGCACCAGTAAATCCTATTGCCATTAAGGTAGTCTAGAGCCAATCCTGTCGGCCAGCCCAGATCTTCATCCAGCAGCACCTGTCTGTGTTGACCGTCCATCCATGCTGCCTCAATCTTTGGGCTCCTGCCCCAGTCAGTCCAGTACATCATACTGAAAGACATAACAAAATAAATGAAAATGAAATAAAATAAAAGAAGTTGTTTATAAAGCATGGCTATGTTCTGAGGATAACAAAAAGACACTAAAGACTGGGAGCATGATAAGTTCACAGTAATGGCAATAATGACCACAGAAATGTACAGTAATAACACCAATAATGCATTTGGCTCTTTAGTTTGAAATGTGCATGTCCTACAGACACAACTTATTTATCTACATTAACCACTTAAATTGATAAGTTGGTTACCCAACAGATGGGCTGACGACAATTGCAGCTGGTTGGTCGAGATCAGAATGAATCAGCCACTTTCTGTACCGCCCATCCAGCTTGGCCACTTCAATACGATTGGTGCCTGCATCTGTCCAGTAAATATGTCTAAAAGACAAAAAATGAAGACTTTGTCCAAGGAAAAGGAAACTGATTTGGGGATTAAGGCAACTATTCCTTAAATGATTAGAATAGAGAACTTAATTACAGAACGTATAATTTATTCCAAAATTTTAAAACAAAATATCAAGAACATAAAATAATGTAAAAATAAACAAACAAACAAACAAAAAAGTATGTACCGTCCGACCCAGTCCACAGCAATGCCATCAGGGCTGGAGATGTATCTGAGGTTAAGATCTACCTCTTTCACTGGGTTGTTGCCATGGTCATCAAAAGTGGTCATATATGCTCTTTTTATGGAGCCAAACTGAGCACCACGACCCAGAACAGTCCAGTACACAATACCTAAGAACAGATTGGTATTTAGCAATACTGGATATTGCAGTGTCCACTTTTATGTCTGTGAAACATGCATCTCTCAGTTAATGCTAACAATGAAACTGCTTTTTGCATCAATGAGACTGAAACATACAGAAGGATAACAATAAAATAAGGTTTTATGTGAAATAGGAAATTACTCATGTGGCTTTACAAACTACATGCTTGGGAAGATGCAGATTCTGGATATCATGTAAACTGTGAAAAGTGATATGATGACTTTCATGGTCTTACTTAGTCCCTGGCCTTCAGGATCCCAAAGGTAATCCAAAGCCTGGATGTGCTCGCCGTCATCCACATAGTCCGAGTACTGCTCAGAGGACAGGTTATAGCGACGGATACGTACGTTATCAGGCAACAGCAACACTGGAGGATTGCCTGAGACAAAGAAAGGCCAGTAACACTCAGCATTAGAGAGTGAGAAAAATGGTAAGAGAAAACCTAGAGAAAGGCCAATATACATGTTGATAAATAAAGGAGTTTGTGCCAGTCCCTCACCTTCAGCAGCACACTCCAGGCCTTGCTGCAGTCCTACAGAGCGGAATCCCTCAGCACAGAGACACTCATAACTACCCTTAGTGTTTCTGCACAGCTGCGGACAAGTGCCATAGACCTCACACTCGTTGACATCTAAAAAGACACATACACACACACACACACACACACACACACACACACACACACACACAGAATGCCTTAGACGTAACCTGGAACAACTGGCACTGCCTGATTAATGTTGCTGAGGTAATTATAACAGATGTTGTTACAAGTCTAGTATGATCACAATGCCTTTAATTGATTAAACCAGCAACTAACAAAGAAAGCTTGACTGAATTCAGCTTGACTGAATGTTATATTGAGATGGATACATGTTGTATATATATATATATATATATATATATATATATACATATATATATATATATATATATAAAATGTGTGTGTGTGTGTGTGTGTGTGTGTAAACATAAATTATTCTAAATAGATAATTATAGTGTTATTTATCATTTAATAACTTCTTGGTGTTCACAATAAAACATCTTAAAATACCTCCTGGTGTGTAGCTTATAGTATTTCAGTCTGCACTGTATAAGTTATTATTGAATAAAAATACAATTATTAATATGGCAAATGCTACAGTCACAACAAAAGCTTGCACTGTTAATGGTAAAAGAAAAAACCCTCTTAACTTTGAATGGAACTGACTGTGAGCACAATTTCATGATCTCTTTAAGTATCTCTCCACCTTGTTCCCCTGTAACAGCAATGGTTGCCAGCATACAGACCTATACAGACCGTTTAATAGTATAGCAATCCTTCACATGTATTATTGTTTAAGCAAGGCTACTTTTTGTTCATTTTTGGTGCTGTTGTTCCTCCATTATAAAAGTGGACTCACCCTCGCAGGAGTTTCTGTTCTCCTCGTTGGGCTTATATCCTGGCCTGCAGGAGCAGATAAAGCCCCCATCAGTCAGCCCAGTGCAGTTATGTTCACACAGATTCTCACTGCAAGAACGCCCACTGCCTTTGACTAACACAGAGAAAGAGAGATGCATTTATGTCATCCTTAAAAAAGAAATCGAACGGCATACGTGTATGTTAGTGGGTGGGTTAAGGTTTACGCACTGCAGCCTAGCTCATCAGTCTGGTCTCCGCAGTCGTCATAATCATCACAGGCGTACTGCAGAGGAATGCAGTGGCCGTTCCCACACTTATACTCATCAGGAGAGCAAGGCCCATGTGTGGGGGTCACACCTGAAAGCAGAAGAGGAAATTATGAAGATCATAAAGCAAATTTATGGAGTGCTAACAGACCATAAATAAGAGGGGAAATAAAACATTCTTTGAAGAGTTCATCTGACCAGAGAAAAGATTCTGTTTTTTTTCTTTCCTAAGCAGGTTATTTTTGTTTATAACATACACCACTGTATGGCAAAGAGTGAATATTGGCACTCTTTATTAGGTTAAAAAACGTTTATTATAGCAAGGCTAAGGACACAAAAATCTCCCAACATGTTTTGGTATGAGAATTCATCAAGGAGAGTAACATGATGAAAACTGAGACTGAAACGTGTTGAGAGATTTTGTGACCATAGCCATATTACTACAAAGGACTAATGCCATTGATCTTCACTTTTTTACAAGCTTTTAAACTCCTCTCCATAGAGCACCTTCAATATTTGTACATTTATCTTCCTACTGGTAGCATTCTCTGTATTTGTACTTTTTTGAAGACAAACCACTGTATATCACTATTTTTTACACCATTTGCACCACATTAACACACTTTAAAGCAACACTACGTAAGATGTTTTGTTAAAATTAAAAGAAATAGCATTACTGAATCAGGAGGGAAAAAAGCATGAGTGCGATGCAACAAGTCGCCCAACAAAACCTGAAATAATAATTTATAAGTCAGGTGTCTTTACATATTAACTGTCACACGCACAGGCTCAAAAAGGACATTCCGCTCAATGTTTAGGTCTCATATGCAAAATTAACATTGTACTGATGAAGATATGATGACAATAGTAGATAATTCACCTACATACTCATAAGACATGTTACTCACTAGGGCTTGACAGAGTTCTCTTGGAATACTCTTACCCCTTTGGGAAGTGGTCCAAAGCACAATCAACATTACAAAATGTTCTTCTGCATGTTGTGTGTCATTACATATTTTCACCAGAGAGGTCTCCAAACTCCCAAAACTTACATAGTGTAGCTGTATGTTAAGATTTTTTTTTCCTTCTTCTATAATTTTACTAGTTTCCAAATGTTTTGTATACTAATATGACTTTGGTCCTCTGTGGGCCTTCACTCACAGTGCTCCTCCTTTTCATCTGTTCCATCCCCACAGTCATCCACCGAGTTGCAAAGCTCATGGCTGTAGATACAGCGGTTGTTGTTACAGCGGAATCGGAACGGAGGTTCACATGGGATATCCACTGAGGGGACAAGACACAAATGTTTTGCTTTTTATTGTTTAACCCCTTAAATTATAGGCTTAATTCTCTAGGCACGTTAATATGCGCTGAAATCAGTAACACTGCTTGCTCTTATGTGGCCTCTTACAGCAAAGATGCAGCTCCTCATCTGATCCATCTCCACAGTCATTGTCTCCATCACATCTCCAGTGCTGCTGAACACACACATGGTTCTTACACTCGAAGAGGAAGGGAGGACAGTACGTGCCATTGGGGTAACGTGTTGCTGCAAAGAACACAGATGATGTCAGTACACACACAAGACTGATGTGAAAGTATTAGAAAAAAGAAGAATCAGTCAGAAAACTACACTGCTATTAATGTTACTTATTTGATGAAAAAATTGCCTAAGATGGATCAACAAGCAAAGTAGCCAGGGGTGGTTAACAGAGAAAAGGAGGAGAACTCACGGCATGACATCTCATCAGTGAAGTCCAAGCAGTCTGCATTGCCATCACATTTGAAGCGCTCAGCTATGCAGTGGCCGCTATCACACTGGAAATACCCAGGGTGGCAGGTCCGCAACTCTGCAACACAATTACAGAAAGGAACATTACACTCCACACACTCAGCTGCCAATACAGCATGGATAAAAACACAATGATCACACTTTGTTTGAGTGTCAGCTATGCCCTTTGCTTCATGTGCAAGAGGATGTAACTACACAAAGTTCTCTCTGGAAGGAAGTTTGGCAGCAGCTTCATCTGCTAGGAAGTCTGCAAGACCGTGACCAAGCTGAGCACTTAGCATTCTCCTTAGAGTGAACTGACAATGCTGTGGATCGCCTTACTATTACTCAAGGTAATGGCTATGACTAAACTGAGGCAAATACATTCATGGTTTGCAGAAGTTACAGTGATTTTAGATGAAAAACATCTCATGGACCTTGCTTGTAATAAACTAATTAACTCACTCACTAACTCATTCACTAACTCACTAACTGACTCATTAACTCGCCAAATCACTAACTCACCCACTAACTCATTCACTAACTTACTAACTCATCCACTAACTCACTCACCCACTAACTCACTCACCAGCTCATCACTCTCTCACTTACTAACTTACTAACTCACCCACTAACTCACTCACTAACTTACTAACTCACTCACTCACCCACTAACTCTCTCACTAACTCACTCACTTACTCATCACTCACCCACTCATTAACTCACCCACTAACTCACTCACTAACTTACTAACTCACCCACTAACTCACTCACTCACCCACTAACCCTCTCACTAACTCACTCACTTAGTCATCACTCACCCACTAACTTACTAACTCACCCACTAACTCACTCACTCACCCACTAACCCTCTCACTAACTCACTCACTTAGTCATCACTCACCCACTCATTAACTCACCCACTAACTCACTCACAAACCTACTAACTCATCCACTAACTCATTCAATCACTCACTCATTCAATTCTCCACAATGGGCTGCTATTAGCACACACCCTTTGGTGCTTCACATCAGTGCCACAGTGGATATGATTTCACAGTGCAATACCCATTTAAATGAACAAATAAAATTAGCTATTTAGATGAAAATGGGTCTATTTCACATCATCCCCTCCTTCATGGTTAATGCATTAGCAACACTTGTTGCAATGCATAATGCATTTAGTTGTAATACCACCATTCAAACATGTTCATGCATGGTGCAATATGATCCATACATCAATAATAATTCAGTAATTAATTATATGGCATGTAGGACCATACAAAAACAGACAAAAGATGATCTAATCATTGGAACAGCGAAACGATTTGAGAAGGAGGCTGCTGTGCCCCCCACTGGACACGCTCAAGGCTCAGACAAAGAGGCTCTGCTCACCACAGTCCCTTTCATCAGAGTTATCCTCACAGTCGTTGTCATGGTCACACACCCAGCGGTCAGGAATGCAGTGCAGGTTGTCACAGCGATACTCGCTCTCTGTGCATGCTCGAGGGCCTGGCGACACACAAGAGAGTGTCAATCACATGCACACACATGCAAATACTGCGACAGGCATCCTTTTCATTCTCTGTGCATGCTTGAAGTAAACTGAAAACTACTCATTAGTGGCAGATGGAGTGTAACTGTTTCGGTTTTAGTGCATGGTCAGCCTATTCGCTAACAATTATTCGGTAATAATTCTGCATGTCTTAATTCTCTTTCTGTTTATGGTCAGCCCATGTTGAGTAACATTTCTGAATGTCTTATTTTTATCTTTACCATTTTACTATACTTAATCACCCCTGAATCTTACTCGTTGTCTTTTCAGTGCTACAGGATCTAGAGCTCATAAGAAAACCCTGGTATGGGGTGCAGTCATACATCTTAATACATCACATGCAACAGTGGGGAAGCCTTTACAAGGCTGAAATCACACAGGCATTGATATAAGAGCTAAATGAATTTCGTTGTTATACACAGAGCGATAACAAAGCACCACCTAGAACTGCCGTGCTAAATCCATATGCACACCAGTTCTTGACGCTGATAAGAGATGTAAATAAGTTGTGCTTTCCTTGGTTACAGGATTAAAGGGTTATCTGATGAGCTAAAGGTTGTTTTTCACGGCTCGCTACAGTTGTAGAGAGCTCCTCTGTTCTGAGGGCCATTTTTCAGAGGTGAGTTCATAGCTGAATTCATTAGGGGGGGAGTAAATTTGTGCAAGGCAGCAGCTTTTATGTGGGGGGAGAGACGAGTGCTGAAAAAATCAGTGCCTCTTTCAATGTACTATTCAGTGATTTAGCGCAGGCACCCGTCGTCCTTTCACCCTGCTCCCAGCCCTCATCACAGAGCCAGTTCACACCCCGCTTCAGTTCAGGAAGGGAGAAGCAGAAGCTTTCTATTATATATTTCTCATCTTTTTCCTCATGTTTCCAGTATCTATGTCTAAACTCCCTTCACTTCTCACTCCTCTCTTTCTCTGAGAGGAGAGTGCTGTTTTGTTGAAAGGCTGACATATTCACATACAATGCTGTGGACAGAGGTGTTAAATCTCTTCACAAATGCACTTCTCTTTACTTTTCTTCCACATTGTCCTGTAACTGACAGGATTAAACCTCAGTGGAGGGGCTCAATGATTCCAGGGCGGTCAGTGCAGTTCCTGTCATGCATTTTCTTGCGTATAATGCTGTGTATGTTGAGAGAGAGAATCCAACAGGTTATCAGGCCTCATTGTATGTACTCTGCTTACAAATGTGTTCTTTCATAGCAACTGTGACTAGGTTAGAGCCTTACAGATGCTTTACAGAATGTTGTCGAAACCCTATTCAACCTAATGAGAAATCGCAGCACACAGCTTGACTCAGTTTTAGTCGAAATGTTTAAATTTCAAGCATATTATTAATCTTTCATGAAAATATCTTTAAAGTCAACCTGAGAAAAAGTGACTTTTTTACCTTTGGCTCTGTCATTGTTTCTGGTAATATTAAGCTTCATTCATCATACCATTTAAAAGACAAAATTCTTGTTTTCCCATGAGCATGCATCCAGTGTAATTACTTCTGCCTACTCCACCATGCACCAGTGGGCGGGAATAAATAATATTAACTAATATCATGCTTCACTTCTCCGTCCCATCACCCACCTACCACCAGACTAACGCTCAGCTAGCCCAGAGAACCTCCCCCTCTCCAGAGAACCTTTTCCTACTCAGAAATACTTCACAAAATGGAAAGAAAAATGCAATCAGATTTCCCCCAACTGCACCTCCTCACCATAGCTGTTGCACAGGCTAAGTGTAGCTCAATTATGCAACGGGATAACCCACACCTGATCTATCCTCACAGTCCTTTTGCATGAATACACTTTGAGTATCACTTAAAATGTACAACACATTCTAAATTTAGGCATTATGACAAAAAACAGTGCACTACAATTTCTCATTATGTGGATTGATATTTTGTGTACCCAATGAGCAGAGCTACCATCCATTTAAGCTTCCGGAAAGGCTTGACTTCTGGAGGCCCCTGCAGGCTGTGTGTAGTACTCACTGCAGTGACGTTCATCTGATCCATCCCCGCAGTCGTTGTCTCCATCACATTTCCAGCGCAGAGGGATACACTGGTGGTTATCACAGCGGAAATCTCCAGCGGGGTCACAGGTCAGCTCCTCTACAAACACAACACAGCTCATGCTCACACATGCCCAGGTCATGCATTCATTAACTTTATTTAACCAGATAAGTTAACTGAGAACACATTCTCTTTTAATGGCCATGCAGGTCCTCTTACAAAGAAAATAAACATGTAATTGGATCCTGTTTCAAAGCACACGCACAGACATACGTGACCAGTCAAAAGTTTGGAACAAGTGTGTTCATTAATATAAAATTAATTTAGTTGCAGCACACTTATAAAGCAATCCTATTATGATGCTACTACTCTACAAATTTATAGGTTTCAACTAAACTTTTAGAGTGGTTCAGAATGATGAACAGAGCTGTAGATGACATTGAGAAGATTGTGAATGAAATTGTGATAAAATTAACATTCAGAACGCCTCATTTTTTAAAAAGTAGATACCAAATATTGCAGCAGATAGGTTATGCAGCAATTACTATAAACAGACAACTATGGTATATTGTTTTATCATCATTCCATATCAAGTTCATACTGTTTCCAAGTAAAAAACTGAAATATGAAATAAAACATCTTGAAATATATTCTGGTATCCAGCATATGGTATTTCAATCAAACACTCTATAACACAAAATAATTCAAATATGGGTAAAAATAAAGAATCAGAGAATCTAAAACATACATTCATACAAAGGCAAGTTACAACACAATTGTAATACACAGTCATTTACAACCTAAATGTAATTCATTGCATATCTCTAATCATATCTCTAATTTCTCCAAATTTGTTAAGAACTAATTTTATAATTTGAGTCTGAAAACAGAGCTGATAAAAAAAGAGACATTCTTTAGAGCCTAGTGGGATGCTGTTTAATAAAGACATGATGATAACTACAGCACTGGGTTTTGAAGGGAGAGACAAGCCTGGATTTAATTGCGCTTAGGATGAAAGTGGTACAGGGAGTACACCCACACGACCCCCACAGACACTGACCAGTGAGTCATAGCAGACATGCTACAGAAAAAGAGGAAAAAAAGAAAAAAAATGAGAGAAGAGAAGAGAACAGAAGAGCAGAGAAGAGAACAGGAGAGAACAGAAGAATACAGAGCACTATCACTCAAATGCACAGATACACTCACATATACTCAAATACACTGACACACACCCTCCTGGAGTCATAGAGGTGCCCCACCTGGCCCAAGTGGTGCATTCTTACACTCAGATTAGGGAGATCTCTCCTCTGTGTGCAGGATGGCACTAATGGAGCGGGGGGAGCTGAGCTGATAAGACATGGGAGGACTGGGTCTGTGTGTATGTGTGAGGGTCAGACCACAGGATGCAGAGCTCAGCCTATACTGATAGCTTACCTAAATACACACATTTAATGCACACATATACTAATGCATGCTAATATTCACAATATTCCTTATATGTAAATCTCTAATAACATTGCATCAACCAATCACTCCAGTGGTGTAGCTAGGGCGGGTTGGGTGGGCCTAGGCCTTCTCAGCCAGAAGCCAGGCCCCCCAGATTTCTGACTCCTTGAAAAAAGTCCTCCAATGCCAATGAAAATGTTACTCTAGAATGAACCCAAAGGCCCTAAGGTCATCTTCAAGCCTTTTTCAACTTAGAGTGACCACTAAAGCCTCCTAACTAAAATGTGCAATAAGGCATGTAATGAGATTTTTTCCAACAGCAAAATGTAAACACATCATTCCCTTCTCAACTGTTTCTTCTGACTGTAGGAACTTAGCTGAGCTATACTAGTTCTTAGAATAATATACTACTTACCTAGCTAGTGAGCCTAGAGGTTCAGCAAAGTAAAGAAAAAGCTCAATACTGCAGCTAAAATGACATGAAAACTATTGTCTTCAACCATTCATCCCAGACATCTACTCCTAGTGCTGTAAAAGGTGAGACTATAATTAATTAGCCTTTACCTGTCATGGTAAAAAATTTTCTCCTCTAGTTATAATAGCCACAATGCAGTAGGTTAGTTGGTGGCTGTCATCCTTACTACAGCAATTGCTCTGGGACATAATGTTGCTAGCTGGCCCCAACAACCTGTAACCAGGCCCCCCAAATTCTGAAATTCTGGCTATGCCACTGATTCACACTACTATACAGACTCACACACATTGGACTACAGTGGTGCCTGACACAGACATAACCATACACTCTCCCAGAGAAACACACAAACACACAGCTCATAAATCTCTGCTGTAGTCTGAGGCTAGCAGAAGGGTTAAGGAGAGAGGTCAGAGAGGGCCCGTTCATCAGAGTCGGTCTGGTCCTACTAATGTACTCCCGGAGTGTGATGGGATGAATTGCTCCTCATCATTTCATCACCACTTACAGAGACAGAAGTGCTTTTATATAAGCTGGGTCAGTTACCTACCATGAAATTACTTTCTCCCTCATCTTCGGCCATTTACTGACATTATGTTAATGCAATCTCACCAAAAGAAAGCCGCTTATGTTAGGTATACAATGTCTACGCTGTTTTATGCTGTCCAGCTGTGTCCAGAGAGTAGACTTATCTGTTGTAAAATCACACCTACACAAGAGGACAATGAATTTCTCCAGGAAGTGATCACCAAGTTTACTGCTCAAGCTTTTCTTCCATAGGATGTTTCAGTAATTCTCCAAAACACATGGAGCGTGGAATGAGTGGGATGTGGTGCTTCATTCTTTTGTTTCACAGCAGCCACTCACTGTAGCCTATATTGCTAATCTGCATCTTGAATACTCTGAGAGTTTGTCACTGCTTGCAGACAGTGGCCTGATAAGCTAAACTCAAACTAGCACAGTATTAAATCAATTATAAAGAAGCAGAAGTCAAGTAAAAATGATTTGTATTGTGTTAATTGCAATACAGGTAGACCCAGCCGGCCTATAGGTTCTGTTAAAAATCTCTATTTTAATGTAAAAGAATACACAAGACGACACATTTATACCATGAATATATGTGTGAGGTAGGTATGGATTTTACAGTAACAGAGTCAGGAGATCCTATGTTAAAAAAAACGTCTACACCAGGTACTCTTCTGCACTTTCTCTGAGAATCAGTGTGGTTGCTGACTGCTCTGTTATACTCACCACAGTTCTGCTCATCACTGTTATCCCTGCAGTCATTGTGTCCATTGCACACAGCCCATAGAGGAACACAGCGGTAGTTGGTAACGCAGTCAAACTCAGTGTGGTTATCACATCGATATGCTGGACCCACTACAAAAAAACAAAGTCAATCAACAGTACAAAACCATTCACATATAAACCACAGAGATCTTTGTAAATGCCATTTCAGTGAGATGCTGTCAGTCAGTGCATCAGGATTAATATTCATTGAGATATTTTTTTTTATTTTTTATTCTTTTTGCAAAAGGTTTTAGTTTGTTGACTTATTATTAATATTAAGGCTTATGAATCAGTAGCTACTATGAATTACTCAGAATTCTACTATAAAATCACTATTTAGATATGTAGTTATGAGAGGAAAGACGGTCAGTGTGGACCCATTGATGAATCTTTACATTGAGGGTCAAAAAGGACTACATTGTATGTGTCTGGATTCATTGGCTAAAACTTGAGATGGCATGTTGACATCGGTATTGGGCCGCTATCAGCAGAAAATGCTGGATTAGCTATGGGAGGGAAACAAATTCGACTAAATCCTGTAACAAATCTGTCATAAAATAGCACACATTCACATTGAGAGATGTGATGATATTAGCTGTGGATTTCTTCCTGTGGGGAACTAGAGTGTTTGAGTAGTTTGTTTAGTTTCAGTGGTTCTTGAAGAAGAAATAGCGAATCGGTGTTACCTGGCCCTCAATATCAGTATCATAAAAGAAAAAGTGGTATCGTGCCATGTCTAGGTAAACCCAATAAATACAACACAAGCCCAGAGGATGTTTCACTCACTGCACTCATCGAGGGGTTCGTCAGAGTTGTCTCCACAGTCATCATCCACATCACATTTCCAGCTCTGTGGGATACAGCGGCCATTCCTGCACTTGAACTGGCCGGGACGGCAGGTCCTGCTGGAGCAGTGTGAGGGGTCCTCATCTGAGCCGTCTCCACAGTCATTCTCCCCATCACACTGCCAGGCCTCCGGGATACAGCGCTTATTACTGCACTGCCACTGGTGCGACTCACACTGGTGGGTGGCTGAGAGGGGAATAAGCACGCTTTAAATAGTGTGAAGCTATGTAACTTTAAGATGTTTACGTATGTGTGATCATCATAGGAGAAATTTATCAAATGGGAAGTTTATAAAAGTGTTTTTTATATTTGAACTTTATATCATCAGAATGAAGTATATCATCACTGCCATAAGGAAACCTCACAACTACATTTGAAAATCCAAGCTGCCCTTCTGTGAACATTTCATGACAGATGGACCAACAGAAATTCTTTCCGATTTAAGATACACAAACAGATTCCATGTTAGAAACATTTTTTTCCAGCATTGATTTGGGAATTTGAGATGTGAGATTTCCTTAAAACAATTACAATTTAAACTTAGTATCCCTTTTAGTTACTTAGTTACGTCACATTTTTCTCGTATATTCCAAAAGTCTTGAATTTCAGCTACGAGCAATTTGTGCATTGCAGTCAACAAAACAACATTAAACAGAAGCACTAACAAAACACTTTAAGACTTAAAAGTGGACTAATCAAGTTCTTCCATACCACACAGCACAGTGTCCTCATCTGACCCATCAGGACAGTCCTGGTTAGAGTTACATAGGAAATGTGGGCTGGTGCAGTTCCCGTCATTACATTGGAACTGGCCCAGCCTGCAGTGGCGGAGGGGGCACGTGGAGGGCTCATCAGATCCATCCCTGCAATCATGCTGACCGTCACACTTCCACCAGATAGGGATACAGCTACACGGGGCACAGACAAAAGAAGGGTCAGTCACTCTGTCAGTGATAAAATAACACAAAGAATTCAGCCCTCAGGCATATTCTCACAGTAATGTACACTACCAGTCAAAAGCTTGGCCATCAACTCATAAGACAGTTATATGAGTTTGTATAGTTGTTAAACCATGAAATAGTTCATATGGAATTACTCCAGTCAGAAATACTGGCCTTCTATCAAAGTAGTGCTATTTAGACACTCCCTCATCACAACTTATTGGCTGAAATGCACTAACGAGTATCACTATTCCGCTAATGAACTTTTACACATAATAATTAGGACAATAAGGTCTATAGTTTCCTAATCTACATTTCACTAAAGTCAGAAAGTATTGTTTAAAATAAGATTTTTTGTTTCATACAAAGGCTTTAATTTATTTATATATACATTTGTTGTGGATGTTTTAAACTTTTAAACTTTTAAGCATAAGCCTTTAAATCAGGGGCACACAACTCCAATCCTGGAGGGAATGTGTCCAGCAGAGTTTGGTGATATACATGCTCAAACACACTTTGTTACACTCATCTGTTAATTGACAGGTTTGGTGGGTGTGTATGAATAGGGGAACTACCAAAGTGTGCTGGACACTGGCCCTCCAGGATCAGAGTTGTGCAGCCCTGGTTAGATCAAAACATCTTTAAGGAAATCCAAAAACCATTAGGTGTCCCCAGACTTTTGACTCATACAATACATTCTATTTATATTTTGGATTATACTGATTAAATATGAGTAAATACATCTCACGTATAGGGGAAGCCCCTATAAGGAAGTCTCTCCTTTCCCAGAGGAAAGAAGAGACTTGAGGTGCTCACCGTTCATTGTCAGCGCATCTGTATTGCGTGCTGGAGCACATAGGTAGACAGCGGGCCACGCCCCCAATCTGTACAGTCAGGAAGTGGTCAGGGCATTCACAGGTGTAACCTCGCCCTCCAGCTTTCAGCAGACAGAGGTGAGAGCAGCCTCCGTTGTTTAGGCCACAGGGATTAGTTACTGCAGACAGAGGAAGAAACTGTTACACCACATCAACTTACTGCAGAAAAAAAGAAATAAAATTGTCCAAAGGGCTCTTTGTAATGATGACATAGAAGGAAAAACACTTCTGGTTAACTAAAGAATATTTCCACAGACGGAAGAATCTCAAATGACGTAAGAGTGTGAAAAACCTTCTTAAAGTTCAAATAACCTGCACAAAATGTAAATGTCCCAGGAAAAATACTTTCATTCATATAGAATCTTTACACTGTGTGGTTTCTTTAACTAAAAAAGGTTCTTTATATTCACACATCTCACCTACTGAAAGTTCTTTCTATTGCATCTCTACAAAGAACCCTTCTAGTATCTCTATTTTTAAGAGTGCAGAGAAACAGGGGTTTGTTTGTCTTCTACAACAGAGATACATCCCCTCTTTAAAAGAAGAGCATATCTAAAGACTGTCTTGGCAAAATACATTATTGATAAAAGGGATTGTCTTTCTTCTCTTGCTAAAGAGGGAGAGAAGAGAAAACACTCGCTGCATTGTCTCTGTCTGTGTAAATATTGGCAAACACTCTAAACGACTTTAGCAGAAGTATAAAGGGAGAGATACAGATCAGAGATAATAGGTATAATAGCTCCAAGGGGATGCAAGCATGTGGGGGGGCTTGTGATTACACCATGCTTGAGTTACCCTGTCCTGGTTTTACCTATGGGCTGGCGGTAGGGGTGACACACGTGGATGTCGAAGGGTCTGTGGGTGGTGTTGACAAGAGCTTGGCGACCACTGCCATTGTACTTATTGCCTTTCTCTACTGTGCGGGTGTTCCAGTCAGTCCAGTATACAGTGTCTTCAAACACAGTTAAGGCAAATGGGTGAGGGAGCACACCGTCATACACAGTGTGTCGGTGACGGCCGTCTAGGTCTGAGTATCTGTGGACAGAAGAGAAAATGGATTTGGGTGAAAACTTTAAGAAATACTGCCATAGTAAAAAGGCCTATTTAAACCTCAACATCAATGTTATCTCTAGAAATAACAAGAGCATATTGTAATTTGACATTGTTTCTCACTCATAGCTCACTGAAACTCTGTCAAACATGCACACTCTAAATAGTCAGTACCATGTTCGTGTTGGTAAGTAGAAGAGTAGATGTTTTATTATGATTTTATTATGAAACACTGTCAGAAAAAAGGGTACTACATAGGTCCATTTTTTGCTCATCAAGGTTCAAACAATGTAAACATATCCAGAGGTGTGTAGTAACTAGTTATATTTGCTCAAGTACATGTACTTAAGTAAAAATTGATGGATTTGTACTTTGCTGAGTATTTCCAAATCATAATACTTTTACTTCTATACTCAAGTGTATTAGTGTGCACAAAATCTACTTTTTTCTCGGTTACATTTTTGCCATTCATATTCATTACTAGTTCCTTTTGTGTTTAATTTCATTACATTTTGTTGGTGACAGCATCTGTATTGCCTTGTGATTGGTCACATCTCTGACTTAGCATTTTATTTTAGATAAAGAAAATCCCAAAATGAGAAGAATATAGTGTAAAAAACTTCAGTTCCTATGTTGACTGATGCTGGATTTACTAAAAAGTTCTAGTTCAGTTCTACAGTTGCTCAGTACGTAAGTTTTATGATCTGACACTTTGTATTTCTACTTGTGTTGTTTCTGGTAAAGTACTCTTAATTTTACTTGTGCCTCTATGTTACCCGAGTATCAATACTTTTACTTGAGTATTTATTTGGTCTTCTCTAAAATACTCTGTATTTTTAAATAAGCTTCCCAGGTGAAAGGGTATATTTGTACCTAACGTTTTTGTTACGTGTCAGCTTGCCTGCGTTTTTTTCTCTGTTTTCTCCCCACTTTTGGGCTCTCATTCCCTCTCTGTCTCTGTAGGTGGAGTGAGCTGTCAATCTCCATTGGTGATTCAAGATAACCTCAGGCCGATCACACGTCCTTTGTAGCGGCGACGTCTCATTTCAATGTCTGCTCTATCAACTTTACATGGTACTATAGGTGCCTGCCATGGTGACCACGGGTAACTTTTGTGAGCTTGTCTCTCGTGTTGAGGGAGTACTTTCGTTTTGGTATTTTATCTGCATGCTTTTAACTTTGTTTAACAAGAGATTGCAGCTGTTGTGTTGGGAGTGTGCTGTTGTTGGGTAGGTCTCATCAGCACACTCCCAACTTTACAAGAGCTTGATTATTTGAACCACCTGGGGTTTCAAATATCTATGAAGGGTATGCCTATACATTTGCACCACATAGGATTTTACTCCGTCTGGTTCCCTAGGACAGGGGGCGTTGTTTTATTTTGAGCTTTTCTTTGGTGCAATTTACAGTTTTATTCTCCCAGTGTGGTACCAGGTATCATAGCACATTTTTATTGTGGTTGGTTTTAATAAAACAGCTTCAAAAGTTTTTATTTGTCTGTTCCTCATGCTTTTATCCCTTCATCTCCAGTTCAATGTTTTTATGCCATATGCTACTGATCCTACTGCTCCCTAGACAAAATGTGGCGTGCTCAAACATAACAGTTTTAAAATAGAAAAATAAAATAAAGACTCAGTCAAGACAGTCAAGACACAGTGTAAGGACATCATAGCGGCTAACTAGAGTACACAGCAAAAATGAGCGCATGACATTACCAGTAATTGTCATGACAGTTTATTATAACAAGACACTGTTTTATTACTAAACAAAATCTATCATGACAACTTATGAAAGCATATGACATCTACCATGACTTGTTATGGCATGGTTACATCAATGTTATGTAGCAGGGTTCAAGAAAAGCGTTACCTGTAATTTCTTAGGGTAAGTAACCATGTAATAGTTATGCAATTGTTTAATAACATTTAAAATATAGTAATATCTCTAAACTTCTAAGAGTAAAATAAATAAATAAATAAATGTATTTAGAAATCAACTATTAGAACAATTCGAATAAGAGTAAGACCAAATTAGAAATGTGAGATGTAGCCCTTCTATCTTGCAGAACAATCAACCATTCCACTTACTCTATGTAGTTGAGGTGAGCATCGGACCAGTACAGCATGTCATTGGTGTAGTCAATGGTCAGACCATTGGGCCACTCGATCTTAGTGGTGATGATGGCAGACTTGTTGTTGCCGTCCATCCCAACACGACCTATGAAAGCTTTATCTCCCCAGTCTGTCCAGTACACATATCTAAAAAATAAGATACAGCATTAGTATAAATAACAAAATCACTATTTCTTGAATAAGAAAGATTCATTAACTGTAAAACAGACAAATATCAGATACTTACCCAAACTTTGGATGCACTACAACGGCTCTTGGATTCTCAAAGCAGTAGGTGTTGTTAGCATCTACACAGTGCTCGGCCAGTTTCCGCACAAAGCGTCCATCGAGCTCTGACACTTTCATGCAGTCCAGAAAACTGTCCACCCAGTAAAGCTTCCGGCCCACCCAGTCCACGGCCAGGCCTTCACCGTGCAGGACCCCATTCACCACTACTTCTCTGCCTGTCCCGTTAAAGAACATCCTCTCCACTACCCGGCGGCTCACATCGATCCAGTACAGCCGTTTGTCCACGCGATCAAAGTCCAGCGCCACCACACTGGTCAGGCCCTGCAGGATGAGTGAGTAGGCCTCTCCATCTGTGGACAGGTTGCGCAGGTAGTAGCGGTTGCTGAAGATCAGGTAGGGGCTGATATTGCTGTTCTGCCGGCAGCTATGACCATCCGGCTCACGCAGGAAGCCTGGGGCACACTTACACACATACGAGCCCACAGTGTTCTCACAGACCTGACTGCACACGCTGGGCGTGTCCCAACACTCATTCACGTCGTCACACGTCCTGTTGTCAGACATGAGGCGGTAACCAGGGCGACAGGTACAGATGAAGCTGGTTGGGGTGTCTGTGCATTCGTGGTCACAGTGGTGCATAGAGGGGTCTGTGCATTCATTAATGCCTGAAGACAAAGACCAGTGACAATGCAGTTATTAAAGTAACGCCATAACAGGCCAGACAATAAGCAATCAACAATAGGTAAAAATGTTCAGTGAATTGTGATGCACCAATTTGAAGGTGCAATTAAACTACACTGATTCCACATATACCACAACCAATCACATAGTTATTCAAAAATGTATACTTCAAAGTTGGAATTACTTGTCATATTAACAATGTTCATTATTTTATATATTGTAAAATGTGGACAATACAAACCATTCACCTAGAGGTATTTTCAGATTTCTATGTTTTATTAAATATATTAAGAACTGTGTGAATAATAAGATATTAAAGATGAATAATACACTGTAATCATCTTTTAAGTGAATTCTTGAGATTAATGTTTCTATAACTGTCTATGAGCTTTCTATGTCATTTAAAAATATTCTACAGGTCCGTTCATCATGCTTTAAAATCTTAATTTTTATTTACAGCTTCCTAGTTTCCTACTAATCATTTGAAATGTATGAAGTCACACAGGACAAGCATATTAGATTCATTTTAAACATCTGCCACCATACTGGTTTTATGTTATTGAAAATGGTGATTCCAAACTTCCAAAAAAAATTTAGTTTGTACTCATTTTTTGGTCATAATAAATTCTTTGTTTTTTTTTTCAAAGAAAGAAATCTTGGTGCATTGGTTTTATTGTCTATATTCCACCACCACGTAAATAGTTTCTTTCTGGTTACATTTCACATATTACATGTATTTTAAAAACAACTGAATAATAAGAAAATAATCAATGACAAAATTGAAGACATTATGACACACTGAATAGTTTCCTAAAGAATAGTAATTAAATAGTTGTGAGGTCAGAGATTTACAGCCCTAATCCTTTATGTACTTCCAAGCCAAAGAGGACATCCATTTCAAAAAAGGAATCAAAGATCTACAGTATGTGGGCCAGTTTGCTCAAAGAAAAGGATTAACTTTTTAATCCCATGACTACCTTAGACTAGGGCTAACCCTTGTCCTGGAGTTCCCCTGGTCTGCACATTTTTGTGTTTTCCTGCTCTTTCACACCCACTTCAACTCAGGAACTAGCTGATTGGTTAAACTGGGTATGTTAGAGGAGAGAAAACTCCAAGATGCACAGGCCAGGACTACTCCAGGACTACAACTGGTAAACACTGGACTGGGTTCAATGTCCAAAAACTGTTCTGAGTGATGTGTACTCACCGCAGCCTTTCTCATCACTGTTGTCATTGCAGTCGTCACTGTGGTCACACACCTGGCTCGCTGGCACACAGTTTCCATTCTCACACCTATAGTTCCCAGGAGGACAAGTAGGGGCTGGAGTCCGGCACAGGCTGTCCAGCTCGTCTGACTCATCGCCACAGTCATTATCACCATCGCACTGGAAGTCCCGTGAGATACAGCGGCCATTCTGACAGGTGAACTGGTGCTGCTGACATGCCTGGTACGTGCAGCCTTGCTCATCACTGCTGTCACCACAGTCATTACGTCGGTCACATCTACCAAAACAGATGCAATACTGTTTCTCTATGCTTCTAAACACATGTTACTATTTAATATTAAAATTTCCCTGATTTTCTAAGGGGAAAATAATGTAACATATCCTACAGGGAACTTAAATATGGCATCTTTCTGCAAATTCCAGTGTACAGTTTCTATTTATTTGCTGAGTTTAACATACTGGAACACACAATTTATGTTTCATTTTTTCCAGTATATTAAATTAGTCAAATAAACAGTAATTGTGCATTAAAATATGCAAAATTGTGTTCTCAGATAAAATTCAGACAATCTTTATTTAAGAATAGTTTTTGAATAATAATTAAGATACCAAAACTATAAACTGACACTTAATGAATTGGTATCTTATTTTCTAGATTCTTCTACGTAGATTCCCTTTCAGCAGCGGAGCTATGCTCTTTCAAAAAAGATCAGACAGAAACACGAAATGACGCTTGAACAACAGCATATAAATATTACATCTGTTTTGTAAATACAATGACTGATAACAGAGACCTGGAGAATCGCTTTGCTTTTGTTTCTAGAGGCTAAAAAAAGCATATTTTTAACTGAATGCGCTGCACAGAAAAAATGCCACCATACGTGCAAAACAGTGAACAAAAAACAGAGCTAATTTTTCTGCTGCACAGATTTAATTTGTGCTAATTTCACTTTATTTGCAGTCATTTTCTGCTCTGTAGAACACCCTCTCTCCCTCTTCTTGATGGTAAGTTTCGTTTGGGTCATTGGAGTATGAAGCTGAGGTTATTGGTTGTCTCAAAAAGAAAAAAGTGACTAAATGGAACCAGTGATGAGTTAAAGTGAGTACTTTCTAGTTTTTTTCTCTTCAGTCCTGCTGACTTGTAATTAACCATTTCTTGCCAGTCATCTTGGTTTCCTTGTTACACAATCACACGTTCTGTACTGGACATCAAATCTGCCCTGAAAATACTTGTCATTAATATCACTTTTGTTATGTTTAACACCTACCAGAATTCTGTTCAGAATACTTTATATAATTTATTAGTATTTTTTATAGCACATCTGTGGCCAAAAGTAAAACTGAGCTGAGAACAGCAGCCTTTCTCCAATTACAGCATGCCTGACCTGTAAGAGCTGCGAATGCAGAGGCCGTTGCTGCAGGTGAACTCGTTGACAGAGCAGGATCTGCGTGTGCAGTTCTGGTGCTCATCATATGCATCAGAGCAGTCTGCATCTCCATCACACACCCAGTCCCGGGGGATACACTTTCGCTGCGGAGGCCGATTATTCACACAGGTGAACTCCAGAGGAGAGCATGTTCGGTTAGCTGAGGATTAAACACACAAAGACAGGCTACTGTTACATGAAATGAAAACTTCTCTGGACAGACAGATCAAATTATACCTGAAAACAAAACATTCTTGTGAAATAAGCATCTAAATCCAAGGCTGTATTCCAATTTCCATATGCTGTGCTAGAGAGTGGATAAGAGAGAAGCTCTGCAGTACACAGAGGTGCCTTACAATGCAGCCAACAGTTAGCGCTTGATGTTCCAAAACATTCCTTCACTCCATTTGTTTACACATTTTAACATTTTAAACCATTGCAGAATGGGGCATCCCTTTGGTTTAATGTGAATCAAACTGGCTAGGTCCCAACTGAGTGAACTTTGGCTACACATTCTTTTAGATTCTCAACTCTGGGCTTCGTATTGAGCAGACACACTGGACACAGACCATATGGCAGTGGTGACCAAGAGAGTGCCAGCCAGCAAAGACTGCCACAAAGCAACGAGTGAGGCAGGAAAAATCAGGAATGCAACTTCCTTACACTGAGGGTCCAGACCACAGCCACGAGCCAGAGAGGCCCTACTGCACACTTACTGAGCTATCTGACTGATCTACAAGAGAAGAGAAGAGAAGAGAAGAGAAGAGAAGAGAAGAGAAAAAGGAGAAGAAAAAAGGAGAAGAGACGACAAGAGAAAAAGGAGAAGAGAAGACAAAAAAAAGAGAAGACAAAAAGGAGAAGAGAAGAGATGAGAAGAGAAAAAAGGAGAAGAGAAAAAGGAGAAGAAAAAAAGGAGAAGAGAAGACAAGAGAAGACAAAAAAGAGGAAACAAAAAGGAGAAGAGAAGAGAAGAGCAAAAATGAGAAAAGAAAAAGGGAAAGGGGAAGAAAGAGCAGTGTAGAGAAGAACCAAGTAAGAAAAGAAAAAATAAAAAAAGAAGAGCTTGTGCTTTGTAATCTTAATGCCTTTATAACCACTATGTATCCTGTAACTACTATGCAACTAATATGTAAGTTCTGTAGAGTGTGTTAAAGGGGAGAAATAGTGGACAGTGAATGGTAGGGGGATAACACAAGGAGTGAGGTGATAAAAGACAAGCACTCACCACAGTTGTGTCTCTGGTCTTCATCACTCATGTCACCACAGTCGTTGTCTCCGTCACAGATCCAGGAGGATGCAATACACCTGCCATCATCGCAGCGGAATTGGTCTGAGTTACAGGTCCTCACCATGGTGGCTGCAGGGTTAATAAACATCACAAGAAGACATGCCTCAACAAAGAGGAGTGAAGCCTGAAATAGTGTCATGTCCTCAGAATTTTAACAAAAGTGATTGAGATGAAGACAGTATTCGTCACCAACTTCGCTCACAGTCCTGATAACGTTCACAACAAAAATACTGGTGGCTGCAGAGAATAAACATTGAGGTGCTGCAATCCTATTTCTAGTGGTCTGTTTTAACAAAAGGCAATGAGGGCCACTAAAATCATCGGTGAACAAAAGGGGAAGGGGGGTGTTTGACGGGAGGCTGGCCACTGCGGAAGAATGTGCCAGACAATAGGAGGCTGGACTGACCACAGGCCTCGCGCACACACGAAAACAGTCTCACAACTTTACTGATACTCATGCAGCACCAGTGGTACAAACAAATCCATTCTAGTGAGCCATCATATAATAATGTGTTCATGTAAATACAAAGAAGTTGATGCAAACAAAAGGGATTTTGAATGAATTTTTTATTCAAAAATATTTTTTAATGTCTGATTTTTTAACCCCTTAAATGGTCAAAGTTTTGTTACACACTTCTATAACCTAAGAATAGCTCAGTGAGTTTACATTGAAGTTCCTGTAGTTATAGAATAATAAGCCCTATTCTATCCTTAAGCCTATTTTGTCATTTAAAATATTATACTGATAAAGTAATGCTGTTTTGTTGTCCTAACACAATGTTCACATGTTTAATCTCTTACACAGTCAGATTAGAACAGCAGTTTTGATTGTATTATAATAGTGATGACTAACACTGCTCAGTTCTGGTAAGTCTACTCAGAGCAGCTTCCTGTAAAGCCTTTCTTCTACAAAACAAAGACGAGAGAAATCAGTGAGGCTTGTAATAAAACATCAGTTACTGAATATCAGATGAATTTTCCTGTTTATTACTATCAACAATGTTTCCCCCTTTTTCAAAAAGTTTAGATTATAAAACTGAAACAAAGGACACATTAGGTTTTCTTGACGGTTATGAATGTTTGTATGTATAACTCACTGCAGGTGGAGGGTTCATCTGAACCATCTGCACAGTCAGCACCCTCGTCACAGTACCAGTGTGCAGGAATACAGCGTCCACTCGAGCAACGGAATTCATTCTGGGAACATGTAGAAGTAGCTGAAGAGAGGGGCAGAACAGAGGCTTTCAGTTACAAGCATGCTTGAAAACAGGTTTGCACTGGCTACTTGACCTAAAACCTCTGACACAATTAAATTATTCACCAAACTCAGATTATTTCTAGAAAACCGATCACTTAAACCAAAAGTGAAGTGATGCACTACTGAATTTCACTGTTTAGCTGAAATGAGACTTTCCTTTCTCAAACTATTTTTTACCAGTCCAAAAGTTTTCTACACTGTAAAAAATAAAATGTCAGCTCAATGTAAATTATAAAGTAACTTATTCTACAACTTTTATGGAGTTAACTCAACCTGGGGAAACTAGAGTTCACTCAACCTAATCCCATACATGGCCATGGGCCCACTGGCAGTGTTACACACTTCTATAACCTAAGAACAGCTCAACCAGTTTGCACTGAAGTCCCTGTAGTTACTGAATAATGATCCTTAGTATGTCATAGGCCTGGGATTTTAAGTGGTTAAACTTCATAGTGTAGTCAAAAGTTCACATTTTCAGTTCTGCATGTCAGTTGGGTTAACAATACAGATTTTTTTTACTTAATTTTCCCACTAGCAGGGATTATTTTCATTACACAGTCCCATCAGGCATTTATTCCTCTTGTCCGCATCACTGGGGTTCAAATTCATGACCTCTTGATGTTGGAGCGCACGCTTAGATGGGCTGCACCACTCAGGAACCACTGGAGCTAGGCAGATTTCTGGTGACCATAAATGATTTGCTTTTCTAGTTATAAAGTGAATCACTGAAAACTCACAAACTATACAAATAAAGCCAGCCTGGATTTCACTAGCATTACTTCCTCAAAATGTGGACACTTTTTTGTACTAGTACTCATTTTTCCTAATTTACTACCTCTACTACCTACTCTACTACCTATAAAACAACAGAGCTCATTTACATATATCAGTTTTAAAGACGCAGTAACAACATCATGCTTACTTCTAAGGGATAAAAAGGTGTTGGAAAATGGTCATTAAAAAAATAATTACAAACGGACCTTGACAGAAAAAATAAAATACAAGAAAAATGCAGGATATTGGCCCATTAAGTTTACTGTGTAAACCATGAATCATGTAAATTCAAGGCTCCATTTTTTCCGTGTATGAAAGATTAGCTTCCATGTTATAGCATGAAGCAAGCTTTTCAGAGTGTAGCTAAGTCAAAAACTAATTAAACATGATCACGAAGCAAGTCTAAAAAGCGATTCACCCTCAATTTGCCATGAATTCACTAAACCCAGATTTGTTCCAGCTGACCTTTAACTTATTGGGGAGCTTTCTTGGACACAGATTAAATCTAATCCTGGACTAAAAAGGAAATTTAATAAAGGATTACACCGAAAGTGTAATTCAGTCCAAGATAAGTCTTAATCTGTGTCCAGGAAATTAGCCAATTTTTTATAAAACCTCTAGTAGAGAGGGTGGAGCATAAAAACTACATTCCATTTTCCACAGAGATCAAAACGAGGGTGTCTAAACTGTCAACCCCTTATCACATTAAGCCTGTATGCCAACTCACCGCAGTGTGTGGGGCTTTCATCACTCATGTCTCCACAATCGTTATCCCCATCACACAGGTAAGAGCGTGGGATACAGATGTTGGTGGTCTGGCATTTAGTGTGCTCAGGCTGGCAGGTCCTTTCAGCTGGGACCAAGAGAGCAAAATAAGTCAAATTAATGAGCAAACTAAGATCTTTAAAAACAATTAAAAAATATTCAAACGTGGTTAGTGTAGTGGGTAACATATCTGGCCTTCAAGCTGCAGACAAAGGTTTGATTCTACACCTGGGCAAGCACACTATACTGTATCAATAAGACTCCTAACATTACCTTCTCCTTCGTCTACTTCTATAAAATGATCAAATTGTAATTTGCTCTGGACAAAAGTGTCGGCCAAATGCCATAAATGTAAATGTACAATAGAAAACAGAACTGTTATGATGATTAGAGTAACTGAATATCTACAGTGTATTAAAAACAGCAAAAAATTCTAATTGACTAATTCAAACGATATTAGGGCCACGATTAATTAAACTCAGTTAAAATCATTAACTGAAATTGGTGTTCTTTCTGAATCTGCATTAATTAGTTGACAATTTGCACAATAATGCCTATGTTAAATTCACCTAAGAAGCAGCCTGATGGACACACAGGTAGGTAAGTTATACCTACCAACTTACACCTACACCTACCTAAGCACCTACTTGCTTTTTCTCATTTTGTTGTTTGGCCTTTTTAAAAATCTCTAATTACTCAATTTCATATCATCATTATCTCATATAACTACTTCCATGCTATTGATATAATCAAGTCATAGCCCTAAAGGATATTTCAGCAGAAGATCAGACACCTTTACATCGGACATACCGCAGTTCTGTTCATCTGAGGTTCCATTGTCATAACAGTTATTGATGCCGTTGCACACGTACTCGCGTGCGATGCAGCGGCCGTTGTTGCAGGTGAACTCTGTGTCTGGGTCACATGGGCGAAACACACAGCCTGCCTCATCACTGTTGTCTCCGCAGTCGTTATAGTGATCACAGCGGTAGTGGTATGGCACACACTTGCCGTTTCCACAGGTGAATACAGTGGGCTCACACGTGTGGAAGGCTACCAATGACAACCAGAAGGAGACAGAATGCTTTTATGACACAACAAGCAACAAGACTACAAAACAGTCCTACATGGTGCCCTGCAGCACCGAGTACAGTGTTTTCGCCCACAGAATAGAAACCAGCACACTGATGCTCCAATTGCTCCAAGATCTGTTATGACTGAGCTTTAAAGTGCATAAAAAAGTAGATAGAGTAACTGATAGTCTAGATTTTTCAGGAAGGCACCTGACCAACATGAACACTTGGATTGTGTATGAGTGAAGAAGGGAGTTCTAAAAGACCTGAATTTACCTGATAAGGAAATAAATGCCGCCACTTGTGGGACTGCATGCAAAAGAGCAGTGGATTTCTTTAATGATTAGTAATCTGTAGTGGAAGGTTAAAGTCAAACTAGTCTACAGCTATTCTACAACAGATGACTAGAAAAGGATAATTATACACACCAAAAGCGAAATCACTCTTGGATCCTGGAGAGAAAGATTAAATTGCAGAAATCAGAGAACAGCAAGTGGCAGCCAGTTAGCAAACAGATAAGAAAGAAAAAGAAAAGGCAGACAAGACAGAAAGAGCAAGCATAAAGACCACCCAAGTGTAAAACATATAGATTTGAAACAAAATACTGAGACAAACAGATCAAAATCATTATAGCAGTCCACAAATAAGCCACACTCTTCAAAACAAAAGCTTCTAAACGATTCTTGACTTATGGCATTTTTCCACGAGGCAGTGCAGGGTATGGTTAGAAATCTGTGATCATGCATTTTGTTGTCATTTCCACTATCAAGTAAAGCGTACTTGAGCACTGAATTTGTTTGCCTTTCTTATAGGGCTACCAGGCATAAGCCGGAACGTTTGGGTGAAGCTAGCAAAAGCTTGTCAAAAAATTTGGCTGAACGCAATCGTCACAGACTAGTCAGAATTGCTATGTGTGATTCTCACATAAAACTAAATCAGAATTTGAAGCTCCTCTATTGTTGCTACTGTTGTGCTTACTGTTAACACTAAATTTAAGTGAGAAATTATCTGACCAATCAAACTAAAGAGAACTACTTTTCCGGTTCTGTTATGCCATTGGAAACAGACACATACTCAACCAGGGTACGGACAGTTCTGGATTTTGGTTTGTAACTGTACTGTAGGGCTAAAAAATCATTTTTATATCAAATAGCTATTCTGAAAGTGCAATATTCGAAACACAAGAGCTGCAGTTTTATTATAGCTTACATTCTCTTTAGCAATAAAGAGAAAATTAAGTGAGAAAATTTAACCTAATAGCATGGAGTATGTGAACTGTCTATAGATAGGTTAGACCAATCAGAGGCAACTAAACACATCACAACACAACTAACTGGCAGTCTGGCACAGTATGTTTAGCATTCTTCCAAAAAAAGAGGCCTAGAACTTAATTTATAGAAAAGAATCACAATTGAAATGACAGCTGGATTGCAATTAGATATTTTCCCCAAAACGTTCTGTGTCATGCTGTACCATACTGACCGTTGGAAAAATGCCACAGGATTCAAAAGAAGTTCAAAGAAAAAAATGTAATAGGTAAAAACCTTACATGATGTAGAAGGTTTAAACTTTAAAAAAGGTTCTACACAAACACAGACCTTCTTAAACAGTTAAAGGTTCTTTAAGAAGCCAAAAGGGGTTCTTCTTTGGCATTGCTCAAAAGATCATTTCTGGCACCTTTATTTTTAAGAGCACACTACAAATGATCATGGTCATCCCAGGCAGAGTTAGACCAACAAAGTTAGAACATGTAATGCAATGAACATTTAGAGCATTTTTTCACTAAAGGTGTGTGGAACCTCTTGAAATGAGCGTAACTCTGAAAGCAGAGGGGACACAGCAAAGCCAAAGATAAGATAGGAGACCTCTTAAACTCCAAGGAGCTGTATGTCAGTTCCTCACTCTTTTAAGAATATTTCCTATATATTAGTTTCATAGCAGTTTCCAAATAACTTACAAAAGATACTGATTAAGTCTTAAGATTTATGACTGAATAATAAGACTGGGACTGAAGGGGTTAAGATGGTTTCAGATTATAGGATTAGCTTCTTTGCAACAACAACGTGCCACCAGCAACACAGCTTACCACACACTCTCTCCAGCTCATCACTGCCATCTCCACAGTCATCATCATTGTCACATTTCCACTGCGCACGGATGCAGCGGCCATTCATGCAGGTGAACTGGCCAGGTTGGCAGCGCGTGCCATTATCAGGGATGCAGTATTTGTTGTCAGCCAGGTACCAGCGACCCTCAGATGGACACTGACACTCTGCCCCCTGAGGACCTACGCACAAAGCATCATGTTACTGAGTAACAGTTTTGATTATCTACAAATTGCTCAACATAGTAGTGGTGGTTTTAACCATAACATACCCCACTATAAGCTCAAAGGGAGTTTTTCCAACACTGAAAATGTTATTTTATTAAATCAAGTGAGACAGAAAGTAAACTCAAACATGCATGGGGGTTTCACCAAACATTTATACATACCTTGAGTTGTTAGTTACCCCACATTTATATCTAACACAAACTGATCTACAAACTACTTTGTAATTTTTTAATATTTTGTTTGTCACTAATCTGTAAAAACAGATTTTGGAGTTTAAGGAGAGAGCTAAAGTGAAAGATTGTCAGCAGCTATAGGTATACATTTAAAACTACTCAAAACTGACATCCAATAGTTAAAGAATTTTTAGGCACCTGGAGTGCAGATATGGCTACAGCCTCCATTGAACTGTTGACAGGGGCTGCCGCATTGCTGCTGTTTGCTGTTGGACAGCACGTGGATGTCCATAGGCCGAGACGGAAGGTTCTGAAGCATGACCCTCTGGTCTGAGCCATCGTGCTTGTTGGCTCTGTAGATGCTCCGCGTATTCCAGTCCGTCCAGAAGATATGCTGCCCATACACAGTCATGGCGAATGGGTAGATGGCCGTGCTCACAATGATCTCACGGTTAGCCCCCGTAAGAGAACAACGTTCAATCTTCTGTCTGATTACACAGAAATGAAACAACTTGAGAAAGTTTCAGTCTAACATGCTATCACTAGTAATAAACAATTATTATATTATTATAATAAAAAATAAAATAATAATTTAGGGAAAAAATCAGTAATTAGCAAAAAACAAAGGTTACCACCTTTCTCACTGATTTGTTAGACTATATATCACAAAATGTGTGTACTATCAAAATACAAGCTAGAAGCTAGAAAATCTTACAGGCTGGCATCGGCCCAGTAGAGTCTCTGTTCATCATAGTCCAGGGTAAGGCCATTTGGCCACACCAGACTGGTGTTAACTATCTCAGTCCGGAAATTTCCACCCAGAGTTGCACGCTCGATCTTGGCATTGGTACCCCAGTCAGTCCAGTACATGTACCTGAATCATATACAGAGAAGGATTCTCTTCTAACTATTGAAAAAACATGTAGCACCATATAAAGCTGAACAATTGAGGGGAGAGTGAATCATGAAACACTTTGTTTTTATAAAACCACAAATTCAGTTCATCCAGACACAAAAATGCTGGTGAGTATACATTATGTTAAATAGTACAGACTACTGCTAAATGCTGAGGATAGGAGAAACTTACCCACTGCAGGGGTCAAGCATGATAGCTCGTGGTCTGGGCACATGAGCTATAAGAGTCCTCTGAGATCCATCCACAGCCATGGAGCTGATGGTCTGATTAACATAGTCACTGTAATAGATCCTTTTATTGATCCAGTCATAGGCAATACCATCAGGGGCACCTAGATCTATGTATAAAGAAGAAATACTTTATCATTTATACAGCATAAGCATGATGTACAAGGTTTAGGGCATCAAAAGAAGTATTATTATAACTTAGAACCATTAAATTATCTTTTCCTATGTTTTAAAGACCTACTTTGCACACGCAGTCACAAATGTTAACATATCACTAACCTGGGATTAAAATCAATTTCTTGGAAAATTATGTAGTATGCATCATCAAAAATTTCCGGAATTAACAAATAACGGACTGAATCGTTTCTACCGGCTTTTGCCTCCACCCTATGACAACCAAGACACTACAGACAGAAATGATAATTTTGGTCCAGTCAATCAATTTTTCAGAAGATAAACTGTGTCTTTAACATGCTTAAATATGTAGAAATATGTTCATTGCAGAGTGTTTTGTCAATTTGCATCCACTCACTTGTGAACTGATACAAGTGATCCACTGTCTTATGGACTGATACATATTATTATAGCTGCTTAGATCATTTTCTTTTTCACTTATTTTGAACAAAAAAGAGAAATGATCTAAGCAGCTATATTTTGATTATTTAATTGTTGCATGCGGGCCTCTATGCTCTTTTTGAATTTTGTACTTTGGAAGGTCAACATAACATTACATGTAAAAAACATGTAAAAAGTCATATATCACTGAAAAGATTCTTTCATGTAAAATCGAAATACATTATTCAAATATGTCTATTTTCATTTGCACTAATGACAACATTCACACTAATAGTGTATATTTTCTGAGATCTCACTGGATAATGCAGTTCTGAGGCCCTGGTTCTTAAAACAATGCTTGTCAAAATTAGCTTTACTTTACATTTAGAATAAAAAATCTCAGCTTCTTGAAATGCAGCAATCATTTAATTATATGTTCATTCCTGACCCTATTCTGAAGGATATTACAGTAGGTTATTGCTCATTAAAAGATTTGTGCTAGATTTTATAATAAATGACCTGGAAATCATTTTATACAATTTAACAGTGTGTAGTGTTTTCTTGATTAAATAAAAAAAAATGACGTTTCAATAATCTGCTCTGTAAAAAACTTTTCGGAGTGTTTCTTCACAATGAAATTAACATTTTTATACAAAAAAATTCCAAAAGCTCAATTTGTGCAAATGTATGTATGTTTAGGCAGATAACATCTCATTTTCATATCTGAATATCTAAATTGTTTGGCAAAATGTCCAATAGAAAACAATACATGTAAGACTATCAGTAATAAACTGGCAAAAAAACTGTGATAGCTAGTGTTTTAAAAAATTACTCCAATCACCTGTAGTGTTTCTCCTGAAGGAGTAAATAAAATTAGTACAGCAACAAATTTCAGAAATAAAATGGTGAAATGCATTTCAGTACCTGTAGCCACCACGGTAGCAGGTGAGGTGGGAGATGACAGGCTAACGTAGCTGATCTTGCTCTGTCCTGGTCCAGAGCTCTGAGTGAAGTAGATCCTGTTGTCCAACCTGTCATAATCCAGAGCAATAGAGGTCCGGGCCACGTTGACCACAGGGAAGGGCAATGAGTGGTCTTCAGGGTCCAGCCTTAGAGAGCGAACTGTGCTCTCTGTGGTGTATATGAGGTAATCGTCCCGGGACACCACACAGCTCAGACCATCCACAGCCAGGTTTCCAAAGGCACAGGCACACTTCCTGGTCTGAGTGCCTGGCAGAGCAAAGCATAAATGAGCACAGCCTCCATTAGACTCCAAGCAGGGATTGTTATTGAGCTCCTGAGCTGATCTGGGCTGCATCCTCTGGTCAAAGATCGTGACGTCTCGCAGCATGTTGATGTTGTCTCTGATCACTGATGGCTGGTCAGTATTTCCTGGTTCTTTGCTGGCCTGGAAGACCTTTTTCAAGTTCCTGTCCACCCAGATGATGTTATTCTCAAACACAGTGATGCCATATGGGGTAGGGTAGCGGCTCCCAAACCGTACAATCTCTGTCTCACCCCCATTAGGATGCACCCGGGCGATCATGTCAAGTGAGTCATCCACCCAGTAGATGTATCCGTTCCTGTGGTCCAGAGCCAGTCCCCTTGGTGTGATGATTCCAGACGAGACCAGTACAGTCCGGTTGCTACCGTCCAGGAAAGCCCGCTCAATTTTGGGGTTCTGCCCATAGTCAGCCCAGAAGAGGTATCTGTTTTTGGGGTCTACTACAATATGACGAGGCATGTCCACCTGGGTCTTCAAGAGTACCCGTCGGAAAGTGGTGTTAAGGCGAATGACTTCAATGTACGTCTCTGTTAAAAAGGCGTTTGTGAAGTACAGGTTCCCTGACATATGGAGAAAGAGAATTTTAAGAATTTCACAATGAACACATTTTTAACTACTTGCACAATTGGCAAAAGATATCTCCGAACTGTGGTCCCACAGAATATATATTTATGTTAAATGTCACAGCTATACTGACTTTTCTTATTACACTGTGCACTTCAAAGAGATGGCACAGTTTCATATCAGTTCCATCTGACAGAGATATATACATCAGCATGTACTGTGATTAAGTATATCTTCTGTGAGGATGTGCACTGCCCATTAAAAGTTTGGAGACACCTTGTCTTATTTTGCAATCTGAATCTGTTACTTTTCAATAAGGAAAGAAAACATATCCTCAAAGGTTTTACTCATCAAAGTGTCTTCGTTGGTATGAAGAGGTATAAGAGCAGCTTTTGCCTACATAATGATTTGACTGTTTTCTTTCCCAAACTGTTGTTAAAAGCACATACTAAAAATCTTAAGCTCCAAATGTTGTTTAAACACCTGAGGAGATAAAATGTGTGGAGTTGGCAAGGTGTCCTAAGACAGTGACTGTTACTGTTTTATACTACTGTTATAAATTTTAGACAACAACTGTCTAAAGTGGTTGCCTGCTGTGTTTGACTGCACAGTGAAGTTTTATTTATGGGAAAATATTTGGGAGATTATTGACTTTACGTTTTTGTTAGCAACTTAAGCATCGTAGCTCCATTGCTAATCTAAAGATGTAAAATTTGGACTTTAAACATGCCTTAGCTGATCGACTCCATCTGGGATAAGAGGAAAATTGTGTACCTTTTGAAATTTCACTGAACCATTCTTTTAAATACACTTTGAAAAGTTAATTTTGATGGGTAGTTTATGTTATGTTTCATTTGAGTTGTATTATACTGTCAAAGCACAGAGCCGAATTACAACAGCCACACACCTGCCGCCCAGTCCACAGCGATGCCTCGGATTCCATTGCGCCCGATCCCAGAGGTAACGATGCTGCGGAATCCAGATCCGTCTGGCTTGATCCGACGAATTCCGTTCTGAGAGGCAACAGTGCTGCTGAAGTCACACCAGTACACAAACCCAGATTCCATGTGCACGTCCACATGCAGAACATTACGACCTATAGTGTACACACAAACACACAGACTACTGCACTGGCCAAATTGACAAATCGACAGCTACTAAAAAATCAAGTGCAGGTAACAGCACAGTATCTAAATATATTATTGATTATGTAATCAAACTATTACGAAACCATGTCACTTACAGGGTAATACATAACTCCTTACACATTAAAAAGCAAATAAATACTTAAAATAGCGATAGACCTTTCCAAAAAATCTGTTCTGAATAAAGTTTCAGCTCCATTATACAAAATAATTGTAATATACTATTTGTCACTGCTACACTCACCTCTCCCTGCCACAGGAACCATGGCCTCAGAATGATCAGCTCCCTCCAAACTGAATCCCTTGATGGCCGTCAGCATAGAAATGACCACGTAGGACTGGAATGGAGCACAGGTTCTGTTATCAGGCTTGAGTCTGAAGCCTGTAGCGCAGGCACAGGAGAACAGGCCTCCGGGACGAGGAAGACACAGCTGCTCACACACACCTTCATTATTACTGCAGCCATTGGAAGAGCCTGCGGAGGCTAGAGAGAGAGAGAGAGAGAGAGAGAGAGAGAGAGAGAGAAGGAGAAAGGTAAAGAGAGAGAGGGAGAGAGAGATTTTACAAATATGTAGGTCCAGTATCATCTAATGAATCAAACCATTTCTTAACATTCTTATGCAGTAAGTTGTATTGAACATTTTGTATACAGTCCATTATCAACACATTATAAAAAATTATCATATACATTTACAATCTTGCAGCAACAGTGCTATGAAAGTATTTGCTTCAACTCTAATTGTAGCCTCCCCTGGTTTTAGCTGGACAAAGCTGCACAAAAAGCACCGTTCAGTGCCAGAGTAATGAACCTGTCCATTGATCATGAAACAAAGGGACACTGAGCCTACCCTGCAAAAAGCGTCATTCTGAGACAGAGAGGAACAAATTGGTAAAGTGATCCTTTGTTTAAAGTCATTACTTCCTGGTAATTGCTACATGGCTATCTGGGATAAGATGACTTCCAGAAAAGACCATAAGGCCGTCCTGATAAGAATCAGGTGGCTCAGAGGGCCAAAAAATCCCACAGATCAGATCAGAGCAGATTATAAACTCATAACAGATGTTTAATGACTTATACTTACTCTCTCTGTAGTGCACTTTGAGTACTCTGAGACCGGCTACATTGTCCCGCAGCACAATTTTGTTGGCTCCTGTGGCTTTGTCCACACGTTCAATCACCTCAAAGTCCCTATCAGTGAAGTACAGGTAGTCCCTGTGCACAGCCACACCCCACGGATGAGAAAGGCCAGCAACCACAGTGATGCGGTTTGACCCGTTTGGATCTCCTCTCTCAATCTGTTTGGAGGTTTAGAACAATAATACAACAATAGAAAAATTGCTATTGAATAATAGCAACAATGGTTATTTATTAATGCTTAAGTACTTTTTAACTAAGCATTAACTCAACTGTTATCAAAGTAGTTCTTCAATAATTACTCCTCATTATAATACACTACTATATTAAACTACATTTCACTACAATAAATTACTATATTCATCAAAGTTGAATGATTTACAAATCTTGAACCACTGTGATAACTACATGTGTAAGATTTCCTTAATTAATGCTTAAGTACAAACCAACAAGCAGGTTTTAATTAACTGAAGCTTAAGTACTAAATGTGTAATAAAGTTATTAACAGTAAAGCCATGAAAGATTATCCTACCAGGATAAGTTCTGGTATGTAACAGAATCATAATATCAAACATAAACAACCAGTAACTCCATGTTTTTTTAAATAATTACTAGTGGTCTTATTGCATGAGTAAAGTTTTGTGAATAACATTAATAGCTCAAGACTGGATGCCAAGTCATTACACTTTGTAAGCATAGTATTTATAGTAGTAGTCACAGTAATGAGTAATTTATGAACTTGACTAGTGACTGACTGGTTTAAAAGTACATAAGCAGTAATTAAGGAAACTTGAAACATGTAGTTACTGTAGTGATTCAAGATTGATTACTAAAATGTAACACTTTCTATAGCACTGAGGTGCATTATATTGAGGTATAACTGATGGAGAACTGGTAGGGTAACTCTTGATTACTTATTACTAAGTTAGTAAGTACTTAAGCAATAGTTAAGGAATCATTAAACACGTAGCTATCTAATTTTTCAAGATTATTAAATTACTACACTCTTTACAATCAGCAGTCATTGATAAAGTACTACTATGTTAATACTTGCTTACCTACTGTCAAGTTAATAACTACTTAAGCACTATTTAAGGATCCATATTGTAAAGTGTTCCCAAAAAACAACTGCTGGCAGAAGTAAATGTAACTAACCACTCCAGACCCCGTGACGGCCCAGTAGAGTTTGTTCTCTTTGATGTCAATAGTGATAAACTCCACATGGTCCAGGTTGTTGGTGTAGAGGATAACTGAGTTAGAACCGTCCATGTCTGCACATGCCACCTTGGCTGGAATGCCGCTCTCTGTTCCATGATCTGTCCAGTACATCTTCCTGTAACACATCACATGAAGCAAGTTGAGAATCTACCAAATATAAAACATTATAAGTTCTACTACTTCCAACAAATTCACCCCACATAAAAATATGGATGTATTAGGTGAGACTGACATTATACCACATTCACCAGCCAGTTTATTAGAAACACCTATACTGTGGTCTGTTTCTGAGCACAGAATGGCTGCGGCCACTCTCACCAGTGACACTGATGTGTAAAGACTCCAACAATGCTGCCGTGATACACCCACACAATACCTTATTTCTACCACGTCAGTTTCACTGCTGTAATAAAAATGGTCCACCACCCAAATAACAGCGGTCAACAACAGTCCAGTGATCAGGAACTGACCAATGATGAATGAGATCATGTTAGAGAGTGGCTAACAAAATGTGAATGGCTACATATGACCTACAGTCTGTTACGGTACAACTATATACAGTTGTATGCAAAGGTTTGAACACCCCTGGTCAAACTGCATGTTTTAAAAGTGAAAATAACACATCATCCACAGGAACACACTTAAATATGGCAATTTGCTGCATAATTTCTATTTATTTGCTGAGTTTAACACATTGGAAAAAGATAAAATAAAAGATAAAAACAGGCCACACTTTGTGTTTTATATTTTCCCAATATCTTAAATTCAGTAATTAAAAAACAGTAATTACAGAAGCGTGTTCTCTGTAGAGAATGTGTACTTATTTTCACTTAGAAAATTAATAAAGTATAATTTGTCCAGGGATACCTAAATGTCTGCATACAAGTGTATGTAGACCTGTAAAAAGAGGCCAGTGAGTGTAAATCACTCTCATGATTACACAGTTACATTACATAGTTTCAAAGCAGTTACTAAACATTAAATCTCAAGGCTAATAACATGTAACACACCTGCAGTTTAAAGGGTTAAAGTGAATAGTAAAGTGGTGTGTATCAGCTTTCAAGTCAACATGAAATTTAGAACAACTGCTAAACTGATGCATTCTACACTAAGCATGGCTGCTTATTTGATGCTTTTAAAGTGAGTGCACTCTTCAGTTCCACAGACTAGGATTTCCGGCAGCGTTTCTGTGAGCTGGGTGAGCATGAAGTCACACTGACAGAGCCCAGTGAATATGGGGATCAGCTTCTGTGCCAGGTCACTGCTAAACTGGGGCTTACCCACGTGCCGGGTCCACAGCTATGCCAACTGGGGTGCCTGCGCCAGTTGGGGTACCATTGTTAGTGAGGAGAGTCTTCCTGTACTGCACTTCGCCTTTCAGCCTCAGTACCTAAATGAACAGTTGCAAAAGAAACATTTGTCACACAACATTTACAGTGTAAAAGAATAGTTATTTTTGAAAGAGGCACAAAGTTTACCTGAAATTGATCAAATAAATGGTCCAATTGACACAAGTATTAAGTTGAGCACTGACCGTAAGAGTACCTCACCTCTATGGACTGTGTGGCTGGGTTGGTGTAGTATAGATTTTGAGACATCCAGTCAAGAGCCAATCCCACTGGAGATCCCAAGATAGCCGCTGGAGCAAACTCAGTCCTGTTAGTGCCATCTGACCTAACCCTGTGGATCTCCCCCTATGTAGGAGACAGATTTATCAACGCAACAATTTTTTTTCCAGTTAATGGTAATCAGGTCAGTGATGGCTTAAAAACATTTGAACATTTAACGAAACAACACTGTAACAGAGTTCGGCATTTAAAACTCTAATTTGTGAATGACTAATTAAAGAAACATCTCAGGCTTACAGGGTGTTCAACCCAGTAGATCATCTGCTCAGTATCATCAAAGTCCACATCGTATCCATTTTGCAGCCCAGCAACAGGCACCATAGCATCATTGCTCTTATCGTCTGGGTTGAGGGAAATACCATAAATGATGCTGTCCCTAACAACCACCAGGAACGGTTCGTCCACTGTAAGATAGCATTATGCAAGGACCATGTCAGTTGCCTACTCATACTTAATAAAAATGTATCAATCGCATTATAATAGAGATTCACATTCAGTGACAAGGCTATATGGTTTTATGACTTTATTTCTTACCCTTCAATGTTTAAATAATATTGTAGGGCAAGAAATAAACTCATTATTTAGGCATTGCATGGCATTTCTTGCCATACAATGCAACCCCTTAATACACATTTCTATGACCTAAGAAAAGCCCCATTATTTTGCATTGAAGTCCCTGTAGTTAATGAATAATAAGCCTTAGTAGGTAATACGCCTGGAATGTTAAGGGGCTAAATAACAGACTGACTATAGGTCACCAAACTTCAAGATTTTCATAAGACTGACACACACTTATAGGAAACAGTGAAAGTTCTCTACAGAGAGCACGTTCTGCTGTGTCATCAGAGATTAGGATCAGTGGGCACTCACTCATTCTCTTTCTGGGGTAATCATTCATCTCTTAGTAGAAAATGTGCTTGACATCGCTGAGAAAAGTTGAAACCTGAGAGGGGCTGGACAGGTGCCCTAAAAAGGACCCACTAGATTTAAGATTAAAGCTCTCTTGTCTGTGCTCAACCATAACCATAAGCTGAGCTCAGACCTTTTACGATTGTAAATATTTGCCCTCAGAGAGGGGGAGATTATGGAGTAAATTGAAAATGGGATGCTGTTGACAAGATCTTCTTCTCATGAAGCACAGCACATATCCAGTGTCACTGTGGAATACTTCATTCAGCCAGTGAAAAGGAGATTAACTGGGGTGAGGCCAAAGTGAAAGACACAGCCACATTCAGATAAGGCAAAAATGTATAGAAAAAAAAATTCACAAATGACTTAATGGAGAGTAAACTAACTACTACTCCTATTAACATTTTGGACTTTCCTCATAAGATAATAACCAACTTATGAAATATGTGGTATAATACATTAAAGAGGCAAATAAAAAGTACTTCTGAAGGAATTGACAGGTGGTTTTCTTGTGGTTGGTGTGTCATACCTCTATTACAGGTCACCTGGTCAGGTAACAGTGTCCAGCCTGAGGGACAGGCACAGGAGTAAAACCTGGGGCCAGATGCGGAGAGCAGGCAGATGTGGGTGCAGGAACTCCCTGCGCATGAGTTGTCACCTGCCCAGGAAAAAAAAACACAATCAGAAGAGACAAATCACTTATGAAAATCTATAGGTCAGAAGCACAAAACTGAGGTGATAATGGCACATTTCTCTTTAACAGTCATTTAATTGTTGACTCATTAATGCACCAAATGTATTTAGACATATACTGACTATGTTTGCATTAAGAACTGTTGGCCTTAAAGCCCCATCACTGTTAAAACCCAATCACCTACATATGTGGTTTCTGTACTCCAGTTTTATGCAACATAAACAGGGCTGTTTTGGCAGGACTGTCGAAAACGCTTAGTTGTACCTGCTGGCTGTCTGGCCGGATGCATTGCCACCAGACCCATGGGCTGGGGCAGGTTATACAGCATCACCGTCTGGTTCTCTCCATGCCACTTGTTGGCCCGGATCACACGATTGACATATCTGTCAGTCCAGTACACAAAATCCTCAAAAATGGTAATTGCATGGGGGTGTTGTAGTACCTTTTCATTGAGAGACAAGAGACGGATTTTATTCACATGGGTTAAGGGCATAAATAATTGCACGAGTAAGCAATGCAAAAAAAAAAAAAATCTCACCAGATCGCTGGCAAGAACTTGTTTCCGGTTGTTTCCATCATAATCACAGTAGTCAATGAAATCCAGGTAAGCATCAGCGAAGTAGAGCAGACTGTTGGGATAGTCTATGGTCAGACCGTTGGGCCAATAGAGCTTGTTGCTGATAATGGTGGTTCTCAGTGTGCCATCCATGCTGGCTCTCTCGATGCGAGGGTTTCTTCCCCAGTCCGTCCAAAACATGAGGTGAGCACTGAAACCCAGACACAACTGTAAAACAGTTTTCACTCATTCTTACTAAATGACAAGGCACCACTGAAAAGCAGCGTGTTGAGTTGTGAGTTTCCTAGAAATTTTCTATTGATTCCTTTGAATGCATGAATGGACAAAATCCATGGTCAGCCTACAGATGCATTCTTACATAGCAACTGTTGCTAGATTGGACATCACAGGATGCTGGCAAAATCCTAATCAACCTGAGAAATTTAACATATTCATATTTATAATTTTTGTTTATTTACAGAATTTTTGTCAAGTACAAACATGTTGAGTTTCCAGTTTAAAGTAGTACAATACGGCTGGATGGTGTTGCTACAGTTAATCAAAAATGCCACATTTGCCACCATGACATCTTTAGCTTTAATACATAATAAAACAACTTTAAATAATATAACAGTGTCATGTTACTGTAACAATTAATTGACATGATGGCTAACAGGAGTACACAAAAATCAGCATGTGATACAAGCTGTCATGACATCAAACATTATGTTATCTGTAATTACACTTATTGTTAATGGTAACATGACATAGTTACATTACTAAAGAAAATCTGTCATTTATGACAGCATATAACTGCCTTGATATGTTTATGGCATGGTTATGTTAATGTTATGCAGCAAAAAATAGTTTTACTAGCTCTCACTGTATTTGACAGTGGTCAGTGTCTGTATATCACCGAGCTTACCCATTGCTGGGGTCCAGCACAAGGCCCCTTGGATTTGAGACATTCTGACTAACAAGCACTGTTCTATGGGAACCGTCCAGTTTGGCCACCTCTACAGTCTCCAGAACGTAATCGGTCCAGTACAGGTTTCTACCGACCCAGTCGACTGCAAGGCTCTCAGTGACCGTCACACCACTGTCAAAGATCTGTAAGTGTAAAGAGAGGCTGTCGGTTGTGTAATCTGCTTTGTAAGACAATGTAAAAAACTTCAGTAACTACTAGATCTAAAAGCAATGATGATTGTTTATGGCCATGTCTTGAAGCTTTTGCTTTAAATAGTAGCTTTTGAAATATTTAGCTCTCACTGAAGCCCTGCTGCACCCATACCACAGTCCTGTCACTGCCATTCTTATGTGCACTCCATATTCTGTCCTGGGTAGTATCAGACCAGTACACACGGTCCGTCACTGAGTCAAAATCCACCGCCACAATGTTACGACCATCTCGGACAAGGGAGCGCACCACATTCGGCTGAGAGATGATGTCATCGGATATGATCTGATTACGACTGGCCACCAGCAGGATTGCTTCTCGAGATCCTGTCAGATTGTGAAAAGAAACATCTATGTGATACAAAGAAGTACAAATTCACTTTTTCAGCATGTTCCTGCTATCGGTCCAATGGTTCAGAGACAATGAAAGAAGTCTCTGAACAGCCACACAGAAGCACAAAAAGAAGCACTGTTGTGGAATAATGTTCAGAAAAAAGGTATATCAAATTACAGCATTTTTCAGCTGGTTATCTCTGTGGTGGATGGGTCCATGTGAGTAGTGAGGCTCATAAACAAGCCTTTGTCCGATTATTAAGACCTAATTACCCCATGCGAAAGTTTGTGACTGACATATATGTTATTTGTCTTATCTGTAGTAATCTGATCAGAGGGCACAAGGGCAGCGGCAGAAAGACAGGAGCTCCTCTCACATCATGCATGGCTCCGCTCCGCCAATTTCTGTTCTCTAACCATCATCACACATCAAAAAAACACAGGTGTGCCTATCCTATTTCTGTTCAAGAAAACATTGCATACCAAGGAAATGGGCAAAGATGGGCCCAGATGTTTATTTCTGTTGTTTAGGTCTATAGCACAAGTTTGTTTTAGTATAGTGTCAGGATGTGGGGTAATACATATGTCTCTTTTAAAGACATGTAAAGTGACAAATGCGGCATGTATAAGATTCCTAAAAGGCCCAGGTGACCTCAGTTTTGGATGATGATGACTAGAGGAAAGGATCAAATACCTTTTAAAGAGTGTTCAATACTGGAGGACAGATGGACAGAGCTCCAGTCACAAAGACTGCTCAACTTGTAGTGTTTCAGTAGGAACAACGACTAAAGTAAATCTGCATTTACATCTAAAGGAAAGGCATCAATAAATAGGGCTATAATTTGCAGAAGAAACATTTCTATCCTGGTGAGAGTGGCTTCTTCCAGAACAGCAATGCTCCCTTACACAGGCTATGAGGGGTCGCTGAATAGTATATGAATAAGTATAAAAATGATGTAAATCATATGCTATGGCTTTGACGGTCACCAGATCTCAAACCAGTTTAACAACTTTGAGAGATTTTGGACATTAGACAGCACTCTCCATCACAATCAGAATAATGTTCTTTCCCCCAGTACAGTTCCAGACACTTGTAGAACACCTTAATAAGATACACATCGTTTTTTCCTTTAATATGTCATGTGTAATGTAGTTACATATGAATGTAACTACCAATATGTAACAACCATTTTCTAAGTGCAACCCTACATTTATGCCTAACAATAAAGACAAGTTTACTGCTTTTTAAACATTTTGTATAATTAAATGGTTAAGATGTAAATAAAGTCATTCAGAGTGGTCTGATGTGAAATATACTATTCCATACCATGTACAATGTATTTAGTTCCTCTAAAAAGCTTCCTCACAGAAAGTAATTACATGAAATGGATACAAATATGCTGCCTGATGCCTAAAACATATTCATGGTGAAGAGGTTCATGCAGGGTGTTGTAAGGTAACAAAAATGTATTTTCTCAGTATTAATAAGATTTTACCATTTTCACCATTACATATAAAAAGTCAGAAGATGCATGTAGGTTTACTGGTTATTTTAGGTAGTAAATAAAATGGCTATATTTGCATAACGTATATTGTGGTTCCTATCACAACTACTTTGAAGAAATCAGGGTCATTTCTCTACAATGATCCTACAATGAATTGTTTCATATCCAACTACTCTGAATGACTTTGTTGACATCTAAACAATTACCTGCAGTAATTTAACCTCAGTTAAATGGTTTTGTCCTTTTGGTTTTAAAAAATTAAAAATATAACTTTGAAAAAAGCACTTTGCAACATTGGGACCACTTTGCTGGTCCTGTAGGTTAGTCCTGTTTTTCTTGAGTATTCGTATAAAGTCAGGACATTTTTTTAGGAAAATTAACACACACATACACACACACACACACACACACACACACACACACACCTGAAGCTTTGCAGGTCCGTCCATCTGTCTCAAGTGTGTATCCTTCCTGGCAATGGCACCGAAATGAGCCTCTTTCATTGAAACAATGCTGGCTGCACAGGCCACGGGGAACACACTCATCTATATCCTCACACGTCTTTGAGTCATTGCTTAGTTGATAGCCCATTGGACACGTGCACTGAGCCCCAAATGGACCCTGGATACAGCCGTGAGTGCAGCCTGCATTGTTGTCTGAACAACTCTCTTGGTCTAAAGAGAGAAGGAAAGAAAATAAAAGGTCTTGAAATGTCTTTAAAGCATGCGTTTCACCATCAGCTTTTCCCATAATAGTTGTACCTACTGTAGATTTGGTATATTATGAATGCTATGACTTATACTTATGTAATGAACTATGCTTGTAAAGTGTACGCATTATGTATCATCCTACAGCACAGTATTTAAGACTATTAGGCACTGCACTACACACTTTTTTACTACATTCTACAAACAATTGCAGGTATAATGACACTCTGTCTATAATTGGGCAGTTAGTGAGCATAGTGAGGCAGACACTGGGGTAAATCTGGACTACATGCAGAGGATTGTGGATGATTGAGGATTTGGCCTACCTGGTAAAGGCTCATCTGAGAACAGTGAGGGGAGCATGGAAAAGGGAAATCACAGATCACTTTTAAGTTAATTACCAGATCAGAGCCACACATGCATGATTTGAAACAAGATTTGTCATGTGAAGTTCTTAATTCAAAAACACATAATATGACGCACAGGTAGAAACAGCAGATCTTGTTCACAAATTAAAAAAACAAACATTAATTTCAATAAGACATTATAACTTCATTATTTGACCAAAGAGAAGAAAACATCAGCCACACAAACATTTGTTGTAATGCACTCAAAGAATATACCAAAACTCCATTAAATATTTTATTTTTTTTTATCTTGATTTAATAGCATCAGTAAGCAATATTTGCTTCAAAAATCTCCAAGGCTGCACATTAACTGCAGCCCGTTAACCTTTGTTTTTATAAGTATAAAACCAGCTGCTGTTAATAAAGAACCACAGGAGATAGGAGTAGGAGATATATAGTACTGCGCAAAAGTCCGAGACCACCCGTAATTTATTTAATTTCCAGTTTAAACAGCTATTAAGCACAAGTTATACATTTTTCAGCATCAGGAAAAAAACAGAAAACATATAATTAACAGAAAATTACACAGAAGCCTCAGCACCTAAATATAATATCAAAATTTTCAGAATTTACTGGGTCCACTCTTTGCCTTTATTTTAGCTACCGTTCTTTTCAGCAGACTTGCCATGCCTCCAAAGTTAACTCTTAGAGGCTGGTTGCATTTCAGCTTCTCACAATTCAAGTAATCCCGAAGAAGTCCAGGATACTGAGGTCTGGACTCTGGGTTGGTCAGGCCAACAACTTCTTTGTTTGATCTTTTTTTGCCTATTTCTTTTTCTCAGAAATGGCTTCTTGACAGCTGCACATCCGTTCAGATCTGAAGAGTGAAGCTCAGTTTTCTCCTCTCTCTCAAAGACGAAAGTTTTAAGTACTGTTCATTTGATGGTTTCGGTCAGTTTTTTTTGCCTGGAAATTAAATGAAGACGGTCTCTAACTTTTGCACAGTACTGTACAGTACTGATTGGGATAAATAATTAATTCAACAGTTCAAGTCCAGTGTTGGACAAGATCTTTTTTTAGTTTTTATAGAAGTTGCACCTAATCTAATTTCCATATAAAGGGTTGGGTGAGCTGGTCTTAGTGCATGCCTTGGACAATCGCACAAAAAAAAAAAACTTACTGCAAAGTGGTGACTCATCCGCTCCATTTGGGCAATCAGGTGTATTATCACACACTCTACTGAGGTTGACACATATACTGTGGCCGGGGCACTGCCACTGCCAGCTGGGGCAGCGGAATGGTGGTGTGGGACAGTCGCGCTCATCACTGCCATCACGACAGTCGTTGTCGCCATCGCATAGCCAGCTGCGGAACACACAGTTGCCATTATCGCAGCGGAAGAGTGACGTGGGGCACGTCCGCGGGGGGCAGGCGTGGTGCTCGTCTGAACCATCCTCACAGTCAGGGTGGCCATCGCACTCCCATGTAGCAGGTACACAGCTGCCGTCTGATTGGCACTGGAACTCACTCTCATGGTGGCACATGCCTGGAGGCCTCGTGGCTACAAGTCAAAGGTCATAGCTGTAAGTAAGGCTATTACTTTACAGCATCTCAATAGTAAATTACAGTATTGTAGTATTTTACACATAGAACTTTATGATCCATGGTGGATTGAAAAATTTTGCCTGTAAAATTAAACATAAAAGAAAACCTAACACTTACGACAGCCAGATTCATCGGAGCGGTCATTGCAGTCAAAAACCCCATCGCAGCGGTAGTAGGAGTTGACACACTGGTGTCCATTAGCACACTTGAACTCATAGCCAGTGCAGTTGTAAACTGCATCACAGCAGTAAATTCAGAAATAAAGTAAAGAACGAAAAAAGAATATTTATTATTGACATTAGTAACGCCACATAAGAGCACTGTATGGGTAAATGCACAAAATTTGTATGGCAGCATTGGTCCTTCATAAGATTACTCCAGCAACTGCCCAGTGACTTCTTTTTAGTGTTATATGATATTGTATCGGCCCCAATCCTGACAGTATCAATACAGTATCAGTGTCAACAACAGAGAATTCTGATACCATGAAGCAATTTCTGATGTGCTGTTGAGTGCCGCTTGCATGTGCACCAGTAGACAGAGCTTAACTGAACTGAGCAACATGTTTGATGTATTATAAAAATGCTCAGTGCAAAATCTGTAACGGCAGCATTTTTTGGCGTGATCAGCAAGAATTTGAATACATCAAATTTAATTAAGCATTTAAAGATAAGCCACGCCAAAAAGCACAGCAAGTTTTGTAGCTCTGAAACTATTTAAATGGAAACACAGCTGTAGCATGTTCCAAACATTAAATGCTATTAATTCCAGCTGAGTATGTTTTATTTGTGAAAAACACTGTTTTTACTGGCACCTAATGAGTTTCTATATCAGCACTCGGTATTGGCACATACTTGAGGATCAGGTATCAGAACTGGAAGGAAAAAAGTGGTATTGGTGCATCCCTGCTTCTGAAAGTAATTGTCGAGTTTACTGGTTCTTTTCCTTTTTAAGTACAGGGAATGCATCATTGTCAACGGTAATAAATGGTATGAAAAAGAAAGATTAGACTGAACACTGAAATGTTGGAAAGAATGGAATAAGTCTTACCACAGTCCTGCTCATCTGCCCCATCCACACAGTCTCTATCTCCATCACACACATAGGCTGGGTCAATACAGCGATGGTCAGGACACTGGAACTGACCTGGATGGCATGTTCCTATAGCATCTACCAAACAAAATTAAAATCATCAGAAGGCAGACGTCATGACAAATCCGAGACACGAAGATTGCAACTTTCAAACTCAACTTTCAAAAGCTTCTTACCACAGTTGGTTTCATCAGAGCCATCACCGCAGTCATTGTCTGTGTCGCAGAGCCAGGTGCGCGGGATGCAGCGATGGTTGGCACAGCTGAATTGGTCAGCCTGGCATGTGCCAGGGGTCTGAGTAGGACAGTCTCTCTCATCACTGCCATCAAAACAGTCATTGTGGCCATCACAGCGCCAGTTCCTGGGCACACAGCGCTGATTGGCACAGGTGAAGGCAGTAGAGGAGCAGGTGCTGTCTGAATACGAGCAGAGAGAGAAACTCTCAACCCAGGAAACAACACGAGCAAAACGGAAAAATACCATTTTCCTCAAAAGCATCTATTTCTTCTTTTGAATCTGTCTTTTAATATCACATTACATATCAGCAACATTTATTCTGACATAAAGAGTATGGCCTTTCACAACCAAAAATGAATCAATTCTCATTTTATTTCTCCCAGACCACCAGCAAGCACACATACGCATAGAAAGATTCTTCACACATTTATTATTACTCTAATGAATCCTTCCCCATCCAGATTTTATGCTTACTCAGAAAATATCGTAGTGCATCCAACAACAAAGGCAGCATACTTATACAGTGATAGAAATCTCCATAAGCTGATTTACTTTACTATGCTGAATGTGCACACATTCCAACTTCTCTGGGGGCAGATCTGAATGCATTCATGCATTTAAGTGTCTTAAAATATCGATGGCAGGATGGTAGGTAAGATAAGGTTAAAGGACTCTCTTTTACAAAAGAGCTTAGTATTATACTGAAAACAGGAAATATGAAGTGTAAATATATTACTGTTAGCTCCACAGCCGGCCTCATCACTGTTGTCATGGCAGTCATCCACACCATCACATCGGTAGTTCTGAGGAACGCACTTTCCATTAGAGCAGGAGAAAGAGTTGGAGCCGCACTGCAGCGTAGGGGGCTCATTGGATGGATCCTCAAGGCATGTCTGTTGATTGGGGTCCAGCTTCATTCCATAAGGGCAGCCGCACACACGCTGGGAGTAAGGCGCAGGGAAACAGAAGTGACTGCAGTCTCCATTGGGGTTTGATGGCCTGTTACAGAAGTTAGAACCTGCAGATTGAAAATATAAAATACAGAATTATTTGGTATCGTTTATTCACAAACACCTTTCAAAACCTAAATATAGAAAACGGGATTACATGTTTTATTTACAGTCATCTGTTGAAGTTTGAGTGCTTGTCAAATGGTGTTTTTGTTGATTTTTCTAGGTGAAAATAAGAGAAAACACATCCCCTACAAAGAACACACGTCTGTACATTTAATGCACAATTACTGTTTATTTGCTGAATTTAACATATTTGAAAAGAAAAACATTAAATGCGGCCTGTGTAAAAGATATAGCAGATTTTATATTTTATGTTTTTTTCCCCAATATGTTAATCTCTGTAAACAAATAGAAATTGTGCATTAAATTTTACAGAAAAATCAACAAATTGTGTCATTGGACCAGGGTTGTTCATGACTGTATATTAAACCTCAAAACAACACCAGAATATTTATGAGTTTTTTGGCCTAGACCAATAAAGAAGCAGAATGCTTTGTGGTTACCTACCCTTTGCATGTAAGATTCATAGGCTGAGATGAAGAAGAAGGAGATAGAGAGAGAAAAGGAGAGAGGAGAGGGGGTAGATGAGTGAACAGATGAAAGCACCCCTCACCAGTCTGCAAGTCAGCGTTGAAAGATTTGACATGCATAATGTGGCTGATCCCTCGTCGGATAATCACCATCTCTCCACCGTCCGTTTTCCGAACACGAACGATCCCTCCCAGACGCCAGTCAGTGAAGTATGCATAACCTGCAACAGACACATATATTTATCACAGAATAGCAGTCTATGATCTCTGACCCCAGATTCTTTACCTGTCCCCCACTGAGGTAGGCATTTTAGCTTGCACAATACACACTCTGTTGTCTGCAGAATTAATCAGGTTAGGGAATCATTTCAATAGGCATGATAAAGCCTATTCAGCAGTTTTATATGTATGTATATATATATATATATATATATATATATATATATATATGTGTATAGACTGTTTATTAGTAGTTATTCACAAGCATAAGACATAATCCTTCTTTTTATTATTAATATTAACTACAATAACAGGCAAAAAAATCACAAAATGTTATTACCTTATTATTACATACAAATATGTAAATAATTATGAAACCATGACCCACCTCCAAAAATAGTAAGTCCGAACGGATGGGATATCTGAGTGATCCGATCCAAAGACATCCTGTTCTGGCCATCAAAAGTACTATGCTCAATCTTGTCAAAAAAGGCATCGACCCAATACAAACGCATAGAACTGGGGGAATAGACAGAAAAAGAGAGAGTGATGGCTTTAGTTAAACAGGATTATGATAAATCATGTTTCTAAGGATATCAGCTTGTTTTTAGATAAGTAAACAATAAATGTCCAACAGACATCTGATAAAAATGCAAGGCTTTATAAAAGGCCATCGAGCGGAATCAGTCAGTGGCTGTTTTTTTTAATGAATGAATTACCCATCCATTTTTTTCTATTTATGGTATAACTAGCATGTCTGAATAATGCATTGTAATGGTGTATATATGCAAGTCATGAGAAGTGTTGGGATGTTTGTCTCACCTCCAGTCGATAGCGAGGCCATTAGGCCAGCCAAGAGTGGTGTTTACGATTGACTGAGCATGTGACCCATCGCACCAGGACCTCATAATCTTTGCTGGACGGTACCAGTCGGTCCAGAAAATGAAACTGCCAAATACAAATACATACAGACAAACATAAACATACACAGGGACAAAACCAAAATCGCATTTTGCACCCTGCTTTTCTATTCTTTCAGCCCTACACCCCCTCCTAACAACAGTCTGTCTGCAGGGATGCTTTACAAAACTGTTGGCTAGGTTTTTATTTATAAACTAAGAAGTATCGACAGTTTATTCAAGAACTCTGCAGGGTTTTCTTTCTTAAGCCAAGTTCTTAGCAGGCACTACAATACCAGCCTTCATGCAGCACTAATCTAGCCTCTTGGGCCCAGAGGCCTTATAACTTTGAAGCTATTGGAAATGTCCCACTAGCAGTGCATAAAGAGTCCCTTTATCTGCTCCGGGTTCAAAGTAGGAACAATCTATGAATGGGTGGGCACCTCCTGCATTATGGTAGGTGTGACTGGATACAAGTGCCCAGATTGCTAACGCTTTTTCACGGTCTTAGGGAAACAGAGAGCTGAGGTGAAAGTGAGGCCCCCTGAGCCTTGTTCCTGGCTCAGACCTGCTCACTGAATTGTGTTTTCAGTTGACATTTGAACAAGGCTGTGATTTCTCACCAAAGATCACAACCCCTCTTTTCTCATGGAGATACCTGAGGGTGCATGTTTGACACTGAAGGCTGAAATTAACAAATTACACAAATACTTTGAACAAAAGTTCTTCTTTTTCTTATAAAATAATAGCAACAGACAGATACTTTAGTCACCAGTCAGCTAAACCCATACTGACTCATTTTAACCCCTTATAATTCAAGTTTAGGTTTTAGGTTTATTACAACCTAAGGCTTATTATTTAGTACCCACATGGACTACCGTGAAAATTGGCTCAGTGATTACATTACAGAATTGTACATTATAGAACTGCATGATAAAATTGTGGCCATTTAAGGAATTAACTTACCCAACCATTGGATGCACAACTATAGATCTGGGATTGTTTAGGTTGCGTATGATGGCTCTTCTGGACTTGTCTGCAACTTTCATGACTGATATACTCCTGTAGCGTGGATCTGTCCAGTACAGGTTCTTCGATATCCAGTCATAAGCCAGATCCTCCACACCTTCTACCCGATTGGCTGCAAGTATCTCCCTCTCTGATAAGATCAAAGAAAACACTTAATAAACAAAAGTGACATACATTTTAGGTCAAAACGTTGATCAATTATAGATGACCATTGTATATTCATACAGCAACTAAAATTAGTTAGTTCTCAAAAAGATATTGATGACATTACATAATCCAAGCAAGGTTTCCTTGAATGAAAAATGGTCTGTTTTGCTTGGCTTTACTCTCCCCTCCCCCACAATGCACCGGACACAGTGGACCCTCCTAAGCCATGTATTAGCTCAGCAGGATCACATGCTACAGTTATGTTAACACAGGCAAAGTGATACTGGAGATGCAAAAACTAAAACTCCTTATAATATGTCATTAGTAAAATTCACAAGCAATGACTGTCAACCTTGGGTAAATATAGCACATTTAAAAGATGTTTCAGGCTTTTCAAAAAGTAAATGAAAAAAACATTTCAAACAGCATCTGTTCTGCATTCAGCAATCATTAATCCACAAAAAAGGGAAAATGTATTTTTGGTCACAAACGCAAAAGTGAGCTTTCTTACCTGTCCCATCCACTTTCTGTTTGTAGATAATGTCTTTGGCAGTGTCTGAGAAAAAGATTGAATTGTCCTCGGCACTGAAGTCCACTCCAACAAAGTATGATGGTGTTCCAGTGACAGGTAGGATGATGTCCTCCTGAGAGGAAAGGTTAAAGGGGATTCCTCTAACTGCAAGCTGACTAGAGAAGAGCAGGAACTGCCTCACAGCTGCAAAACAAGGCACAAGGCAATGTATCTGAAAGGCATACTCAAGGTCACTTTACCTAAATTAAATAATGGAACGACAATAAAACACAAAAAAAATCAGGCTTTCATATGACATTTATTCTGCCCCTGTGAAGGCAGCTGTGCAGTCCAGTAGCTTTATTGGATGTGTGCTATTAATACTGTATAATATGAGCAGCAAATGGCATTTGTTTACATTGTTATGCATAAAATATTTGGTTGTTCGCAAAGGTACTGTTATGTCTACCGCAGCATATTGGAGTTATAATTAATGAAATGAAAACTGCTCAGAGTGTGGCGCAATGGCTTTCAGCTTTAATATAGGGGTATTTATATATAAAACAGGCAAACGGTGCAGGAATTAGAACATTTTTTATACATAATCCCCCCATTTTCAGCAGCCCAAAAGTAATTGGACAAACTAGCATGATCATAAATTAAATTGTCTTTTCTAATACATGGCTGCAAATCCATTGCAGCCAATGACTGACTGGAGTCAGGCTTTTGGTGTAATTCCTGCTTGTTCTTGGGGTGTTTTACCATTAGTTTTGCCTTCAGTAAGTGAAAAGCATGCCCAGTTGTGATTGAGGCCAGGTGATTGACTTGGTCAGTGCAGAACATTCCACTTCTTTGCCTTAAAAAAGTCTTGGGTTGCTTTCACAGTAAGCTTTGGGCCAGTGTCCATCTGCACTGGGAAGAACCGTCCAATGAGTTTTGAACCATTTGGGTAAATCCTGGCAGCTAATATAGCACTTCAGAATTCATCCTGCTACTTTAGTCAGCAGTCACATCATCAACAAAAAAGGGAACCAGATCCACTGGCAGCTGAGCAGCCAATTGTCCAATTACTTTTGAGCCCCTAAAAAACAAGGGCTATGTGTGATTGTAAATCCTACACCATTCAGCTAATCTGGATGCAAATACCCTCAAAGTAAAGCTGAATTCTGCACTTTGCGCTAATTGTGTAATTTAAACTCCAATATGCAGCGGTAGACAGCAAAAATTACAATAACTTTGTCGATGTCCAAATATTTAGGCACTTGACGATGTGGTGAAATGGAAGATCTGCTTTTCTAGATGATAAGTCAACATTAAGAGTTGAACAGAACAAAGACAGATAGTTGGCATTTGTTTACTCTCTTACCCACACATCTCTTGCCATCAGGGTGCAGGTCGTAACCCATCCGGCACCTGCAGCGGTATCCCAGGCCACCATTATCCGTCCTGTGACTCAACACACAGATTTGCTCACAGCCACCTCGGTCCATCCCACATGGGTTACTGACTGCCAACAAAACACAAACATGAAGGATTATATATATTAGCACTGAAAGTTTCTATAGGATACCTAATGACACTCTTAAAACATGATTATACCTCAGGGTCAAATGCTTTTTCAGTAGATAAAACCCTGACACACAGAAACCATGTGGTTAATTATAAACTATGTACATATACATGTCCATTAGTTGATTACAATACTTCAATGTTATATCTCCCATGAGAGATTATGCTGGCTGGCTTACCATAGGGCTGCCTGAAAGCATGAACCACGGCCACACCATGTGGTGTCTGAGTGGTTGAATAGAGCACTTGTGGGCTGCTGTCACTGAACTTGTTGGCTTTCATGACGGCCATCTTGGTCCAGTCAGTGTAGTACACAGAGTGTTCAAACAGACTGATGCCAAAGGGGTGAGGGATCACTGAGCCTCCATGCACCACTGTTTTCCTTTAAAGCAATTAGATAAAAGTTTACATTTTTTAACTCAAGGGCGATCAGGAGCTGGTCACGAGTATGTCAATTATTATCATGGTATTCTGTCAAACATCTGCTGGGCGTTTAGACATGAAATAGAAGGCTTGCCCAATACACAAACAGAAACTCAGCGATCATTATTAATTGTGGGCTAGAAGAAGATGCATACGGATAAAACTACTCTAGGTAGCCTGTCTGCATACCTGTGTAGACCATCATAGGTGGTAGTTTCTATGTAGTCATAGCGACTGTCCACCCAGTACACCCTTTTGGCATCAATGTCCAGTGTGATCCCAGCAGGCCAGCCCAGTTTGGATCTAACAATACCGTAGCGGTTTGTACCATCCATGTAGGCCCTCTCCAGCCCAGGTTCGCCATTCAGAGTGTCCCAGTCAGAGAAGAAAAGATACCTAAGGCAAAATATAATGAACATAGTATTCTTTTCCTCATTCACCATATAAGAAGTACTTGTAATCAACAGAAGATCTAATCCTAAACTATGCAATCACATTACAGTAAAAAAAGAAACTTCTATGAACTCTGGACATGAGCCCTGGTCACTGGATGGTGATCTTTCCTGAAAAATCTCATTACGGGACAAGATCCAAGACACTGGACACTAGCTATACTGTAGCTTTCATTTTTAAAGGAGTCACTTTACAGATAAACCGAACAGGAAAAAAAAACATACTGCATTTGAAATGTACACCTGAACACTTTCATCAAAGGCATTGCAGTTGTGTACATTAATTGTCACTTCCTAATTTATCAGGATCCACCTGGCCCTGATTCCATATTGGGTTTCAATGCATCTCCTCTTTTCTTATTACTTCCAGCTAATCCTTTACAGTAGTATAGTTTATAGCTCTCCAACTTTAATTACTTGCGTAAGGAAGACAGAGGACGATAGAAGAGGTGCCAGTAGCAGATGCCCTTATAAGCTGATCTCAGGCCTGTTTTGTGGTTTCTTTTACAAGATTAGAATTTTGGAGATGCTGCTCCTAAATAATTAAACAGAGCAAAGAAACTGAAGATGAAGCGCTTCATTATTACATTTTACTTATTATATGCAGATTTTTATAATATGCAATTTCCACTTTCATATACCCAACTGAACCACCAATGTGGAATAGTGAAATCTGCTACATCATGCTTCAAAGCACCAGAGACTTGACACCTCATCTACCATCAACAATCCTGTCTATTATTTAAACGTACAGCAGAGTCTGAACATAAAATCAGAGACCAGCCTTCATATATTTAATTTCCAGTCAAAACAATCACTGCGTAGAAATTATTCATTTTCAAGAGATTTTTGAGATTAGATCCATGTGCATAAAGATGAAAAATCAAAGGAAAATACATGAAAAATGTAATGTAAAAACAGGATTGTCCAAAACTGGAGGGAAAAAAAAGGATTTAGAGAAAATGTGTAGAATGTGCAATTGTGCAAGACCTGGTAGACCACCAATCTGTCACTATCAGATAAACAGTACTTAAAGGTCTCATCTTTGAGAAATAGGAGCTCTCAATTAAGATCCACTCTTGCTTCACATCTGAAAAAATCCACAAGTGTTTCTGTCCATCTTTCTAGAAAAGAGAAAACTCAATGCTTTGGGTCTTAAAGGATGTGCAGCTGTCAAGACGTCATTACTGAGAAAAGGAAATAGAAAAAATAGAAGGAACCTAGAAAAAATAGAAGGAACTTTGCAAATCAAAGAAAGAAGCTGCTGCTGTTCTCATAACAATGGACTGTCTACCCTAGACAGTTTGGGATTGCATGGGTTGTATGCAACCAACTTCTAAGACTGAACTTTGGAGGTGTGGAAAAATACCCCTGCAAATTTCTTTGAAAAATGAAAGCAAGTCTCTTGAAAAAGAACAAAAACAGTGGAAGCTTGAAGATGGAAAGATTTTATTCCTAAATATAATATTTAGGTGTTGATGCTTCTGTGCTATTTTCTGTTAAATATATATTTTCTGCTTTTTTCTTGAGACTGAAAAATTAATAACTTGTACTTAATTATCGTTTTGACTGGAAATAAATAAATGAAGTGTGGTCTCTGATTTTTGCACAGTACCATAGATTTCCTCCTAAAATACATACCAATCATACCCTTTGTAGAGTGGAAGGTGACTAGAACTCAGGGTAAACACAGCTCTGCACTGTAGAAACTCAAGCTGTAGTTTCTGGTCCCTTTTTCCAATTACTCACCCAACTGTTGGGTCTAAGGCCAGGCCTCTTGGGTTTCCCAGGTTCTCTGCGATGAGTGTGACACGATTGCTCCCATCGAAGTCCACCATGTCAATTCGGTTGACACTGGCCTCCACCACATAAAGTTTATTGTTCACCCAGTCCACTGCCAGGTTCTCAGGATAGTCAACCGATACATTGAGGATCTCCTGTAAATGCGATCCATCCATGTCCACCGAAAAAACCTGGCCAACAAATGGAATCATTCCTTGATAAAAGTGTATTAGTTTTCGGTTCTTATGTCTCCAATGTACAGTATATCTTGATATATGGTAAGTGAGAAAGAAAGTATGTATTATTTCAACCAAAGTCTATGATAAGATGTACAGGATATCCACTCGTAATAATCATGTGTAATACAACTGGGTTTCTGATTCCACATGTGTCGTCCAGCTAGCTTATCTGTCCAGTAGCATTTAAGTGGTGCCACAGGGGCAGTACTGTGAAACCACTGCCCTACTGATTTCAAGATGGCACCAGTTTCTCAGGGTGGACCACTTGGCATTGTAACAGAAGCTAAGGCACCACTGCTCTTTGCAGGCCTTGCTCTTTGGAAACCAAACCCAGACGTCCTAGAGAGTAGGATTCTCAGCTGACCCGTTTAATGGAAACATAAGCTGTGGAAGAAGTCTGCTACTTTGGCTCGCTCAAGGACCCCCCGCTTAGAGGCTGCTGGCATTCCTTCGAGTTGGGGTACTAATCGCAGACCCCCGGCTCTTGGTATGTCCCTGCTTTTCAGCTCCATGGCTGGGGTTAAAACCAGAGAGCAGCCAAGACCTCGAACAAAACCCTTTGAGTTGGCCAAGGAATGCATAAAAGGCTGGACGCAGAGAAAACAAATACGGCATGGTCACTTTGGACCCTCTCAGGTTACATAAAATTGCACAGAAATATGCAAGCATTTTCCAGCATATCAGAAACTTTGCGGAGATTAGGAAAACACGGACTCCGCTGCAGATCAGATCCAGCCACTGGGACTGCAGCCATACAGGAGCCAAGCAGCTCTCGCATCATTACAGTATTAGCAGTATCTACAGGCATCAGTCAAAGAATTCCCTCTCTGCTGTCAGGTGGCCAACTTCCTTCACAACTTGAGCACTTTAACAAACACTGGGCCTGCTGGTCCTCAGGGAGGGGGTGTTACTGGGGGGCATTTCCTAAAACTGCTATGTTTCAGTAGGGAGGGGTAAGGAGAGGCAGAAATCACACTGGCACACAATTTTTTTGATGGACTGGTCTTGCATTGGAATTTGGCCAAACACTGGAGGAAGGTGGTGTGAAGGTGAGATCAGAGCAGAGTCTGACTGTGTGAGCATATATGCATGTGTGAGGAGGCAGGAACATTAGTGCATGTTCAGGGAAGAGCAGGAATAATGAAGAGCTTTGTTATCAACAACAAATTTAATAGCAACAGCACTCAAGGTTAGCAGCTCAAGGTATCTATGAAATACCACTCATTAAAATGGTGTAAACTGAGATGGCCTGTCAGATGTGAGATATATGGTGAGATGCATAGTCAGCAACAACACTGTCTTTGTTAAAGACAACAGAACCATGAGCAGTACAGTCATCAGTGTGGAAAGTTCTAAAACTTAAGATTAAACAGGTTTAAGGAACACTTAGACATCATAAATATAAATATAAAGCCATTAATTACCTTGTTTTGAATAGTGTCAGTCCAGAAGACCCTTTGGAGCTGGTAGTGGAAGTCCACTCCCACCGCCACTCCCCTATTCGCAGAGCTAACCAGGGTGCGAGAGCTGTGGCCATGGATACTTCCAACCAGCAAATCTCTTCCATCCGAAAACAGCAAAGATGCCACTCCAGCTGCATGGACACAATTTCATGATGTTATTCCTGATGTTTACTATGCATTAATAAGTATCAACACACTCCTTCTAATTAGTGAATTCAGCTACTTCAAGGTGCACGCAGCACTGACAAATGTGTCCAACTGAGCACATAAAGCGTGTATAATCTCCATAGAAAAGCACTGCCAACAGAACAGGGCACATCAGTTGGGTATAAAGCCCCCGAGCACTGGGCTGAGGAGAGGGGGAACTGCATTTTCGGGAGTGATGGAGCACCATCCAATACCTCTGATGAGTTGAAATAGTGTTTGTGATCCAGAACTACTCATCCAACATAACGACTTGACCTCACTAAAGGTCATGTGGCCAAACACAAACAAATCCTCACAGCAATGTTCCAACATGTAGTATAAAGCCTTCCCAGAAGAGTAGATATTAGATAAGCAAAATTGTAAAGCGACCTAAAGATAAAAGGTATTATAATACTAATAATAACAATAATAATAATAATTATTATTATTATTAGTAGTAGTATTTATCAACAAAGTAAGTAGTGCCCTTGAGCAAGATGAGTACCAGTTGGGAAAGTTTCTCTAACCAAAGGAAATTCTTTAAAGTCAAATCCTAGCGAGATCACATAATCCAATGAGTCTCTGAGACATAACTGCTTTGAAAATTAATGGCTGCAATGGAGCCAGAGCTGGTTCTAAATTTCAGACCATCAGCCAAAGGAATTGTCGAGCAGGAGACATTTGAGATACTTAATAAAATTATGGTATTTAAATCAAACTGAGACTCTTTCAGGGAGAATCATGGAAAGCTTGAAAGAACTTAACAATTTAATGTTTATGACAACTGTTAATTTTAGGAAGATCAATTTGAAAGTCTTGCCAAGCTTAAGTAAAAAAGCTTGGAGGCTCATGAGGCAAAGGGCTGTTCAACTGTGCTTCTGAAGCAATGGAAAAAAAACTTGGCAAATTAAAACAGGATGATTAAACGTAAGAAAATAAAGGATTCACTGTATGAATCTTCTTCATTTTTAAGGGAGAGGAGTCACTTATAAACATTAGTAACCCCATACGGTGCACACAATCCTGAAGTCAGACTGTGTGAACAGATGTATTAGACATGATTGGGCATGATGCCAACACTGCCACGATTCAGTGGGGGCTGGGCTCTTGCCACTTGCCAGTGTTGTTTATTTGGGTCTTTCCTTTGGTATCCACTTCATACCACTTTTTAAAACCCACTGTGTTTGACCCAGCAGCTCCAGCATAGTTATCACAGATATTCCTGTGATACCCTGTGATACCCCGTGATATTCCAGATACCCTGTGATATTCCAATCCAGTCCATTACAAGGTGAATTCAAATTTGAATGTAAAGGTTAGACTTCAAATATCAAATATCAAATACATAAATTTGAAACACACAACGCTAAAAATGCTACTGTAAAAAATAAGCTTATCAAGCTTCAGTGTCTCCTAGTACATGGTGTAAACTGACCATTGTACTGGTTAAATGCAATTAAATGCATTAAATGCAAAATAGCTGTATTGAGCGTGCTCGGCATGGCACATACAGAGGGCTCTTGGTCAGCAGCCATTCTGTGCACTACATAAGCAAATGACAGACTGAGAAAACAGTCAGAAACAATGGACCCAGGAGCAGCTGAAAGAGAGCACACAGGGAGGAGGGCTGAGTGGATTCAGTCTGAGTAGTGGACTTCACAGTTGTCACTAGTGGTTAAAAAGCTAAAAACTAAAACCTACATAAGCTAAAAGCATACATGTTCTCTATTCACTTAAAAGATTAAACAAAGGACGTTAACAGAGGATAAATTAATGGCACATTTTCAGATTTCCCAATGTCATTTTCAAAAATAAGGATGATGTCATGGACCTCCATTTAAAAGACCTTTTATGCTTAACAAGAGCACATATCATGGAAGATCACTTTTTCCTTGCTTATTGAAATACAGGAGTTTGATGTAACATGTACATATTGTTAAAGTTGCAAAATGTACTGCTCACACTTAAAGTCAAAAAGCAACATATACAGTCCTATGCAAAAGTTTGGGAGCCCCTGGTTAAATGACATGTTTTATTGATTTTCTAAGTGAAAATAAGTGAACACAACCTCTACAGAGAACACACTTCTGCACATTTAATGCACAACCACTGTTTATTTGATGACATATTGGGGAATAGATAAAACATAAAATGTAGCCTTTGCAAATGTTATGGCACATTTTATGTTGTATGTTTTATTTTATTTCAATATGTTAAACTCACTAAATAAATAGAAATTGTGCAGTAAAAAAGTGTCCAGACAAAAATCTTATTTATCTTATTTATTTAGAACTTATTTTCACTAGAGAATCAACACAACAACTTTTGTATGCTGCATATATAAAGTCTACTGCCTTTTGAATGAGGCACAACATGTGGCAGCCAATATAGCGACAGAGAGAGAGATTTAGAGAGAGTCAGAGTTTCATGTGTAATATCTATAGTTCCAGAGTAACTCACAGGATGTATTGGCTCTACAGTATCTGTGCTGCTCTAACACGTATCCCTCCTGACAGCTGCAGCGATGGGTTCCTATCCGATCCTCACACAGCTGATCGCAAACTCCCCACAACTGGCACTCATCATAATCTGCAGACAGACATAAAGACAGCATAAAAAAGACACAAAATGCACTTAGCATTTAGGTTAGGAACTTAATGAATCACGTCTTCAGATGAGAAGCATGCTTCAACTAAATAAATCTTTCCGTAACAGACTGGCTGTGTTCCAGGCACAAGATATAAAACTAAATGACTTTAGATCAGTATTTTTACTGAGATGCTTGAAAAATGCAGGCCAATGAGAGTATTATAACATGAAGAGACAAACAGTGCACGATCAAAGCATTGCTAAATTCAGCTACTTGTGAAAGGCCATGTGGTATTACCGATACAGGAGCGGCTATTGTTGCTGCTGACCACATAGCCAGGCGGACAAGAGCAGGTACCGCCTTCAGGAGAAATTTGACAGCGATGCTCGCAGCTCAAAGACGCACAGCGCCATATACCTGGAAAAAAAAAACAAAGCAAATGAAACTTCATTTCATGTCAATAGCGATCCAGCAGGCTGGAAATTTGTCTGAATTAACATGAAATATCCAGTGAATAATATAAAATGACTACAATAGCATTTGGGTTGAATATGAACAGCACCATTGAAATAAACAAACATGGGTTAAAAAATTTATGATCAATATAAATGGATACTGACTGCAGTTGCGACCAGCTGTCGAGTTGGTCTCATCTTCCCCATCAGGACAGTGGGGTGTCCCATCACAGAGCTGCCTCATGGGAATACAAACACCGGACGACGGACATGGCCATTCACCCGGGAAACATTCATGCTGGACATTATCTATGGATATGATACCACAAAATACATCAGGGTGACTTATGACAAGAGGTAACACCAAAAATCAATGGAGCAACAAGAAGAATATTAATGACACTTATTGCAAGCATTTTTCCCCCAGATTCTGTGGTCACTGTTTAACTGCCACTTTCCAGTAAACATACTCAGGGAAAAAGGTCACAAGCTTAAAGCCAAAAAAAGTATAAGGTCACCCAGAGAACAAGTTGAGCAGGAGAAGATGACAAAAACCTTGCTTGATAATAACAGAAACAATGTATGAGGTTTGCAACAAGGACAGCAACCTTATCTCTACCATGGAATGAGAAGCAGCCTGGCTCAGCCTTTTTCCTGGCAAAACAGTTTTGTTTTAAATCATGGGAAGTAACCGCTCTTAGAGGGTCACATGGGAGCTGTGGGTGCTCTAACCAGGGCCTCTCAAAGCACAAGCCCTTCAAAGCAACCTGGAGAAGTTCTAAAGAGCACTGGAGGGTCTGAATGATCAGCAGCCACAGAGTAGAAACGAATGGCTGATGAGAGCCCTCGCTGGGCACAAGAGCCAGACCAGTCCATGACTAAGGGGCTGCAGGTTAACATAACAGGATTTCTCACACAGTCAAAAATGTTTCTTTAAGCATATTATACCCTTTCCCTGAATATAACAGATTACATTAACAACTAGACATTTGTCAATTGTTGTGCTGCTCTAAACTCCCAAAAATTAATAATAAAATAACATTCCTTATTAAAGAAAAAACCCACCACAGCCTCTCTCATCAGCATTGTCTCCACAGTCGTCCTCTCCGTCGCACAACCAGACCTGGTGTATACAGCGACCGCTGGGGCAAGTGAAGTAAGTCCCTCTACATGTAGGGTAAGCTGTGAAGTGTGAGGGCATCAAATTGAGTTTGAGAAAGGTGTAATATAAATAAATGTATTACTACTGCTATTGACTAAGAGTCAGCTCAGATGAACTTAAGAGGGACTAGCAACCATTATCAGACATTAACTTTTTAAACTGAAGGCTTATTTATTTAGTTATCTAAAGATTTCATTATGCATATTCTGCACATTGTAAATATAGTACAGGCTGGAGAATTTGAAGGTTTGTTTGTGGCAGAGAAAGCAGTAATGTACATACTGCAGTTCTGTTCATCACTCCTGTCCCCACAGTCATCATCATGGTCACAAACATACCCACGTGGAACACACTCTCCATTACTGCATTGGAATTGGCCACCACTGCATCGCTGAGCTGCACAGAATAAAGCAAAAAACACACTTTATATTAGGTCTATTTGGAAAGTGCAGCATATAATTTGGTATAAAGTGGCTGGTATAGTGCAGTGGGTGACAGCACTGTCTGGCAGGATGGGGTTCTATACTCTGCCTGGGCAAGAACACCAAGCTAACTCAATTAGAGTCCTTGGGCAAGACTCCTAACACTACTTTCATCCATGTCTGTGACATGATCAAATTTGCTCTGAACTAGAGCATTTGCTAAATGCCATAACATAAATAATTGTTGTTTACCGATCCTTAACCATAATGCTATGTATCATTTCTTTAGCTGTAACACACTGAATAAAAGTTCTTCCTTATAATCTTAACACGCCCATAAGGTTAGGTCTCTTTGCTTTAGTGTCCTGCCCTGGACTCTACTCTGTCACTCAGTTCTTTCTGCCGTGGTCTGAAGATTCACTTCTTCAGGCAATATGTAGGTACCTAACCCCTTACTGCACTCATTCGCACTTCTTTTCTGAATCATTGCACTGCAAAAAATGTTATCCTAGTAAAACATAGTAGTGAAAACATCTTAAATTTACATAATATATCTATTTGTCATTATGAGATTGCTGCAGAAATATTATAATTTTTACAACAATCTCATTTAAGATGTTAAGGCCTGCATGTAAGATGTTTTCACTTGCTAAGATCTCATTTTGTGCCACTTCTCTTCAATCCACTGCACTTTACCTCTGTGTTGTATTACTTTGTTTATTTATTTATTTACAAAAATGCACTTAATTCTCCACAAATCTACACCTGTATTTATTCAACTAAATCAAGCTTAGCATGGCTCTTGTGTCTTAGGTTATAGATCCCAGCAGTAAATGTCAGTAATTTGCATCACTTCAGCTTCTACTGTTTGCAAGTCGCTATGACTAAATGACTAAATCATTTCCACATGAGTAAAATATATCAAATCAACTCTCTCTTGTCTCTTCATTTACTCACTTTTGGCAATGATTGTGCTGATGTAATCTATTGCAGTCATGTGGAAATCATATAGACATTAGAACTGAGTAAATTCAATGCATTACTTTTTTAGTGCAGCAGCATCATTACTGTGCTTACACCAAAGTAGTCTGACATTGGGAACTAAGCTGGAGGTTTGCACTGGGATGCATTGTGAAGGGTAAAGGCAGTATGTATTCCCTGCCAGCGACAGACACTCACTGCAGTTGGCCTCATCTGAGCCGTCTCGGCAGTTGAGCACCTGGTCACAGTGCTGGCTTGTGTTGTAGCACGCCCCGTTTGCACACCTCAGCTCTGAGCACTCAGGGTAGTCTGAGGAAGAGAGAGAGAAAAAGAGTCCAGCCATCACTCACTCATTCAATTAAATAAAATTACTCTGTAATAAGATACTGCTACATATGGAATATACTGAACAGGCGGGATGTTTTTTTTCCAAAAGGAAAGGTATCAAGATGAGTCCTCAATAGAAAAATAGGATTGATACACCATTAAAGTCTAACGTAAGTGAGTGTATAAATATGTGCCGTGCAGTAGTGTGTGCCTAGAACTTTCGCTTAATAATGGAATAGTAGCTGAACGACGTTTCACGCTAATCCACCAAGGAATCTGCAATCAATTTCTGACAACAAGAAGCATATTGTGGCCATTTCTGTCAGTCAACGAGCCTCTTAATCTTACAAATTGATTAAAATGCCACAGAAGCCTGTAGTGGGAGTTGGTGGGGGTGCATCAACCTGCCCAACAATGTGTGCACACATACACACTGACGGCTGACTTACGGCAGTTTCTCTCATCCGCCCCGTCTGAACAGTCAGGTAGATGGTCACACCTGTACTCCCCTGGGATGCAGGCCCCATTAGTGCAGCTGAACTGTGTGCTGGAGCAAGTTCTGCCAGCTGCAGAGAGATCAAGGGAGACATTTTTAATATATATGTGCTGGGTGGTCCTCATCTTAGACATGCAGCCTGTAGCCCACACACTGGGCCTATCGTGTTTCACCTACATGAAGGAAATTACACGTTTTTACATTACTAATGATCAAGAAAACATTTGGACTTAACAGGTTGTGTAAAAAGATGAAAAAAACGAGATAGAGAAAAAGGGCGAGATGCATGATGTGGAGGAGGTGAAAGAAAGAGAGGGAGAGAGAGTGGACGTACGGCAGTGCTGTCTTTCATCTGAACCATCTTCACAGTCCTCCTCATCATCACACAGCCAGGGTTCTGGAATGCACTCGCCATCACTCAGACACTGGAACTGACCCGCATCACAGGTCGATTGGGCTGAAAGAACAGTGAGCCAGCTTAATGAACAAACTCATAAGAGCAGAAATAAACCACACACAGGGATTCTTCTTTAAGAGGTTAAAATCGACAGTTTGGCCAAAAATCTCATTTGGCCAAAAATCAAAGTTTCCTTTTACCCCAAATGCAGCCGAACTGCCAAAACATGGTGTCTGCCAAAACATATTAAAAATGTCTCCTTTGGTGTCCAAAGTTTGGTTCTTACATTTTGCACTTGAGCTACGAGGGTAATGCATCTAAGAAGCATTGGAAGCTTATAGGCCGCAGGTTAGCTTTGTGCAAGCTGCATTATACTTAGAGTGTGACCATATTTAATCATTATCCTAACAAATTATAGTATCATGATAAACAATATGCTTCTCTGAACATATTGTGGATTTCATCAGTACTTAAAGAACTCTGACCAAATGCATGCTTTGTGTAAAGAGAACATAATTAGTCCTGTTTAACTGGACTAATTGTGTGGCACATTATGTGAAATGTTGAATGAAAAAATCATATCACAATATGACATTTTTGCCATATCGCCAACCACTAATTAAACTCTTACCTGAAACTATGCTGGATGGTAGATAATCTCAAATAGACTTATGTTGTTTTCTGACACTGTATTACATACTGTTATCTATAATAACTGCCCCAAAACACCTGATCCAGCTCATAAAGGGCAATAGTTGAAAGTGTGTAGTTCTATGGGTTCACAGGAGCAGGATTAAGAAACACTGGGCTATAAAAATGAACAAAAGTATATTGCATAGCCAAAAACAGCCATACTGAAGCCTGAATTCTATCCAGTCTTCTGTCCAATACTGTCCATTTTCTATGTATCTTGAAGAAGCAGACTTTAAACACCAAATATGCCTTGGTTGATCGATTTTTCATCTGGGGTAAGAGGAAAGCTGGGCCTATTGGATTTCTTGGTCAACATATCACTTTAATGTTGTGTTTTAATATTAAATTTTGTTTTGTTTAATTTGAGTGTGTTTTGAGCTATGCTCTTTATGATGCATTTGATTTTTCAATCCGTGAGATGCATTGCTTCAACAAAGAATACCTTTTCAGATAAAGCAGCTTGATAACCAGCTGATGAGCTGAATCAGGTGCGTAGGGGCAGTGAATATTTGAAACTGTGCAGCGCTGCAAGTTCATTTTTGACCATTTTCAGTGTAAAATTTTTAAACAACAAATATGCCTTGGCTGACAGACTAAGAGAAAAACTGTGTCAGTTTGATTTCTGGCTGACCTGTCACTTTCAAGATAAATTTGCTCCTTATAGCACATTTGATTTTTCATGAGCTGCATCTCTTAAACAAACTAGGATAACCTTTCAGATAAAACAGCCTTCTTGAATTCACACCAACCAACCTATTTGGCACACTGTCTGTCTACTGAACAATCCTGGTGTAGATAATAAAACATTTCCCACTGTATCTCATTTTTACTTCTTATCAGCTTTAAACAAGATCCAGACATATCCATTACATCAGTATTTGTTAGAGTGAGTCAGTGCTTGTGATAGCAGGACTGAGAGAGAGTTTTACTCACGGCAGCCACTCTCATCTGAGTCATCTGTGCAGTCTGCAATGCCATCACAGCGCCAGCCTGCCGGGATACACCTGCCTGTCGCACAGCGGAACTGGCCCGGCTCACACCCCAAGCCTGTACAGCCAGAAACAAGAGCACCTCAACTTGCTGGCTATTGTTTTGCAGTTAACAGTGGGACCACACTTTTCTAAACTACATTACAAAAAACAGTTCAAAGTCTTAAGGTTATAAGCTGCTCCAAGCAGAAACTTTCACTACACTTTACAAAGGCTGAACTAATTGACTCATTACCAGCAAATAATAGTATGCAAAATGCAAATGATGAGTTGGTGTTGAATTTGAAAGGCACCCCTGTGGCGTGCACATGCACACCTACATCAGCCTTAGGGTATTCCCATGAGGTGATATGCTACTTTATTTAGAAAAAAAATCACTGTCCAACTACAAAAGCTAAACATCAACAAAACTGAGTCACTATGAAAACACATCAGAACGCAAAATGCAAATGAGTTCATTTGGATTTGAAAGGTACCCTTGTGATACGCACTGCTCACGAGCAGACCTATGTCAGCAGCGCCTACACATCTTTCCCTCTCATTATCATACATTCTGAAAATGAATAGCACTCTTCACTCCTCTTATGCAAACACAGCCATGCTCTTTAAGTGTATGTGGAGGTGAAGGCTGCTATTGATGAAGCACATAGTTAAGAGCATTGACAGGCAGCGGAGCAGAGCGTGCCAGCCAACCAGCAGACACTTACACAACCCTCGCTTCTCTCTTCCCAATCCCTCCTTTTGATCTCTGCCTCTGAGTGGCATCTCAGGAGATAAGGTACCACCCCTGTACCTTCCCCGCCGCGCTCGGCGAGATATCGACTGGGGCAGCATAGTTCAGCCGGAGAGAACCTCCGACGGGGCCGCCGCAAAAAAACGGAATGCGCGATTCTGATTGTCTCTCACTGACACTCTGATTAATGGTGCATGCTGTTCCTTGTCAGAAATGTAATTGGGATAAATAGTGGTACCGGGTGGTACCACAGCCCTTACACCCAAATTCCAAAAGCCAGAGGGAGATGCAAGGTGGAGGGAGGTGGCTAAAGGGCTAGGGATGGTGGGTGAGCGTGTGAGTGTGTCTTATCACTGGATACCTTTAAACATACCCTCTCTGTCTCTGGTCATATGCATGGCAGATATTGTGAGAAAAAGACACTGACCAAATAAACAGAAGCAGCTATCAAAGTAGGCCCAAATATAGAGTTGAAAACAGATAAATAACTTGAAAAAAATCTCAATCTTGTGTCTATGAGAAGGCCTTTAGGCCTTTCCATAACTATAAGTGCTACCGTAAACTTTAACATGAAAAATTAACTTTATTCTTGTGGGCAGTTTTGAATTTAATGACCCACTGGTGCCATTATTAGCTTGCAAGCTTAGAAGGCGGAAAAGGAAGTTCACAGCTGACTCCATGTCCTGCAACCCTTAAAATCTTAGACAAAATAAAGGTTAAACTTAAAGAGAAGGAAAGGATGCTTAAAGTTATTTGAAATTTCATTCACTGTCATCTTATCAGTGATATTGTTATTTAACAAATTAATTGCATCTCAAGAGCACTGCTGTCAAAAGCTTTGAAAAGCATGACAACACTGAAACCTGCCGAAGTGAAGTGTGAGTGTGGTATGTTTGAGGTTGAGTGTGGTAAGAGCAGCCAAAGGGAAACATTTAGAGTTAGACTACTCTGTTAGGTCAGCGTTTGACATTTAGCCTCCCAGCAACTTAGCTGAAAAATCCTAAGAAAGATTCTGGTCATTCAACTGGCACAGCTCAGCGTCTCTTTGTTATAATACAAATAATGCCTTTTTTTAAGGAGCAGGAGATGCACTTGTACTAACTAGGTAAACTTCTAGTGAAAACTATAAAGCCCAGAAAGATGCTACAATTAGCCTGTGAACTTCAAATATTAAAAACAACCACAGCAAAAAAAAAAAAATGATCTATCATTTTCTCAAATCTTCTTTCTGCCTTTAAAGATAGATCCCATCCTACGGTAGCAGGCTGTGGGGTCAGTGCCTGGGCTACTGCACTAAAAGCACAGTGATGGCCTTCTCATATCTAGAGGTCCCGACTCACATTAACAAGGCCACACCAAACCCAGCACTTTTAAAGCGTGCCAACCAAATGGACTTCCAATTTAACTCCTTCAGCAGCCAATTGGGAAGCCAGCCTTTTTCCTGCTCAGTTTACTAATGATAAAATTGCTCCTCCGCTTGCTCAAAGGCAGTCTTTGTTAGGAGGACATGATCCCGGAGGTTTCGGCAGCGTCTGTAACGCACAGGTAGACAATTGGCACATACAGTATTGGGGGAGCAGGACACACTCACAGACACAAGTCGCACAACTGGATTTAACCATCCTGCCAGCAAGTAAGGAATATGAGCCTCACACAATAGAAGACAGAATGAGAAGGTTTTTTTTACATTTAGGTCATAGATGGTACATCAAAATCCATTTGATTCTTGATTGTATAACACTACAATCCATTACTGACCACTATCTTCCATTTAAAATGTTAAACTCCAAGCTGAAAGTACGGGTGTTACTGAGCTCCTTCAGAAACAGTAAGCATATGCCTGACCTCAGTGTGCTATACATTAGGTTAACAGCTTCAACCAACCTTTGCCAAGACAGAAACCTATCTGCAGAGGCTTTCAGAGTAAAGCCAGTGTTTCCTGACAGTATCGGTTCTGGGAAAGGTGACAGGCAAAGTGAAGTGGGCTTTTTGAACAGCACTATCCTGTGTCGAGCTGTTCCTTCCTTAGGAAAATTAACCCCTCACTCACAGTCATCCCAGTCATCTCCTGAGGGGGCTTCAGAAGGATTCTATCCGGACATCTTAATTCAGGAATTAAAAATGGAACTCAAGACTGCATGAATGACAACAATAACAGAGAACACCAACATGATTGTCTCAGTGGCCATTGTGTGGAGAGTGGCTTGTATTATGCAAATGGACTTTCGTCCTGTTAAAGGGGAATGTGGGTTTTTTTTCCCTTCATTAATGTCTTTGCTCAGGCTGTTTGGTTTAGTGTTTTCTTTTCTTTTTTTTTTTTGCACTCCCCCTCTTCCTTTTTTCAGACCATGTCTTTTCTAATTAGCCAACTTAAACCCACAGCAGGCGAGAATCCCCAAAACTATCTGAGGGGAAAGATAAGGGGGACGCCCCACCACCAGCCCACAAAGGGCAGCAGTGGAGGAATTTTCATTAGAATGAAGCCTCCCAAAGGCTTAGACCCCACTGTGAAATCACAATGGCACAATGGCCCGGCTGGCTGGGCTGCAGCCCTATAACTGAAAGTGTCAGCACGCCAAAGGAGCCTATGGAGATGGATAACAGAATGGAGGAATACAGTAGAGCTTCCTGCGCAAAAAAAGAAAGCCTAACAGAGGCCCCCTTGGCCCAACCTCCTCCATCCTTCTAGCCCTCCTCCCTCCAAAAAAAAGACACCTCAAAACGGCACTTGCCAGCCACTATCCCCCACAACATCTCATTCTAGCATTGTGGGGGCCATGGGAGAGGTGCTGCCTCTTTCATCAATGCCGCCTTGTTTTGGTGCGTCCCAGCAGCCTGAGTGAATGTGTTGGGGGGAAGACTGGCAGCACGGAGCGTCAGGGCCAGCCTTGCTGTCAGAGCAGAGGGCTGCTGCCTGTTTCATATGGAAATGGACGCGGCAGAATGCAGTCAATTGCTTAACAACTGACTTTGGCTCTCGCAGATACATTGAAAGCAGAGAAAAGAGCCAGTGGTACACTGAAGGGGTTTGGCATGGACGGAAAGTAGAGAGGAGGCAAAACTGGAGTGAGGCCGTCTATTAAGCCATACTCTGCTGACTTTCTCTAGAAATGTTCATGAAGGACTTATCAGAAGCAATTTACAGAAAAAGAAACATGCATGTTCCACTTAGTTCCACCTTTATTTGGACAATTTCTACCCTAATAAATGTATATGCCGGCCTTCTATGGAAAAGAAATGGAGGAGAAAATCAAAATTACAAATCAATAAGCTCTTTAACATCTTCAAATTGAGAAATAGAAAAGCAACAAAGGAAAAAAGTACTGATACTGATGGAGTCCATTCAAATCAAAATGAAGTGCATGTATTGTCAGTCACTTGTCATGAATTAATTATATTCACTGTTCCTTAAAACATACAGTGTAGCATAATATAAAAGGTGCACTGAGGAAATTTGTCTGCATGGGAGTTGCATAGGTGCCGCTAAGGGTGCCGTTTACAGTCAGGAGGATTAGAAGCCTTTATTAGTGCCAACTGTGTTAACTTCTGTTCGTATTTCTAATGCAGCAATACTGTTGCTCAAGGATTTATACCGGAAAAGGTCTGCCGCATGTGTGAGGTTTTAGGAGCACGTGTAAAACAAGAAAAGAGATTTGAAATTTTTTCTTCAGTGTTTGAAATACAGACGTCATTGGTGATTGTTTAACTTGCTCTTTCCGTAATGCCTTACAACACAACATTGCAACAATTAGCATCACTTGAAACAACAAATAAAACAGACAATTAATACAATCATGGGAAAAGTTTATCTATTGATTCAAGTTTGCATCTAAAATAATTGATTGCTATCGTGTAAGCATTTTAGAGGACTGGGTAACACTTCGTTTAGATAGCTTACTGTTGATGTTTTGTGGATGGTTATATTACATTCAACATTTAACATTCAGCTAAAACCTAAACATAACCCTCACCTGGTACTAAACCTAATCTAGGTACCATCAACTAAGCTGAACCAGAGAGTTTGTTAGTAATTTGAGCAGCCATAGATAATGTATTGGGGGCTATCCAAAGAAAGTAGAATGCACATAAGTACGTTCCCTGTAGGGAGCATGCAAAAATCATAAACTATCATCAAATATCGCAGAGTCCTCAGAGCTGCTCAGACAGCCATGCATCAGTTTGTGCAGGTCATGGTCAATTGGGAAAGCGGATCGGTGACAATTTTCAAGAAACGTTTGTCCAGTGCTCAGGATTTACAAATAAACTTTAGGGTCTATGAGTTTGCAGTTGTGCAATAGAATCAGATTAATCACTGAGAGGTGATTCACTTACAAGCACAAAAACAAATATCTAACAAGCTTGACTATTATTAGCTGGACCGTTAACAGCTTACATATTCAGCACTTATTTGGACATACAAAAGACTAACTCAGTGTTAAAATGCCTCCATCATCAAATTTGCCACAGATGTTCAACTAACCCTGACAGACATCATTAAGCAACAACCAGCATTTATGCAAGGAAGTCAATTATCAACCCTATATAACGTGACATGTGCGATATTTGTGCCAACTCAGGCACGTTAAAAACACCTGCTCAGTCTCAAAAGCACGCACAATCAGTTTCAAAATGTGACAGATAACTCATTATTTTCAATGATCAAACCTGCACTGCATTGCGTCTCCTAAGACCTTTGCCCCCTGGCAGAAAGCAGGTCTGAAGCTGAAACCCTGAGGGACCTGGCGGAAGCAGGGCTCAGTGGATTAGGGAAAGTAACCTGTCCTCCTCCATCAGGGCCCTTTTGGTCATTTCCTCTCAAACACATGCTGAATAAAGCTGGATTAAAAGAACCCATTCCTGGCTCACATTTCTGAGGAGATCAACCATGGCCACAGCCACAAATTTAAAGTTTGAGGCAAACACAGCAATATTGATCTGTGTTCATTCCTAAAGGCAACACCCTGCAGATCCTGGCCTGAATGAGACAGTAATCCAAGAGTTTGTGTGGGGGCTACATTTTGACTTCCATTCAAGGACATTACTGCGAGGCTGTTCTAGGGGTTAACGTAGGGTAGCCTGGATTTCTGCACAAATATGAAAACGTACGTAGCCTACGTAAATATCAGGTGCCGACCTCACGAAATGGATCTACTAAATGAAAGCAGTAATCTTGCTGAATTGCAACAGATCACTTGAGTAAACACGACCAAGGTCCAAGACAAAATAAACTTACTGCTCAGCACTCACAATCTTAGGTCTGTACAACTTCTGAGTACATGTCAGTACAAAACAGCTTTTACTTCTTTAATTAAAAAACTTGTTTTTAAACAGGTGGTCACTGCAGTGCACCCCCTTTCCCTGTCCCATACTTCCACGAGGCAGTAATGGTCGCCCTGAACGGCAGCTGCAGTGTAATTAGTGGCTTGATTCACACTAAGGAGCTTACATACTAAGGGTTGAGCAAAAAAGAAAGCAGATTACAATCCGAGAGCCTCGCCAGGTCTAGCAGCATTTCGCACCAGAACGTTCGAGGTTGACAACCTACAAGCGACTACAAGACACCCAAACGAGCTTCGCAGTTCCTATAATCAGTCTCTGGAAGGCATGAAGCTGTTTGGTCTCGTTTTAAACTAAGCAAAGCGTTAAAATTGCTTTGAATTAGCTTTGTACCCGTAGCTCTGGGTCGAGAGATTGTCTGCTCGTCACATGCTCGCCCCGGTTGCTTAGCAACGGCAAAGCTCAGGCAAAAGTTGCTGAGGGACGCGCTCCAATAAGCGCACTTGCGTCCTAGGTAGAACCCTTAGCAAGTGCGTGCTCGAGTTCGTAGCACAAGGCTCAGAATTCTTGACGCTCAATTGCACAAACACCTTGAGCGTTCTACCTAGAACATTCCAGAGTTCTAGGCCAGAAAGAAGCTAGCTAAAATGCAAGCACGCACTTGCTATGTGCTATGTACTTAGAACACAAGTACGGCCGATTGGACAGCGGCCCGAGAGAACTTCAGGTCTGTCTGAGGCAGGCAGGCTTTTGTGCGCCAGATTAAGGAACAATTCTGATTCGAAACGATACAAAGACGGTATGTGAGATGAGAATGAATTTTTCGTTTCAAAACATCTCGAAGTAGCTACTTTTGATTTTGAGGTATACAAAAGTACACGGTAACAAGTGCATTTTGGGAAACAGATTCCAGTATGTGGAGCACTGCAATTTAGTTGTTAAATAGGACTTTTTATATCCCCATTAGGCTCCTTCAGTGTTTCTAACGGTGTAATAGCACACGGTGTTATTTAAAGTCTCTGATACTGGACGAGCGCTGCTTGAAAAACTCCATCGAATTTAAGTGACAAGTGTCTTTATTTAGCAGGCCAGTCTATCTACACGGATTGATAAGGCAAATGATTAATTTTAGATGCTCTAACTGGGCCACATAGGCCACATCCTTTAGCGGTGTGATGGCATGTAATACAATTCAGTTAAAATCATTATACGAGAGCATCTTTAATATGAACATCTATTGTTATTGCAGACTCCAGCATTACAGCATTAAACACCGAGTAAACTCAGGCTACTGGCTACGCAGATATAACTGTGAGGGAGAGGAGGGAAACACTCTGAACTTACCTTGACAATTACAGTGTAGAACGCAGAAAGTTAGCAGAACCGCGAGTGTGCCGAGCAGTGCTGGCTGCATGTTGGTGCGCTGTGCAGCCCCTGCTGTAGCGGCCGGATGGAGCTGCTGGGACTGAGATGCTCTCAGCGCTCGCCTCTCCCTCTCTGTGTCCGGCCTCATGGAAAAGGGCGTTTACTAAAAGCTTAGACTCACATTCACACTCCCCCCACCTCCGGCTCCTGGGATCAAATCCTGAGCTGGCACCCACAGATCACTGCCTAATGACTGCTCTCTCTCTCTCTCTCTCTCTCTCTCTCTCTCTCTCTCTCTCTCTCTTTAATTGTCCTTATATTTATTTATTTGTTTGTTTTGAATGTATGTGTGCACAATTTGTTTTTTCTTTATATATTTAGTATATAATTGTTATTATAACAATTTGACAAAACTGTGTGTTTACCAAGGATACACAGTGTCACTAGTGTGAAGCACTGCTCTTATGAAACATCAAAGGCTGTTTGGCTGCTAATGGCGCCCCCTTGTGAATAATTTTTAGCCTGCTAAATGTGAGTGAGTGCATGAGTTCCATGAGGTGCTACGCCTCCAAAAATACTGTTTTTTGTTTGTTTGTTTAAATCTATAGTTGTTTGAATCTACAGTTGTTCAAAGCTGAGTCAAAGAGCAGTCTTTCTTGATTGATTAGGTAAATTGCAAATACATTGTCACTTTTTAATTCATATGTTGGTGTGTTATATTTTTATGAAGAGTATCAGAGTCTGTCTAAGGGACAATTTATGTTTTCTAATTTATGATTTCACAGCATAAGTTTGCCTACAGGCTGTATCTTTGAATACCTCTTCTGGAGTTAACTCAGAAATTAAACTTCCAGCAGCAAAGTTAGCAGACAGATCTTTGACTATAACAAAATCTGATCAGGTTTAGGTTTGGTTATGCAGTTGAAGTCCATAGAAAAGCATTGCCAATTGAATGGGATGCTGGAGCAGCTGCACATGAGCCTAAGTTCACTGTGAAGTGAAACTGAGTTCTCTGGAGTGATGGAGCACCAACTCAGCTGGGATGAGTTAGGGTGATATTTGTGATCCAGAACTGATTATCCAACATCAGTACCTAACCTCTCGTGGCTGAAAGCAAATTCTTACAGCCATGTTCCAACATCTAGTGTAAAGCCTTGCCAAAAGGATAGAGGCTGTTACAGCTGCAAAGAGACAATCTTTTGAAAGAAACTTTGGATGAGCAGGTGTCTACAAACTTTTGGACATATAGCATAGGTTAGCATTATTCCAAAGACAAAGGACCACCACAAACAAAATTCAACAACTTCAAATGCACAATGTATTTCTTTCAGAGAGCAGTATTTGAAGAACCAATAGCCAAACATCTTAAGGTATGTAAAACTGAAGAAAGGCACTTTAAGCACACTTTTGACTGTAACCAACCTAAACTCTGAACATTCACAGGTCATCAGGCAGTGGACAGGCAAATGGTCTACTGCAGTGGTTCTCAATCCTTGTCCAGCACATGTTTGTGCTTTCCCAGCTCTAAAACACCAGACTCAACTCAATAGCTCTTCATGAGCTCAGTCAGGTGAGTTAGAGCCAGGAAAATGTAAAAAAATGTGGGTTGATGAGAGCCACTGGACTACTAGAATCACTAGATGTGTGTATGTTTATGTTTGTATGTAAGTACGTACACATATGTCTTTATCTGTGTATGGACAGTGCACATGTATTACTAGGATGATAGAATGTATACCTAAAAAAATACAAAAACACGAAACAATAAATAGATAATAGACAATATATACAGAATATACTAGAGACAAAGAAGTGTACTGGTGCATAGAAGTGTGTATACTTAAACCAAACGGTTCGTATAAATGTTGATCAGCCCTGCACATTGACTTCAAGGAATCTGGGCCCATTCCTCTATATGGAACTGCTTCAACTCTGTTATGTTGGTGGCCCTCTTGCATGAATGCCACACCTTAGTTTCTGCCAAATATGTACTGAATTAAGGTCTGGACTTTCACTAAGCTCTTCCAAAATGCAACATTTCTTCTGCTTTAACCATTCTTTGTAGACTAACTGGCAGTGGTGTGGACTTGAGTCTGACTCACGAATTTGACTCCACTCGAGAAAATCGAGAAAGACTTTGACTTCAATACCAATGACTCGGACTTTGACTTGGACTTCAGCCTTAAAACCCGGAAAGACTTGAGACTCAAAATGGAAGACACGTGGAGAGTCATGTCTGACTGGCTGCTACAGAGTCAGTTACTTTCATGTGAATAGATTTGTTTCCTGCTGAAATAAACCTGAATAATAAACTGAATAAACCGCAATGTCGTCAGATGTCTGTCACTGTGCTTATGCTCAAGGAGCACAAGCACAGTGGGGCATTAGAGTGTTAGAGTTCAGGTTCGCCTCCATCAATGCACCCTCATTCAGCACTTAAACTGCAGTCTTACTGGAGAAACTCACCAGGCAAACTGACCATTTTCCTCATTATATCAAAACAAAAGAAACACAGCTCTATGTATTTGACCAATTTTAACAGCTTCTGCAGGTAAAACAAGTGCAACATTCACCACGATGCTTAAGTTGACTTGTTATTTGCAAGCTTCATTTTAGAATTTGTCATTTCACCTATAATGGTACAGCAGCTAGGCGCCGGAACATAACTGCTGCACCATTTAAGGTGGAATGGAAAATTCGAATAAGAAGAAAAAAGTCAAAATCTGGGGCGGCACGGTGGCGCAGTGGGTAGCGCTGTCGCCTCACAACAAGAATGGCCGGGGTTCGATTCCCGGCCGGGCGACCAGGGTCATTTCTGTGTGGAGTTTGCATGTTCTCCCCGTGTCTGCGTGGGTTTCCTCCGGGTACTCCGGTTTCCTCCCACTCCAAAAACATGCAGTCAGGCTGATTGGACACGCTAAATTGCCCCTAGGTGTGAGTGTGTGTGACTGTGTATGTCTGTCTGTCTGCCCTGCGATGGACTGGTGACCTGTCCAGGGTGTATCCTGCCTTCCGCCCAATGACAGCTGGGATAGGCTCCAGCACCCCACCGCGACCCAGAAGGATAAGCGGTTTAGATGATGTATGTATGTAAGTCAAAATCTGCTTCGTACATTCACCTTCATTTTGCTTTCTTTTCTGTAAATTTTGTTCAGTTCTGTCATTTTGGTTTCTGTTTACATCTAAATTCAATTCAAACAACCAGCTGTTTTTAGTTGGCTGAACTAGTTTAGTGCTGAGCTAGTTTTTGTTTTAATTCTGTGCACCCATTGTTCCCCCCACCCCCCCATAAATAAATAAATAAATATATATATATATATATATATATATATATATACATTTTTTTTTCATTATTATTTAAGGTCACTAGTACTTTTCAAATTATTTTCATGTGTAATTGCACTATTCTGTGTGTACACAGTATGCCTGTCATGGTTATCTGTGTACCATGGATTTTGTATTTTAGTTGGAAGGTTAAAAAATTGAAAAAAAAATATATATATATATACAGCCATACATTGCTAACATGCTGTCATTAAAAGGCTGTTTTACTGTTACCATTATTTAGTGTTATGGCCTGAAATTAGCTTAAGAATGCATACTGACTTGTTCAAGATTAGAACTTTTGACTTGGGACTCGACTTGAGACTTGCCTGTACTGACTCAGGACTTGAATCGAGACTCGACTGTCTCGACTTGGGACTTGACTCGGGACTTGAGTGTCAAGACTTGAGACTTACCTGTTACTTGCAACTTAGTGACTTGTTCCCACCTCTGCTAACTGGTGTGTTTAGGGTTGTTGTCCTTCTGCAGGACCCACTTTCTGTTCAGCTTCAGTTCACAGATAGACACCCTAACATTCTCTTTTAGAATTTCTTGATACCACCCAGAATTCATAGCTCTATCAAATGATGGTAGCTGTCCTAGTCCAATAGCAGCAAAACAGCCCCAAGCCATAATACTGCCACTATTCTTGTTCAGTGTTTGCACGATTGTGGACTCGTGAACACTGGCATTAGCCCTGTGTCAGAGAGGCCTGCAGATCCTTAGATGTTACCCTGGGGTTCTTTGTGATCTCCCAGAGTATTCTACATTTTAGTCTCTAAGTCATTTTGCTCAATTACCACTCCTGGAAAGGGTAATAATGGTGTTGAATGTTCTAAATGTGTACACCTGTTGCATGATAGTGCATCAGTGAAGTCCTAACATGTCATAAATAGTTCTGGAACCTTTTCCAGTCTAATAAGCATTGTCAAATAGTTTTGCTCAGAAATCTCGTTTGAGAGAGAAATGGCATGCACTAACCAATGTGTGTGGTAAAGACCAGACTTTTATGGTAAAGACTCAGGTTGATGTTTTTAAATGGGATAGGGTCAGCCACACTCACACCTGACTGTCTTCCAATTGAACCTCCTGTCCTTGATTATCACTTCCAATTCCACTACCAAACTGATAATTCTAGAGGGTCACACACTTTTGCCAACAAGGACATCTAATGTTTAATCACTTCATTCAATAAATGGATGAATACTATATAATGGTTCTGATTATTTGTTTCATTTGGGTGCTCTTTATCTATTGTTATGACTTAAATGAAGATCTGATCATATTTAAGGTTACATTTGTCTAGAAATTCACAATATGATATGTGTGCATGTCATGTTATGTGTCATTTCTGTCTCTGTTTTTGTGCACTGTTTTAATGTAGGTGCCTTTAGGCCACTGTAAAGGACTACAAGAAGAACAACAAGAGCAACAACAACAACAACAACAATAATAATAATAATAATAATAATAATAACAATATGTTCTTGTTGTTTGAAGTGTTTATTCACCAATAGTATTTCTCCATCCTCTACATTTATTACTAAAGTACACTGCAGGTATTACCTGTATGTATGTATTTATGTATGTATGTATGTATGTATATATGTATGTATGTGCCTATGTAAGTATGTATGTATGTATGCATGTATGTAGGTATATATGTCTTGTTCCTGTTGTATGTGTTTATTTACCAATAGCATAGTAAACATCATAGTAAACATAGCATATGGTAAACATCATAGCAATGATTAATTTAATTAAAAATGAATGATATGCCTGAAAATGATTAGGCTATTAAAATGAACACTATTAATTGCAATTAGACTATACAATTATTACTCTTCGCTTGTCTTGTTTTTGCTCTGAGTAAACGCAACGGCGCCATCTAGTGGTCCACTCTGGAGACTCAGCACTCCTTCTTCGGGCGCTGAGGAAGAACAGCGGGCTAGAAAATGCTGATTTCACATGCTTTCGACTGAGCATTAGTGACGTTACATAGAGCGACCGTTTTACATTTTAACATATACATATCTTTAATAAATCACAGCCGCAGCCATGTTTACATCCCAACAGGCGCAGCACTGATTTACGACGCAGCGAGCCAGTGTAAATCTCTGTAACCTATAGCAACCAGAGAAACTTTGGAGCTCGCCACAGGCTGACGCTGAGAAATGGGAGCAACCGCTCGGCGATTTTAAACAAAGACGTCACATATTTCACTTCTTTTTTTTACCGTTTTCGTCGGAGCAACCAGAAAAAGAAAGCATGACATCTCCTCAGAGAAGTCCCAAAGACCTCAAGTCGATGATTATTGACACCAAACAGGTACAGTGGCGTTAACAGGCTAACATGAATTCTGTGTTCTCACAAGCTTTCAGCTACAAGCTCACATTATAAACACTGTTTTGGTGCTCGCTGCTCTGTACACTGCTGAATGAACGCTGAGCAGGTCAGAGATGTAGTTAATGTGCTGGAAAAATGAACAGCTGTTGCAGCTGCTCGATGCAGTTCTCCAGGACCTGCGTAGCTTTTTCAGTGCAGTTCAAACCATCTACAACAAAGAGATTTTCACTCTCTCTCGATCCCTCTCACTTCCCTGTGCGATCTGCCTTATCTTTCTGTAAAAAGCTTCTTTTCTTCCAAACTGCCAGATGTGTAGTAGCTTGTATAATGCTGCGTTTTTTGTGTTTTTTTTTCAATTGGAAAGAGGTGTCTGTTAGGGGTGTGACGATATTTTCAGGTTCGATATTCTGTGATTTTCAGTTCTGTGCTTAAGATTCGGTTTGATTTTCAATATTTTGATATGTTAAAAATGATTTGCTTCTACAGAGCTCTGATTATATACCACATACAGGAGCAGTCAAAAGTTTGGAATCAAATGTCATTAATTACTTAATGAATACAGTGTATATTGAAATACTGTAAGGTAGACTGGAACCCATTTCAAGATATTTTAACACCAAAAAAGTTGGGTGACACTTTATGTTGAGTGGTCCTTTCAGATGAAACAAACGCTCAACGGACTCTCAGTAACATGAAAAACATATGAGGGTTTAGGTTTTGGGTTGAGGTTAAGGTTAGGGTTAAGATTAGGGCCAGGGTTAGACTTAGGTTTTGTGTAATGGAAGTAACATATTAACAATATGTCTACTTAATGTAAGTAATGTGTCAGCAGTCCATCTACATAATATTTACTTAAATGTATTCAGATGATTCACTAAATATACTGCACTGACATGTTGTTAATGTGTTAGTGATACTCTGTTAAGAGTTTATTAATCATCTACAAAGGACCACTCCTAATAAAGTGTTACCAAAAGTTGTTATGAGATAAATAATGTATTGTAATTATTTACTTATAATAATTTCTTAATCAGCTTTCTCAGACATTAAGAAACCATCCCCAGCTCTCTCTTCATCATCATTGTGGACACATCGAACATTTCTTTTTTCACAGCTTCCAATGAATTATTTGAAAAATGCAAAGTTGTTAAACTTTTGAATGCTAGTACAGGTTGTTTTTTTCCATTTAAAAAAAAAACAAACTCTATACAATTTTATAAACCACTGCAGTTAAGCTATAAACATTACAACAAGGGGTATGTTATAGCTCAGCTGCACTCTTTCATAAGATCACTATTTTACACAAATATTTTTAATTTTTATATGTAAGTTTTCTACTTACATTACACTCTAGTCTGCTAATATTTATATTAGTAGTGCTATACATACAAAAATTTTAAGTTGCTTGAAACACCAGAAAACTCAAACATGAGTACCAGCTCACCATCCTACATTAAAAAAGTTTTTTTTTTTTTTATAAAGGAATAACGGAAATCTTGCATAGCCTCACTGAATTAGACTGACTATTCAAATTCTAAATTAATTTGCAGTAAGCTGTGTAAAATTACTACTAATTTTGCTGTTTCTGTTGCAACTATGGCTGTAAGGACATGGACGACGTCCACCAAGCTCTGGATAAACTGAGGGGGCTTTCCCAAGAGGAGAGAAGTGAGGCAGAAATGTTGAGGTCCAGAATCGACGAGCAGTCCAGTCTCATCTGCATTCTGAAGCAGCGAGCAGATGAGATGCTGCTTCGCTGTCAGGCTCTGGAGCGTATCAACGCGGAGCTGGAAAAGCTGCGAGCTGACGTGCAGACAGAGCTGGAAAATGAGCAACAGAGATCCAAACAGCTGGAGAAGAGGTTCATGGACCTCGCCGCCAACCATAGAGAGCTGATCAAATTCAAAGATGAGTACAAACAACAGAACGCAGAGCTGCTGAAAGAGAACCAGAGACTCCAAGAGGAGAATGAAAAACTGTTTAGTAAAGAACTGGAGGAGAAAGAAAAGACCATTCTGAAGCTGACCCAAGAGCTGAGAGACCTGGCTGAGCAACACAGACATTTAGAAAAAGAATATCAGTAAGCATCAGTCAGTTACTGTTGAAAGTGTCATTCTGAGAAGAACAATTGCGAGTGTGGCCTTTTCTACACTCTTTTTATTATCTCAACAGGGATAAAACAACAGGTTTCCAGATGAAGATAAAGGAGCTGATGAATCTCCATCAGATTAAAGAAGCATCATTGCAAGACGAGTTGCACAACACTCAGAAACAGCTGAAGAATGCAGTAGAAATGTGTGCAGGTATGGTCAGCTTTGGGTCAGCTAGGTACAGCTCTGTTTCATCTCAATTGCTTACCTTTATTCTGTTTCCTTTCTTCTGCCAGAGATGGATCTGAAGCTCAGGCAAAGTCATGAAAGAGACACGATGAAAGAAACCGAAAGCCAGGAGAAACTTGAAGCTCTTCTAAAAGAGAAAAATGAATTACTGGAACTGTCCATGCAAAGAGGGAAAATTATACAGGTGAGTCCTGCATTTAACTTAGATAGAGTATGAAAGTAGATCAGTAACCCAATTTTAACTTTAAAATATGATGCAGCTGAGGAAACATTGGTGTAGTCAACTGCAAAAGTGAATATGATTGATAACTATAATAGCTGCACAGCTAGATTAATATTATAGAATTTTGTTACATGTATAACATGCAGAACATTACATTGGGAATGTGATTCCTCTTGCTTACAGGATAAACAAGTGGAAATCCAAGAGTTAGAAAGAAAGAAGCAGGAGGCAGAGAATGCTAGGCAGGATGCAGAGAACAGGTATGAATCTCAAACACACCAGGACTGACCTAGTTTTTAAATATTAACTCTTTATAATTAGGAATGCCAGGCATTAAAGGGACATTCCACCCATTTTTCAAAATTTCTGCATAATTAAATTGTTAAGATGCAAACAAAGTGCTTTGTTCTAGAGAATAAAGTCAGAATTGTTTTCAACAAGATGGTGATAGGAACTAGAACCACAGAGTAAGTTATTACATAGAATGTCTACAAATACACAGCCTTATGCCTATGATGTTGTTTTACAGTAGTTTTGAGATGAAGTTGTGGCTTTTTTTTCCCAAATATATTCTATTTTCAAATACATCTAAAAACTCATAAAGGTGGCTGTATATGTGTTGTAAACATCATGAACTCAGGTTTCTATTATAGGAACTCTGACCCGCCATGTACCTCTCCAGTATGAATGTATTAAAATAATTATAATAATTTTTGGCTAAAGCTTTGTCTCAAAAGTATCATAAAACAGAGTCACAAGCATCAGGCAGGAATTCTATCACCACAATCAGAGTCAGTGCCTTTCTCTACAATGCACCATTTGACATCAAAACGCTGTGATTGACTTTGTTTACATTTGAACAAATAAACTATGCAGACATTTTGAAAAACTGGTGGAATTCCCCTTTAAGCCAAATCATTCCATTACTACACAAAACTCAATACAGTGGAGTCTGTGTGGACAGCAATCTGTAGTGCATCTTCTTGTCTTTTTCAGGTTTGAGAGAGAAGCTGCTGCAGTGAATGGAGATTTGAGAGTGAAGGAGCTCCAGCAGGCTCTCAATGAAGCTGAGGAGACATGCAGTGATCTTAAGAAGGTGTGCTAATTTTACAAGAGGACAAAAAAACCTGTTAGTTGCTTAAACTGGCAAGATGGAAAACAGGTCTCAGTAGTTCTGTCAGTGTGCCCGACTTATAATTATGTGTTCTGTGTTGTGATGTTACATTTTTAGGATTTTGAGGCGTATAAAAAGCACAGCAGCGACTTGCTGGCAAAAGAAAAGGAGTTAAATGCCAAACTTCGCCACATGATCAGCTGATTTCTCCATCCACTCAAACCATCCAGCTCATCCATCCGATTCATCCATCCATGTCATTGAAAGAAGAGATTCATTTTGTTGTCATTAAAATTACATTTTATAAGCCAGAAGTCATACAGAAAATCATCATTCTTAACACATTTGAAAGACAGCAGGCATGAAATGAGGCATTAAGCAACATTTTTTCTTGGAGTTATTTTGTAGTGATTGTCAAAATGGCCATGAGGTAGGCTACGGTATGTCACACAAATATGAACATGTCTTTATAAATGCACTGCACACATGCATTGTTATACAGCAGTTTGCTCTGATGTCACAGTCTGATCGTGTTGTGTTCTGCCCTCATCACAAATAGCAGCACGATTTTTCTCAAAAACTGTATCATTCCACTGAGCACTAGTTGCTGAGTCATGACTCTCTTTACTTTAGCACATAAAAAAACAAACTTTAGTTGTATTTGCCCCTAAACGAGCCTTTCGGTCAGCAGCTGTGATAGAGGAAGAACTGAACAAACTGGAATTGTCCAGAAATGAACACAATACTGTTCAACAAAAAGATGGGTTCTAAAATGTTTTAATGGCTGGAACAAAACGACATTCAGGATAATCTGGCAAGCATTGAAAAATCTGAGCTGAACCTGATATTGTGACGGTTTTATAGCTCTATCTGTAACACAAAATGCCAATACTTTTTTTGGCCATAAGGAATTATAAGTATTAAACCACATTTAATACAATGCTCAGGGCTTTTTTGCTTTATTGTTTCTCTTTATTTTGCAGAAGTGTCATACATAAGCAGTAGAACACAAAAGGCTGTGTGTATCACCCCCAGCTTGTGCCTGCAACAAAATCACCGCCATTATGTTATTTGCGATAGTATACTCTCTCTCGTGTTCTGTTGCTCAGATAACTCTTCAAAAAACAACTAAAATGAGAAAACCTTGCATGTGTCATTTTGAAATGTGAGGGAGGAATGTGACTCAGTTAAAAAGGGAGATTTGTAAAGGCAGTATTACAGTGTTTAGTCCAAATTTTGCAGCACCGCCTGTCATTCTCCACTAGAGGGAAACGCACCCGGTTGTAAAACAGTTATTAAAGTGGAAGTAAATTCAGGAATTCTGAGAATGATTTTAATTTGGCATTTAGTGGTAGTGGGCTCAGGAAAGTCATGCAGGGCAGGTCAAAGAACAAACACACTCACTAAACATAAGGTAAAAAATTATTTCAGATTATTTATATTTTAAGTCCTAGCACAGGAAACATACAAACTTACAAACTGCTCATGAAATTCTTCTTGCATCACCACCACATTTGCTCTGGTCTATTAAATCTTTTTTCATATATCTTAATATGCTTAAGATAAATAGAAAAGTAATTGGGTTCAGTAGTTGCTCTATACTGCTCAAAATGTACTACTTCATGTTTGTCATAATTGTTTTTCCACAAAGTAATGACAATGTATTGTTTTGGGAAAACACATATACATGTGTAGGGTCAGTCTGTGTCAAGGTGTGTTTGGCGGAAAGAAATGAACGTGTTCAAACAGAAGATCATAGTACTTCTCTGACATTGGAAAATTGAGTTGTTAAGAGACGGCAGTCCAGCTCAGTAATTTCAGGGTCATTTCCAGTCTAACACACAGCCGGTAACTCAAATGACAGAGAATACGGTCAACTGTAAAGTGGTTATTTTGTCTGCGCGTTTATGTTTTATTATGCGGAACATCTGGATGCTCAGCATCCTGCCAGAGAGCTTTTTAAAGGCTACCTATTTTCCTAGAAATGTGTTTAATCTCATCTTCTGGATCCTTTCTGTTGTTCATACATTTTGCATTTATATAATTTCTATATGAACTTTTAATGACACTATATTTGTAGCATTTGTATTTCTGGGTTTTAGGTGGGAATTTAGGTTAAGGTCTGATTTTTGTAATAAAAGCAGAAAAAATAACAAGGTATTAAATGGATGTGTTAGCGGTTGTGCAGTGCATTTTGGTGCTGAATTATGTGTCTGTTCTGTGTCTGTGTACCTCTGTCAGTGGGCAATGTGATGTCAGGATTGCTGACTTTCCCCCATTTTTTCCCCTATACTTATGACTAGCACACCTGCAATTCGGGCAATATACACTATATATCCAAAGGTTGTAGACAACTACTCAACCAACCTTTCTTCTGAAATCAAGGGTATTAATAGGGGGTTTGTCCACCCTGTGCTGCAGTAACAGCTATTCTTCTGGGAAGACTTTACACTTGATGTTGAAACTTTGCTGTGAGGATTTTGTTGCATTCAGCCGAAGAGCATTAGTGAGGTCATAGTGACGAATCATCAGTTCTGGATCAAAAACGTCACTCCAGTGCATCTCATAGTGCTGCATCACTCCAGGGAACACAGTTCCACTTTAGATTTAGACCCCTCAAACCAACCACCTAGTATTAGGCATGGTGACCTTAGGCTCATCTGTGGCCACTCAGGATTGTCCCATTCTATGAGACAAGCTGTGTGTGTGCATTTGAACATCTGTGTCAGCAGTGGGTGCACCTTTAAGTAGCTGAATTGGGTAATTATAACAGGGTGTCTGGATGCTTTTTTCCTTCTGGCCACTTTTATGGTATATTTATTTTAGATACTAGGAAATAATGTTAATTTTAAACAGATATTTCTGGGCACTTAATACTAACTTTAATAGCAATTCACTTAGTACTAACTTCAATAACTAATCACTTTATATGTGTTATTCTTTTAATTGATATTCAGTCATGTCAGTATTTCATGTTCTGTGCTTTCATTCTATGTACACTTTATTGTCCAGGAGTATTTCAGCAGGGCGTTGAAAGGTCACAGGTAAGGTGTGGAATCCTGTGCTGTTTTAAGTGCATATTAGTCCAGCAGTTATCCCACTTTCATATATTGCATCAAGTTGAGGCAGGTTTGCCTCTGCAGCGCAACTGACTTTTCCACCTGCCCTTTACTCATTTGACCTCTCATTGGTCACTCTAAAGGCCCTAAATTTCATTGCCATCGAGTCCACCTCACCTCTGTGACCATCTGTTCCTCAGCAATGCTAAGAATTGTCCTGCTGACCCTTTCTGTCTTACACTAGAATTGCTGGAATTGTTCAAGTTTCCTTAAATGTATGCTTTGAAAGATTTCTGTGATCATATCCTCCAAATGCACATTTGCTCTGGATCAGACGTTTACTGTGACTTTTTTCAATGTAAACTGAAAAGGCATTGTATTAAAGGTTATTATTGACAGCGTTTGTTGTATTCCTTGTATTTCTGAGTGCTTTAAAATCTAGAGTGTAGCGTAAGATTTATATATGGTTTATTGGTATTTCTGAACTGCTTTGACACTAACCCATTTATCACAGTTACATGATTTATCAGCCTGCAGCCAGACTGCTTATGTCAGTCTGTCCGTCGTTGAGTGTAAAGTGTTATAGAGGTCAGAAAAAGCAAGACCTTTTCTTGTAACACAAATCACAGTGAAAATTCTGTTCTGTTCTGTGTCTCTTTTGGAATGGTATGAAGAATGCCCAAGAAGTTCAAGACATTCACACTTTATAATTTACAGAGGAACTCCTAGAGGTGGTTAATAACTAGTTACATTTACTCAAGTAGTTGATTTTCTAAGTAAAAAAATAAGAAAGCATCCTCTACAGAGAACATAGTTATTGCTGTAATTAAACTTATGGGAGGGGGGACATAAAATGTCGCCTGTGCAAACATTATGGCATATTATATATTTTATTTTTTCCAATATGTTAAACACGGCAAATCAATAGAAATTGTGCAGTAAATACACAAAACATATCAACAAAACATATCATTTTACGGGGGATGTTCAAACTTATCCACATGATTGTAAGTGTATATGTGAGAAAAGTAATCTACATTTTACTTTTACATTTTAATCATTGACATTTGGTTCCGAATTTCTTTTTATTGTGTTACATTGGTGAAATCTGTTTTGCTCTGCTGTTGCTCACTCCTTTCAGTTCGGAGCTTTAGCATTTGATTTTAGACCAAACGGATCCCAAAAAGAGAAGAAAAGCATAGTTAAATTGTAAAGTTCTGCTGCAGCTCTATTAGTTTCTCAGTTTGTAAGTAGTTTTGTGACCTGATACTTTTGTACTACTCAAGCTGTTTTTCAGTAAAGTACTTTGCCCTGAGTTAATATTTAATTAAAATCTAGAAATACTCTTACTTGAGTACTGGCTTAGGCTACTCTACCCATCTCTGGTAGTTGTGAAATTAAGATTACAGCATATTACAGCAGGATTCTTGTGACAAAGCATAGACAAGCCTAACTGATACACGAATGTTTAGGTAGATCAGCAGTGATCTCATAGTTAAAAAATCTGCATAGAATTCTCTGATGGTCTGGAGCTGCAGACAATGTAAGGATCATTGTATAGTGTGAGTGCTGGAACGTGAAGAGTATTCATGTCTGTACATGACTTCAGAGGGAAATGCGTGATCTCTGAGAGCTCGGCTATGCCCTTAAGATTTCACAGGTTCATCCTCCAGCACCTACAGACACACACTCTTAGTGTTAAGTAACAATATACATGTTGCTTTCTAGTAGTTCTATGATTACCAACTGTAGTCCGTCTGTTTCTCTGCATACTTTGTTAGCCCCCTTTCACCCTGTTCTTCAATGGTCAGGACACCCACAGGACGACCACAGAGCAGGAATTATTTGGGTGGTGGATCATTCTCAGCACTGCAGTGACACTGACGTGGTGGCATTTTAGTGAGTGTTGTGCTGGTAATAGCCAATCAGACACAGCAGTGCTCCTTGAGTTTATAAACACTGTGTCCACTCACTGTCCACTCTATTAGACACTCCTACATTGTTGGGCCACCTTGGAGATGTAAAGTCAGAAATATTAGTTTATCTGTTGCTGCACAGTCTGTGTTAGTCATCCTTTACTCCTTTATCAGTGGTCACAGGACACTGCCCACAGGACACTGTTGGCTGGATATTTTTGGTTGGTGGACTATTTTCAGTCCAGCATTGACACTGAGGTGTTTAAAAACACCAGCAGCACTAAAGGTGAACTAGATGAAGTGGCTGTTTGGTGTATGAATCGTAAAGATATAAACAAACTCATTTTGAGTGGTTTGATGTCACATGCTCCATTCTAGAGAAACTTACCAAGTCAGAATAGTTCACAATGGTAGTGATGGGAACCAGACGTCCAAAGTGTTCAATGCCTCCAAAAGCTACCTGACAGAATGTTATTACAGAAAACGTCCATCATGCCTGATTATGTTTTTTTAGTATAGATTTGAGAAGGTCTTGGATTAAAACTTTAATACACTCATGGCTGAGAGGTACATGCAGGGTGTGGTAAGGCAAAATAGTCAAAAGAAAACATTTTTTTCAGATTTCACCATTATCAACATTACGTATATAAAAACTCAGATGATGTGTCTAGGTTCACTGCTAGTTTTGGATAATAAATAAAATGGCTGTATTTATGATATATAATGTTTATGAAATATAAAGCTGTGAGAATTGGTTCCTGTCACCACCACTATAAAGAAAATTGAGCCAGTAAGTTTTTCTACATTGAAGCACTTTGAATGACTTTGTTTACATCTCAACAATTGTCTTATGCAGAAATATTGAAAAATCAATGCTGCTCATTGGTTATTTACAGCTGGGTTTTTAGACAGAGACAAAGACTGAGTAGTGTGAAATAAAGTTGAATAAACTGAATGTTCCAATACATTTTATGTTAACAGATCATTAAAATCATTTAAAATATGTACTTTTTTATACCTTTTTAAAATTATTTTGAGCAACCTTTTGGTGCCTTTGGACATCAGGTGCCTCTGGACAATCATCTAGGTCACCCATATAGCAGATACACAGGACACCACTGCTGCTTCTTTAGTATGTTGCAGAGACAACGCAGTCTTAGACATGAACACTTTTGCCTCGTTGTGATTCAGTAACAAGCATTCCAAAGTGTCAGCTTACCTGTGGGTGCCTGTGGCCTGCAGGGATTGAAGCGTACACCTCAGCCCCCTGCAGCACAGCTGGAGTGCAGTGGTCTGCCTTAACCACCATTCGACCTGGACATGCAACCACTTGCATCTTAACTGAGGCTAGGTCACAGGGCACACACGCACCCACATTCCCTCCGTGCATGGCCGAAGGTCATCACCATGCAGTTTGTGAAGAGAGAATGACCTTTTAAAATGCCTGTGTTCAGGGAGCTGTAATGAATGTGTATGCTGCCATATATACTCTTAAAAATAAAGGTGCCACAAAGGGCTCTTTGGGGCGATGCCATAGAAGAACCCCTTTTAGTTCCCTAAAGAACCTTTCAGTGGAAGGTTCTTTAGAGTAGCATTGTTGTGATTGAGATGAGATGTGTGATTGTATTGTATATAGTTTTATACCAATATAGTTTTATACCAATTAAAACTTTTTCTCACAACTGCATGTCCAAACCAAGAGTCATTTAGGAACCTTTACTGTTAATGTTCTTTTTTGCACACTACCTACATGTTGTTACCTTTAGTTATTTCAAAATGCAGCATCCAACTGCTTATATATTCTGAAATAAGACTGAAGTAGTAGAATAAAACTCAGAACACATTTGTTTTGCAGCTGTGGAAAAAAATCATGACAAAATTAAAGTGAATTACTGGGTACTCATTGCATTTCGTCCACAGTAATATACTGTACCATATTAACAGTAAATAACAGTAAAGTAACAATATTTGGAGCGCAAAGACTACTGTGATGTAACTATTTTCTGTTCTAAAATACAGTTATAACATTTTTACATAATAACCATAAAAGTAATGCAACTCAGCAGCCAATAATTTACTGTATACATACAAATAAAAATACTGACTGAAATTCACTGAATGTATCTACAAATTTAAAAATTTGTTTTTGAAGATGTAAATAAAATAAAAGTTAAACTAAAATACAAGCAAAAGCAATATCAATAAACATATTTAAGCATTGTTTTGCACTGTATGTGCACAGAACACCTCAAGTAAGCATTTTTAAATACACTTTTTGTGGACAGTTTGCCTATAATTTGCACAAATATAACCAAAAACATTGTATTTTTAGCACTGTTTGGCAATACCAATAATTTTTCTGTGTTTCAGCGTAAAAAAAAAAAAATCCAACATAAAACTTTGAGCTTTAAGTCTTTAAAGTATTAAAACCTGAATCTTCAGAATAAAAATACTTAACCGTTTTATCAAAATATGTTGATGCCTTATTAACTAATGCTGTGCGGTACAGCCCAGCGTTAACCTCACAATAATTTGCTGTGTTATTATAGAATATATTTGAAGAAAAATGTAATTTTCCTATAAGAAAATTAAATAAAATGATAAATACAGTATTTTATTGTAAAATATTGGTGTTAAATATTGTGAAATTCCTGAAATAATTAACATTGTATATTAGCATCAACTGCTGTTGACCTACAGACCAAACCAGGACATGTTCAGACTATCCTCATAACCTAATAAACCTCTCCAATGGTGTCATGACCAATTTATCATCATAGTCAGAGTTTACTGACCCACAATTCTCTCACTTGTCTTGTTAGAGGGATGTAAACAAGCAGATTCTTCCCAGTTAGCCCACCTACAAATATGCCATAAATATCAGCCAAGGAAAACATTTTTCTACATCTTCTCACAGTTTCCTTATTTTTCCACAGTTTTGGGAGACAGTGTCTCTGATACAAAAGAAAAAGCTGTATAATGTCATTGGGTTGCAGGTTACATGACAACCACTGTGGCATCCTATGGTATGCGAGAGAAAGTTCACGACTCTGGAGACTGATCATCGCCCCTCCTCCGCTTTGTTTGCTTAATATAAAACTAGACATTTGGTTGACACAGTTATTACCTACACTGAAAAAAGTAATATATGTAATACTGATATATGTAAAAGTAATATGTGTAAATACTTTCTACACAAATAAAATTACATCAGATTAATTGTTGCTAAAATTAGATAACAGAAAGACCAAATTATGTTTAATCAGGTGGTAATGATTCAGACCTTTGAATCAAGTAAATTTAATGCATCATCTCTTTCAGGGTACACAAGGCCTCAAGGCATGTGCATGAAATATTTGGAGAAACTGTGTATTGAAGCTGCAGTCAAAGACAGACAGTTTTCCCACTTCCCGTCCCCTCCTCCACAGCCGTGAGGATGAGTGGGAGTGTTGAGGTTCCTCCTCTCTTTAAAAGAGGGAGAGAAAGGAGCAGGGCCTCATTCACTGATCCAGCTTCAAGATGTCCACTCCTGCAGCACACACACGGAGCTAACTGGAACCAGACCGGCACCTGCCTCTCTCTCTCTGATACACACAACACAACAGAAACGCAGAGCACATCTGAACAGGTAACCCTCATCAGTAAGTGAGTAACTGGATTTAATGCTTTTGTGCATATTGTAAAGGATAAACTATTTTTTTTTCTTTCATAGTCGTTTTTTAGTTTTTACTTACTGTTTTTATGGAACGTGCGTGCCTTGCATGCTAAAAATACACCACACAAGCTCACTGGGTGACTATGAGAAATAGCTGAGTAGAGTTTTCCCTTTAACAGCTGTACACTCTTAAAAGTAATGGTTTCTAAATGGTTCTTGACTTGGGAATATAGTTCTATGAAATGTATATAATTCATATTGCATTTTTACATTAATTTGGAGGTTCTTTAAACTTTTGGAGGTTCTTAACAAAATTGGTTCCATCAAATATTTTTATAAAAGTTTTTCTCTGGCATCATTGCAAACACCTCTTTTTGGTGAGGTTATTCAGAATCAAAATCAGAGTCTGTTGGCCAAATTTGTTACAGCTGCAATGAATTTGTTTTAGATTACACAGTAGCTACACAGTAAGTCCCGCCTCCCTTAGTTTTGGCTGCTATGTCTGTCAAACTTTCAGCTCAGGCTACCTGGAGGCATCTGTAGCACTTGAGCTAACAAGTTTCTAAACTTTTTTGAGACTAAAAAGTTTCAAAGCAAAGGAAAATCTAGAAACATACAGTACAACAGAAACATCTTTCATTCAGCAATAAATGACATTCAGTGCAGACATACATGCTTGTGAAGTAAAATGTGCATATTGGCCAATCTAAGTCAAACAAAAAATGACTTCTGGAAAATATATTTACATTATTCAAAGCAGGGAAATCATTTAGTCATTAGAAGAGAAAATGGTAGATTTTCATGCCTAATAAGGAAGAGGTTTTAGCAACAGAGCTAGTCAGAGCAATGTTATATAACTAGTTAGACTACTTAAATTTTTTTTGTAATGTTTTTTTTATATTTTATTTTTGTAATACAGTAACCCAGATAAAGTTTATCTTACCTTAAAGTCTGTCAGTTACTAGTTTTGTCACTGAGCTGTAAGTGGTCTTCCATATTTAATTTAATCCCAAAGTGTTTCAGGTTAAAGAATGAAAGAAAAACAACATCATCGTCCATATGATAACGTATATCGGATGTTATTAGCTTAACACTTTTCCACCATCTCTTAACCTAGTAATTCTGGCTAATTTAGTGCCACTGTCGTTCTCACTGCAGGTTTGTTTTGAGGTGTTGTGTTGAAGTTTTTCCTTTGCTTGTCAGAAAAGGTTTAGACATGATTGTGATTGACTGAGAGGCATGTCTATCATGATTTTGCAAACAGTCACTGACAGCAGAAATTTACATTTTGTGCATACTGCTACTCATATACTGTTTTGTAACAAAAACATGCCAAAGAAGAATCACTTTTGGTTCCCTGAAGAGCCTTTTAATGGATGGCTATTGTAAATGAGATGTAGAAATGTGAACACCTACAGGGTGTTAAGGTTCTGTACCAATTAAAAGTGAGAGTGTTTATGTGACAGTAATTACAATATGCACATAAACATGAGTGCATAGTCAATATTTAAAGATATCTTTCCCTTTGCAGGAGTATCAGCCATGTGTTCTTGGGTGAGCTGGTTGCTCTTGCTGACAGGCCTGCTGGGTGTGTATGCTCAGGAGTACTACGAAGAAAGGACAGCAGGGAAGAGAACTGCGGTCAGAGTGTTCCCCGCAAACCAGCAGAAATATGATGGACAGGGTGAGACATTGTGCTGCATATGTTATATAATAAATGCATTAAAACATCTGAGCCTACAATAAAGAAAACAATATGTATTTAAAACACATTGGTACAGATTCACTGGTATTATTCCCCAAGATATATATATATATATATATATATATATATATATATATATATATATGATCATATTTACTTTTCACTGCAAACAAAAATACACCGAAGCATAAAAAATCTGTAAATCCTTTTTATCTATAAGTCCGTCTTAGAAGGCCACATTTCTTTGCTGTGTTGTATTGGTGTCCTAAGGCATTTTTACACACTGACACATTTCCTACATCATCAGAGACTTGACAAGTGAAGTCTGTTAACCTTTTAAGAGTGTTTAGCTAAGAGCAATAAAATGGCAAATATCATATACAAACCCAATTCCAAAAAAGTTGTGACCGTATGTAAAATGCTAATAAAAACAGAAAGCAGTGATTAGTAAATTCTGTTTGATATGCATTCAATTAAAAAACAGTACAACAGTACGCAAACATGACATTTGATGTTTTATATTATAAATTTTTATCTTCCTTTTGTAAATATACCCTCATTCCAAATATGATGCCCGCAATACGTTCCAAAAAAAGTTGGGACAGGAGCATATTTACCACTGTTTTACATCACCTTTCCTTTTAACAATACTTATTCATTATTTGGGGACTGAAGATACTAATTGATTGATTTTTGAATGAGCAATTTTTTGTCAAGTCTGTGCCACCATATGGGGTCTTAATTGTCATATTTTGCACTTCATAATGCACCACACATTTTAAATGCAAGACAGGTCTGGACTAGTCAAGGACGGAAGGTTTAGAGAGGTTTCAGAAGAAGGGTCAGAGGTTTAGATCTGCACTCTCTGATTATGAAGCCATGCTGTTGTAACACATGCAGAAACTAGCTTGCCACTATCATGGAGGTCCTTGAAAAAGATGCTGGGGCTCCCGATTGGCACAACCGTGTAAACCTTGGTCCTATCATCAGAAGATCATGAGTTAGATCCCAGGTGATGGTACAGTCATCCATAGCCAGGAGTCCAAGAAAGCAAAATTGGTCTTTTTTTTCTCTCTGGCTCTCCCTCTTTCCCCATCACTCAGCATGATGCTAGCCAGTGTGGATATCTGTTATCTGACGTAGCTGACACCAGTTAGTTACCTCCTCAAAGTGTGGAGGTGTTTCTGAACATTGTTAACATTACAGGCAGTCACTTGTGGTTATCAGTTGTTCTAAAACTAAAACTAAAACTGAGTTATTTGCTGACACATTTTTAGGCGAAGTGAGCCTTGACCCATCCTTGCTCATAAAGGACTAGGCCTTTCCTGGTTGCTCCTTTTATTTCCATTCATAAGCGCATCATTTGTTTAAGGACATTTCACAATATTCTTAGTCTTAAATTGCTGCTGTCCTAAATGATCTAGGAAGAGCAAATCATCCATGTTTTGCAAATAATGATTCAAGGAAGAAAAAAGGATGACTCGAAACAAAGTGTAGACAGATATACAGTCACAGTGTCAAGTATATAGGCTGACAAATACAAGAGACAAGGTTATGAATATCACACATACAGACATGTTCAAATACGCGTGAAAAAAGCACTGAAAAAAGTAATGTACTGAATGTACTTAATTTAAATGTATCCATCACTTAAATGTGAATACAGTATATTACATCTGCACAATCATTTGTTTTACATGCTTTTAACGATGGTGTAATGTGCTTAATACTAATGTGGAATATTACTTCCTTTTTCAACAGCCATCTTGGATGAAGACTGTGGTCTAGAGTTAGCTTTCCTTATCGACAGCTCTGAGAGTGCAAAGGGCCACCACCAACAGGAGAAGCAGTTTACTATGGACATCGTGGAGAGCTTAAAGAGCATCCGTCTGGAGACAGGGCGCAAACTGAACTGGAGAGTGGCCCTCCTCCAGTACAGCAGCCATGTGGCCATCGAGCAAACTTTGAAACAATGGAGGGGCATGGAGAACTTCAAAAGCAGCATTGCTCCCATGGCCTACATTGGTCATGGCACCTACACCACCTATGCCATCACCAACATGACCAAAATCTTTTTGGAGGAGTCCAACCCAGACAGTATTAAGATTGCACTACTGTTTACAGACGGCGTCTCCCATCCAAGGAACCCTGACATCTTCTCAGCCACTGCTGATGCCAAGAACCAGGGAGTGAAGTTCTTCACCATTGGCATCACCCATGTTGCCAATGAACCGGCCAACATCGCCCAGCTAAGACTTCTGGCCAATACACCTGCTTCTCGGTTTCTCCATAACCTGCAGGACATAAACATCAAAGAGAAGATCCTCACCGAGATTGTAAGTATGTTACTGACCCACTTCGAGAAGCAGAAGACAAAAGTCTTAAGTCTGTCTTCAGGTGTCTGTATTTTCACTTGCTCCAAGAGTAGACAGATATTGAAACTCACACTCATTTTAAAATGTGTTGATTGAAATATACAGAAATGAAAAAAAAAAAACAGCACATTATTACCCTCAAGATTTTTCTTATATAAAGTTCATTTTCTTCGTAAGTATAAATAAGTAAGTATAACATCTCATAAGTATAACATCTATAACATAACCTACCTCTTCATATCCATGTGAAATATACAAAACAAACATGTTTATAAAGATCAATTTAACTTTAAAAAATTAAGATGCTAGAGAAAGTTCTTTGAGCCGTGTCACAGAAGAACCAGTTTTCCTTCCCTAATAAACCTCCCAGGGAATAGTTCTTGAGAAAACTATTGTAAATGACGTGTGAGTGTGAAGAACCTTTTAAACCTTTTTACAGCAGCCATAAAATGCAATTTCTGGCTGTTGTGGAGGTCTCGCAGTTGCTGAACCATGCATTAGTCTTTTTCTTTAACATTGATGGAAAATATTTCAATGGATTTTTATATGTTACAAAAAACAGAAGCAAACTCAATTTTTGTCTTCATACGTGAGTGAGTAAGTCAACATTTTTAATAATAACAAGTATTTTATTGTGTTTAAATACTATTTTTATTGTGGATTGCTTGATAGTATGAAAGCTGCATTGTGCTGTCTTTTTTTATCTGAGCACATCTTTGTTGAAAGGTGTGAATTGTGTTCACAGCAGGGGATTCCCACCCCTCCCCTTTTACCCCTCATTGCTCACTAGCAGCACAGAGAATTTCATACACACACAGAGCCAAAAGTCCTAGTTAATCTGAGAGTCACAGGGAAAAATATTGTATTTGATTATACTAACTGAAAATATCAGTTAATTTCCTTTCCACTGGTAGAATGGCCACTGAATGGCCTGCAGAAAGAGGCTAAATTTAAAAACCTGTACATAATGTAAAGATTCTAGGAAGAACACTTAAAATGGTAAATAACTTTTACATTAAGCAAAGGTTCTTTCAGGTTTTAAAAGGTTCTTCATATGTACAAATCTCTTTTCCAAACATGGTTCTTCAGGGAAACCAAAAGCAGTTCTTCTATGACATTGTTCAAAGGAATCTTTTTTTTAAGTGTGCCCAGAATTGTGATGATCTTTATGCACAGATTGCCTGAAGCTTTCATGCTTGAACAGATGCACAAAAATGCCAATGATTTTAATGTTTAGTGTAAACACTCTTTTCTTTGGTATTCCCAAAACTCACACTCAGTCTGTCCTCACTCTCTCCAATGTGTGTAAACACATTCTGCTGTTTCTCCTGGCATTCCTCTAGGTGGAAATACTCTGAGGATGTTTGTGTTATTCTCTTTGCTTTTTTAAATATGATCTGCATTTGTCATGTTTGGGACACTTTTATCATTTCAAAAACTGGATTTTAATCCATCAGACTAACATCAACAATACTGAATAATGTCACTGTCAGAACAAAAACCTTTGTTTCCGTTTTTATCTTTTTTTAAACAGAATCTGAAAATTCCAGAAAGTTCAGAATGTTTTTTCCTTCTCCTGAAAAGTTACTGTTTTGGAGATATGAGGTTTCGTTGTGTCAGCCTACAGTAACTAGACGATAAATCAGACCTTAACATTTTCTGAGCAAAAACTTCACCTTAGGTCACATTGACAGGGAAATAGCATTTGGATTTTGGTTTTATGCACTAAGCGATGGGCCGGTGCACAAAAACACAAAAGGGCCATGTCCTAGAGTTTAAAAGCAATTTCAGCATAGAATGTCAGTGCAATGTGGGTGGTGCTAAGAACTGCTACTGAAAGTAAGATCAGGGTAACTCACCCGCTTAAGCCAGATTATAGACTATTTAAGTTAACATTTTGGGTTACACTGCATGTCATAATCCAAAATTTGTTTATGAAAGTGATGTAAACAACTATGATCTGCAGCAATGTCTCATTCTCGGCTTCTTTCTTTTTTTTTCCACACAGGCTCAACTAGCTGAAGACGGGGTATGTAGTTCATATTTAAAGCTTCTCTGAGAAATAGAAAACCATTTTGTTGAACCGCAATAGAACTTTGGATGCACACCTTTAAAATAAATTTCTCTTTTAAAGTGTCCTGTGGCTCAGAAATGTTCGTGTGAGAAGGGTGAGAGAGGACCAAGTGGCCCAGCGGTAAGTATCGCTTTTAAACTCTGGAAACATACAAACACTTACGCTGTAGAGCACACTGACCCTTTTTTCTTTCTTTTTTTCTTTCTCCTGAGTCAGACAGCACAATGAACAAACACGAGTTTGACATTTCAAATGACCGCTTTGCTGGGTGAGGGTGGGGTTAATTGCAGTTTTGTTAGAATCTCTCAGCACTGCCTCCAGGCTTGCTGAAAGGTGCATAAGGACTTCTGCAATTTTCATGCTTACTATCCTTAAAACATGAATATATGACTCTATACTTAGTGGGTTCTTAATATATGTGAAGAAATAAGTGCAACCATTTAAAATAGTTCCTAAGCCGTGGAACAAATATGCATATACATGTAAACGCACTAGCTAAAGAATCCTGAATTAAAGCTATTTAATGCTTGCATTTTATTATTTTTTTTCTTTCCTTTTGTCAAAGTATTTAACAATCTGAATTTGTGTACTAAGAGTTTACGCATGGTTCTCAACACAGCCAGCCCCCCACAGAGATGCTGGTAGGGCTCCTATTAAACGTTCCTTTCCTCTATAAAATAGGCTTTTGTTCACATCATAAATAGAACCTCATCCCCCACTCCTCTGACCACAGTCACAGAGAGAAGCAGACTTGCTCTAAGCTTTCAGCTGAGTGCTGGTTGAATATGATACATGGTCGCACTTGAAGCGACAGCAAAGCCCTTCCAGATCACAGGGTGGATCATGTTCAGCCAGGCAGCCTCCTCATCATTATCCAGGTGCTTTCACCTCACAGAGATTCCACACATACTAACCTCAGTAATTGCTCTCATTAGTTAAACGGCTGCAGAGGGGTTTTCAGCTGAAAGACACAGCACACGCTGACCAGGTGCTGCTAACTGGTTATTTTCATAGTCACCGTCTGTCTTTGTCTACCACATACGCTCACGCACAGGTTTGTTTCTATATGATGTCGGTATGGGATGTAATGCATATTTCCCACGTGCTTATATTGTAGATACTGTATATATACAGTCGCATGCAAAGGGTTGAATAGCCTTGGTCAAATTACATATTTTGTTGATTTAACACATGTTGATTGTTGTTCCTCTACAGGAAACAAACTCAACTATGGCATTTTCTGTGGACTTTAGTGCACCATTTCTATTTATTAAATATAAAAAGTGCCATATCTTTTACACAAGCCAAATCTTTGCGATATTTTTGCCAGTATTCAGCAAATAAACAGTAACTGTGCAGTAAAATGTGCAGAAGTGTCTTCTCTATAGAGGATGTGTTAATTTATTTTCACTTAGAAAATAAAAAAAATAAATAATAATAATTTAACCAGAGGTGCCAAAAGTTTGCATATGAATTAATTTAAACTGGTCCCACAGTAAACAAAAAAACAAAAAACAAAACAAAACAATGGAAAGGATTATGTCATGTCTATATCTATTTAAACCCAGGGCATTAATTGAGATAATAATAAACTAAATAAATACAAAATCATCATTTGTAAGGTGCTGGGTCTGTCCCAAATCCTAACCCCTAAATTTCAACTTGTGAAAATAATTTTGTTTTGTCTTTTTTTCATTGTTTGTTTTTAAAGATATTTTTGATTTATCTTAATGTGAAGTTGAATGATTTAATCAGGATAATTTTTAAATAAAAAGCTTTTTAGATGTTTAATGCCACTACTGAAACACAAAGGCTGTGTTCCAAAAAGCCTACTACATACTGCTCACATACTAATGGTACCCAAAAGCAGTAAGCGGTATGCAACAAAATAGTGTTCAATCATTTTTTTTTAATAAATAAACTAAACTACCTAAACTACTAATATGTAATAAGAATTTTCTAAGCTTAATTCTAAATGTTACTTTAGCCTCAGTAACCCTAATGTTAACTGTAGTACTCAAGTTTTTTTCATTTTTTTAAAAATGTAACATGTAGCTTCTGCAAAAAGTGCTTTACAAAGTCAAGACTATTTTGTTGTAAAAAGTCAGGAAAGTCCACTACATTTTCATCATTGAAATGTACAAAATTTACAAAAACACACACTTTTCCAGCCTTATTCTCGTTTTGCTGCCCGAGGTGCTGTGTGCTTTAATTTCACTTTCTCTTGCATTGTCTAAGATGACAGAGCTTTACCTCCTCTGTCACTGGCAAGTTCTTCTTGCTCTAGTCAGTCGGATGAAGTCATTGGCTTTGTAACCTATCATGTAACGTCAGTACTGTCTTCCACTAACCGAGGTCTCATTTTGTTTCCTTATAACTCCTCAGGGAAAGAAAGGTCGTCCAGGTGAAGATGGAGCCCCTGGTCCTAAAGGTCAAAAGGTTAACACCCTTCTTCCATCTTAAGTCTTGTCATCCTAAGTTATATTTGCAGAATTGTATGTATGCATGTGTCTGCATATAATTTAAATGGGAAAAATACCATTTGTTCAAATCAATATGCAATTTATGCTCATCAGCTCTCTATGTACAGTGGCTAAATTAGTCATTTAGAGGCTATCCCATCTACTTCCCATGAAAAGCACAGTGTAATATATTCCTTCCTCTAACCTCCTCTAAGATGATTAATTTATCTAACTTTTATTAAGAATTTATTATCTGGTTATTCTCAGGGTGAAAGTGGTTTGAGTGGACTTCCTGGTCGTGATGGCTCAGAAGTGAGTAACCAAAACTTGCAACCTAGCTGGACTGCCGCAATAATACTGCTGATAATGAGCACTTATTCAAGTGTTCTTTGGTTACTGTAATGTAGTCCTTATAAGAACCCAATAGTGGCTTATAATCTTTCTGTTTTGCTTATAGGGGAAACCTGGCTACAAAGGAGACAAGGTATTTAACTCAGTTTCATGATGTCATCATTGTAGTTATGGGGGGATTCCATAAGTGGGGTGCCATTTATTCTTTGTAACTCTTATTCTTCTTATTCTGACTTTTATGTATTATCCCAGGAACATTTACATTTTAACAAGGTACAATAAATAACAGGGTTGAACGTTACAGGGTTGAGTTTTGTGAACAATGTGAACTATTTTAATGATCATATTTCAAGGTATGGTTGTACATGGCTAAGGCAAAATTATTGTTTTCTAAATACTTTAGATAGGTTTAATTAATGTTTTATTTATCAACATAGACATTGTTGTGAAGGACAATACCTATGTCTAAAATGTCTTTCAGCTTTACTTTTCATACACATTTGTAAACGTAATATCAGTGGGACACAAATGGCACCGCATCTGTGGAATTACCCTTATACATTATTGTATGTTTATATACATCTCATTTATACACATTTCATTTTCTCTCATCTGTCTGCAGGGAGACAGAGGGGAATGTGGCACGCCAGGAATCAAGGGTGACAGGGTGTGTATAAATATGAATGTTCATTTTACACCTAATAATAGCACAGAAATCACGATGTGTAGTTTCTCACAATGGCATTGATTAAACTGTCATTAAATCATATCCTCCCAGGGTCCAGAGGGTCCTGTTGGCACAAGAGGGACCAGAGGGTTACAGGTGGGTATAAAGCTAGAACAAAGCTAGAATAAAGAGAATAAAATTAATATATACACATACACACACACACACACACACACACACACACACACACACACACACACACACAAACAGAAACTGATCCCAGATCAGCATTTTGTGAGAAGTTTGGTAAACAGGGGCCACTCTTTACTTGAAAAGCAAGTCAAAACTTTCTATTGAAGGCTTAGGGAGCACATTTGATGTCAAACAACAATATTGTGCCATTTTTGTGTGTTTCGTTACGATCATCATGCTAAACTTTCACATCTAATCTATAGCAATATAACACTACAGGATACCTATTTGTGTTTCCCCTGCAGGGTTTACCAGGACCACAAGGTGACATTGGACCAGAGGGGCCACAGGGCACAAAGGTGTGTATCTTCTAATCACCAGCAATCACCTGCAGGGTACAGTTTTTACTTCAACCCGCACACCTGGGAAATGTTCATAGAAGACAGAGGGAACCCTACAATCACGATTTTTACACGCTTGTAGCAGCTTTTTTTTTAAGAGGAACGTGTTTAGCAGCCTGGCTTTGTGGATGATTTAACTGGGGACATGCAGACATGCCCAGTAGGGATTCTCACACGAGAGCTGCCTACATAGATCATTTTTTTACAGCTTAATGCTGTCTCTTTTCAGCCTTCCAAAATGACATTCCATGACAAAAAAGAAAACCTAAATGTTTTCAGTCCATGTTCCGACATGCAGTAGTCATGAACAAAGGCAAAGCATGATACGTGTGAGGCATACAGTAGCGGAATAGGACACTTGTAAAGCTGGCCTACTTATTCAAGGGTTGTCATGTTCCAAAGATGGCTGTCTATTCTTGAATGTTTTACGAAACAGCACGCAGTTTCATAGACTAAACAAGCTGAAACTGGAACAATGCACTAAAACAAGACAAAGCGTGTGCTTTTCCCTCCTGATCTCAGGCCTCAAATGCCAGAGGGAGGTGCAACTGCATGAGAGAGAAGTGTAGGAGATGAGTGACAATTGGCATTGCTATCGGAGCAATGCTCTTGTCAAGTTAATGACCAGTGCATCCTAGCGAGCCAACTGCAAACTCATTCTGAGGTTAAAGGCGAAATTATGAGAAGGCATGAAGACAGACACACAAACAGACAGACAGATGAGTGACTGACAAAAAAAAATGCAGTGAGAAAAAATGTTTGAGAAACTATTTTATAGTTTGTGATGAAAAGCTGTTATCGCAACAAGATCAAGGTCATGATGTGAGTTTAGTTTAGGACCTTTTCTACAACCTTCATCTGCCCCATTTTCCATTTCAGATTTCTGTTGTGTTGTGTTTGAATTGGCTTGAAGGCACAGTGTCTGACAAGAAGATGAGCTCTAACATGTTCAGATCTGCAGGACCAAATTCTTTGCCACCTGACAGTGGGGGCAGACAGTAGTGGGCTGATTTAAAGTATGAATTTGAGTAATTATATAGCCTTGAGACCACTACACTGAAAAAGGAGACTTTTCTCTAGTTCCCCTGAAGGACGTCTATACTTTTTAAAAATGACTAATGTCTACTGGGGTTTTTTTGCCTCATACTAGCACAAATCAGATAAGCACAAACTCTCAGGGCTGTTGCGGTTCAAATACGAAAACACTGTTTTATCTCAGTGCATGGTGAGATGTATAACTTGAATCTTCATGAGCAGAAAGGCAAAGCTGCAATAATAATAAATAACTGATAATCTTTTTATTTGTTTGTTGTATTAGGGTGAGCGTGGTCCCGCTGGCCCACCTGGCCTCCAGGGCGAAACCGGAATTGGACTTCCTGGGCCAAAGGTTAGCATTGTATCCATGTGCTATCCACTTCATCATCACATATACAACACTTCCCTCATATAGCATATAGTTAGACAGAGATAAATATATCTCAGAAAACTTACCAGGATGACTGTATGTGTGGTCTCTCATATAACTTATTATCTATGATTATTTTGAAGAGAGCTTTTTACACTATTACAGATTTTACTGCAGGCTACACCAGCTTACCAGTGTCTACCACTCTAAAACAGCATCTTACTACAAAACGTGAGCTGTAGTCATAGAGACATCATAATCACATCATTCTGTGCTTTTTTCTACAGGGTGATATAGGATTACAGGGCAGAGCAGGTCCTCCTGGTCCACCTGGAATTGGAGAACCAGGCCCACCTGTGAGTACACAATAATTCCTAATTAGACCCCTTTTTTTCATGTGTTATGTGATTCAAGAGAATCAGGCCAATTTATCAATCAAGGCATTGCTGTGTCAAAAATGTCTACTGAGCACCAATACAGTTAGCATAACAATCTTAATATTGTAATATTTTGGCAGGCTTCTTCACAAAATATAAAGAATCTGCACCATTTTGTACTAACACTAAGTGATGAAGCGATGTTGCCTCATCATATTAAGCTACTTTGGATCTACTGTTCAATTCAAACAAACAAAAAAGGTTTTGTCACAGACTTATTCATTTACTTTGGCTTTCAATAACTGTTCTTTTAATAATACTTCTTTGACACTGCAAAGATGTTCCAGAACAGATGTGCTGATTTATTTTCTAACCTCATATGTAAGTTCCAGATCAATCTTCAAAGCTAGTAGCTAGTGCTCACTTCAGCATCCACCATGTTTTCAAAAATGTCCAGTTGTGAGTAGCTCCACACTTTGCATTGTGGGGCAATACTGTTCAGCAACAACATACATGTGCACAGACTCAAACTATTTAATCATAGTCATTTTCCCCTTTTCTGTATTTTTATTATTTTATACTAATGGTAAAACTTTATTCTCTGTTCATTTTGCTCTTATGTATTTTTGTTTACTCATTAAGGATGGGTTCCCTTTTGAGTCTTGGTTCCTCTCAATGTTCCTTCCTCTTGCTCTTAAGAAGTATTTCCTTGCCACTGTTGCTTGCTCATGGGGGCTTGGACCCAGATTTTTCTGTAAAGCTGCTTTGTGCCAACACCTGTTATAAAAAGCACTATATAAATCAACTTTATTACGACTTGAAGTCTGATACTAAATATGCTTTTTGGATTTTTTGAGTGTAGTAAACTAGGGCACTTGAGTGTATACTGCATAATACACACTCAAAAAATGTGTTCAGTATACAATTGGGACACAGCCTATATCTTTTCATTAATTATAAAATAATATAGACAATTTAAGATCAAGTGATGATAATGCCATTTTATTACATAATCTCTAATCCAAAGCTCAAATATACTCTATGAACAGGGACCTCAAGGTCCACAGGGTGTTCAAGGCGAGAAAGGACCACAGGGAGAGGGATTTCCTGGGCCTAAGGTAAGTGAGAACTTTTTTTAATAACAGCACACAAACAGGTTATCTTCATTCCGCTCTCAACTACCATGAACTATGCTCTTTAGTGGAAAGAGGATTTGTGCTAGCTAGAGGCAATGTAAGGTGATGAAGGCAACAAAACATCTTTAAGAGTGGTAATTATTTCTTAGGAGGATCTGTAATCCCTTGCATATTACCTGTTTGATAACTCAATGCCATCAATTAATGCTTATATACCATGACATTAACTCAGATGTACATGCTAGTACATAAATCATTGAAGAACAGGTAATCTTTTACCCACCTGTTTCTTTGTGCTGCACAGCATCAAGCTATATATTAGCATTATATAAACCCAATTCCAAAGTTGGGACAGTAGGAAAAATGTAAATATAAACAGACAGTAATGATTTGCAAATACAAATACAGATGTGCATGCACCCATGCCATGTGCACTAATGCACCCCTATACCATCATGAATACTGGCTTTTGAACTGTGCACTGATAACAAGCTGAATGGTCTTTAGCCCAGAGGACACAGCATCCATGATTGGCAAAAAAAAATTAAAATTTTGATTTGTGGGACCACAGGACACTTTTCCACGTCGTCTCAGTTAATCTTAAATGAGCTTGGGCCCAGAGAAGGCGGTGGTGTTTCTGGGTCCTGTTTATGTACGATTTTTCTTTGTGTTTTAACTTGCATTTGTGGATGCAGCGACAAACTGTTTTCACAGACAGTGGTTTTCAGAAGTGTTCCTGAGCCCATGCAGTGATTTCCACTACAGAATCATGTCTGTTTTTAATGCAGTGCTACCTGAGGGCCCAAAGATCACGGCCAGCAAATACTGTTTTTTGGCCCTGTCCCTTGCATACAGAGATTTTTCTAGACTCTCTGAATCTTTTAATGATATTATGTCTTGTAGCTGATGAAAAGCAAAAGTTCTTTGCTATTTTATGTTGAGAAACATTTTTCTTGAGTTGTTGCACTATTTGTGCTGTTCCATACAGAAACCCACAGGATGAATTAGTAGTATGTGTTTGTTCCTTTATCTCATTCAGAGAGCTCAGAAATGAGTATTACCTAGAACATAAACAGTACAGTACAACTAGGTGAGACAAAAATGGGAATAAAAATCCATGATGTCATTAAAGCCCCAGCTATTTTTCAACAACAGTGATAATTGTAATGATTTTGTAATACTACAATGCTGGCTTGTGCACTTACAGGCCTCTAAAAATCTGCCAGAAGGCAGGATCTATTATGGATATTTAGTGGAATCCTCTATCCACCTCCAGTCAGAAAAAGACATCAAGGGAGTAGCAAAGGAATGGCCAAGCCCTAGCTACTAATATCCTCCTATCTGTGGCTTTTATTCAAAGATATCAAACCATTTGTCAGTGAATTAAATTGGAAAAAAAAAAATGCAAGGACCATTTTTGTCCACTGTACATTCCAGAGGAAGAAACTTACCCTGTAATAACAGCAGCCTTTCAGCAGTAAAAACCAAGAACAATGCCGCTGATGCTGTGAATCAGGCCCAGTGTTATGAAGAGGGAGGGCAGGGGGCATTTCAGGATGACAGGGCTAAAGACATCTCTTTTGTTGTACAGGGTGACCGGGGTCCAGAGGGACCGAGGGGTCCTAGGGGACAGACAGGCGCTGGAATCAAAGGAGAAAAGGTGGGCTATAAATATGTCAGCTAATGAAAGGCACTCACACAAACACATCATGCCTGCCACACAAAAGGCCTAATGAAGTACATAAAAGACAAGTGAATGTGCCTTTGAGGCTTCTGTAGCTTGCAGAAGCTGTGCTGAGAGGTGGGGGAGTGAGAGAAATGGCAGATGGGATGGCAGAAGATCTCAAAATGCTGTGGGAAAAGTTTAGGCTTAACAGATACACGGTTATCTCCAAGTTACCTGCATATACCACTATGCAAATTCATAATTCATCCCTAATGAAACCTAAATAAACCAATTAGGAAAGCTAGCACCATCACAGGACTGATTTTGGAGTCAGTGGAGGCAATGACAGAGAAGAGGATGGAATATAACTTGGTGAACATTTTGAACAATTCTGCCCATCTCCTCCATGGTGTGACATTCAACAGCATATTTAGCCACTGGCTCATACCACCAAAGTGCTCTAGGAGGTGCTGTTTGGAATTTTTCTGCTGCTGACCTCCACAACGCTTCTTCCATCCAGCATCTTATACCCATTCTCACACAACAAACAATAGGAGAGAAATTTCCTCACAAACACTAGCCCATAACCCATTGACCACACAATGTTTTTTGCACACATTTTGATGTTACACCCAAATTTTCACCTAAAGACCAACAAAGCTTGTTTATCCATCCAACCAACCCACATCTAACAGTTCTTCCAAAATTTAATACTAAGGAAATAAAATTGTCACTAACGGCATAACTGAAGTACAGTCAACTGAAAACTGTTACTGTTTATGTATTCCTCAACTGAATGTGACCCATTCTGACTGTCTTGGGGTGTTTAGGGTGAGCTTGGGCCTCCAGGCCTCCCAGGTCCACTTGGGCTCACTGGAGTTGGCATCCAAGGAGAGAAGGTAACATGATGACCCTTTAAACCTTAATTCATCCCTGTCGAAAGAAAAAAAAACTTATATCTCTAATAGAGACGAGAGAAAATTCTCAACATTAATCTACCAGTGTTTCTTTTTGGTCAAAGGCAGGGCTGTTTCCAAATAGAGTTAAAAAAAAAAAAAGAAGACACAGAAGTAGAAGAAATATGAAAAAATAAGAAACCACAATATAGAAAACTAAGCTGGACATTTTAAACACATATTTGCATTCATTTGTGAACAGGGTGTGGAGGGTCCAAGGGGGCCTCCAGGGATCAGAGGACCACCAGGAGAAGGCCTTCCTGGACCAAAGGTTGGTGCCAGTAAATCTACATATTTTAAGGAAAACATGTAAACCACTGTTAAGTCAATGAACTGCAGAATGTTGCCAAAAGTGACTACCATCTATGCTTTTTACTTTCATTTTCATTGCATTTTCATTTTTGTCTTTTCTTATTGGAAATCTCTATGTTTTAGGGTGACCAAGGATTACCAGGAGAGATTGGTAGCCCAGGAGAGAGAGGGATTGGCGAGCCTGGACCAAAGGTATTGCATCTTTATACATTTTTTCAATCCATATCATGAAAATTAAAATTGGGTTTAAAATAATAATAACAAAAATTCAGGTAAACAATGAGGATGTTTAGCTGATTCTTACTGAAGGCTTTATTAAATGTAAACAGCACAGTATGTACTTGTAATGCTCTCTTAAGGGCGAGCCTGGCGCTGCAGGTTTGGCAGGTTTACCTGGGCTTCCTGGAGAGGATGGTGCTCCGGGTCAAAAGGTACCACAGACACCTTTAAACACATTTTATATGTTATAACACTATGAAATACAGCCTAAGCATCATTAAGGAATGCATGCTCTTCATCCATCTTCCTCTTTAATCAGGGTGAGCCCGGTGCACCTGGTGTGAGGGGGGCTGAAGGAACACCAGGAATTGGCACACAAGGAGAAAAGGTATCACAAGGCAGTCTGTTTACTTTTCACAAACATCATCCATGCCCTTTACAGTGTTGACAGGTGATGAAAGAAGTATTGTGCGTGTGCCTTTAGGTGGCACCAATGTCACACAAGCCTACATAACCAAATGCAAATACTTTGACTATGCAGCAAAAAATAAATAAAAGTATTTTGTATTTACATAGCCCTGTGTTTTGGTTTTTTAATACGGTTTCTGAACAATATTTACTCTTTTTCTAACAGGGAGACCAAGGCCAGCGGGGTGTCAGAGGATTACCAGGCCCACCTGGCATTTCTGGCCCTTCAGGAGCCAAGGTGAGATCCCATAAAAACACAAAACACATTTTTAATCTTCTTCCTTCAGGTAGCATGACGAACAATACTATATAGTCTCTAAAGCTGCAATAGAAATTAAGTTACTACAGTCCTGTATAATGCTTGGCAGAGAGAGCATGTGTTTTTTAGTGTTGCAGAAGGGTGTGTTGTATTTAAACTTGCACTGTTGTTTTCATAGGGAGAGCCTGGAACACCAGGGCGATTAGGCATGCCAGGACTTCCTGGGCGTGCTATCGCAGGACCGAAGGTAACAAATGTGAAACGCTACAACCATGTCTCATACCACAGGCTTCGGCAAGCCATCATAGCACAGGCACATAGCACTGTCAGTACAGAGAAAGAATGCTCCAGAGTTCAGCACAATGCACGATAGTTGATCCCAGCCAGATCTGCAGCCATTAAAGGAATGATGGTATGACTTCATCTCTCTGTGCCTTCAGGGTGATGTAGGCCCTGCTGGTCCTCCTGGGCCCATTGGAGAAACTGGCTATGGCCTGCCAGGTCCAAAGGTATGCATTATAACATACATACTAACAAAAAATGAGTAATGGAATAAAGAAGCATAAAGCAGTGTTTGAAGTACACTATTTAAAGGAATACTCCTGCATTTTTTCAACCTAACATCTAGATGTCACATCTTTAGCATATGGTTGATCACCACAGATGATAATTTCCTTAAAATAAAACAGAAACTCCTTTGACTCAGCACTTAGAATACAAGCCAGTTGGCAGGTGCTTCATGTTTTGTGTCAAGGGGGTTTCTGTTCTTTTATAAGGTACAAGGAAACGCATTAAAATTATTGGCCATGACAATTGTATGTTACATATGCAGTATATAGACATCTGATTGAAAAACCTTGTAGTATTTCACTTTGGAAGCATCAGAATGTATTCTGTGGGAGTATTCATGTTTTTTCTAACTTGGCCTAGGGTGACCGTGGCAATCCAGGCCCTCCTGGGCCATTTGGGCCGAAAGGTGAAGGATTTCCTGGACCAGCGGTGGGTGAATTTATACAAGGACACAATGCACCACCAATTACACTATTTGCTCACCCAATACATATATTATACTTACATAACACAAGAAATGTTTTGTTTCATTATGTGCAGGGTCTTCCAGGTCTTCCAGGTCTTCCAGGAGAGCCTGGTCCTGAGGGTGTTGGCTTCCCTGGACCAAAGGTATAGCTACAGATAGCATGTAACAAAACTCTCACTTAAGATGATGCATATAGGTATATTGTATTCATTTGGGTACTGCCCTTTTTGTCATTCTAAAAATGTGCATAATGTACTTGTTACAGGGTGACATTGGCTTCCGAGGTTTGCCAGGTTTGCCAGGCCCACCAGGAGAAGGAGTGCAGGGTCCACCAGTAAGCCCCAAGTCACTTTTTGCACACACCAACAATATTGAGGTTCTTATGCAAACTGTAAGAACCGTGGGAATTCTCCAGTGTTTTTAACCTAATCTCTATCTATGTGCAACATGCAGTTTTTTGCCATGGACAATAATGTCCCTGTAGGAAAGAACAAAAAACAGTTTACTCAAAGCATGTTTATAAAATATTTTCTCTTCTTTTCTAGATACAGGGAAATTAGCTGAAATTATTGTCCATGGTAATTAACCACATGCTAAGGATGCAGCAGCTAGAGATTATGTTGAAATACTGGAGTATCTCTTTAAGGCATGACTCAAATTCAAAATTCATGCATGTACTGCATGTACAAACCAGGTTAGTTCAATAAGCATACACCAGCTATCAGTATTAATCTTCTTTAGAACAGTTTTGTTTCAGTCAGCATCTTGATATTATCTGCAAAGAGGACCACTGTGCATGGCTTCATTCAGATCACAGCTGATGCTTGATTTAATAGTCATTAAATGCTGATGACATCCTTTACGCTACTCCCAGGTCATCAGTAGTAATGAGACTTTGATGCCCAATACACTCCTCACCCCAAAAGTCCAGACCATGAGGAGTTCCAGCTGTGAAGAGAATGTGTGGACAATGCCTCTTAGTTGCTATGGCAGTTGAGGAAGACAAGATGCTTTTCTTTTATTAATCCTGTTCTCCTGCTGTTAAAGGGCAACATGGGAAGACCAGGACTGCCAGGACCAGCCGGGCCCCCAGGAGAGGGTATTCAAGGCCCCAAAGTAAGTAAATCACTTACAGTCATGTAGCATAATCAGACTTGAATTTGGAAATATTACCTCATCCATCAGGAATTAAAGGAATACAACGGCATTTTTCAACCTAGTCTCTATTTGCCGCACATGTAGCATATGGTTGATTACCATAGACAGTAATTACAGTAATTTCCCTGTAGCCCTGCTGAAACACCTGTACATTGGTTTCAATTACAATGGGTTTTCTGATGTTGTGTAGGAAATTATGATCATGCTAATCAACCATATGCAAAAGAGATTTAAAGAGATTAGTTGAAATACGCTGAAGTATACCTTTAATGCGAAATAGGAATTGAAAATGTTGATGTGTCATGTGAATGCTTTAGGGTGACCAAGGACCTTCAGGTGTCACTGGACCAAGGGGACCTCCAGGGGAAGGACTCTCAGGGCCTAAGGTGAGGTGTCTATTTCTGCTAATGACTGCCATTTTGTATTTGCACACTAGTCATTATGCTAATGCAATCACACAAAGGGTGCAAATATGATTCTTGTGCTTGGCTGTTGCAAGACTTTTCTCTCTATCTCTTATAGGGTGCTAGAGGTCTACCGGGTGAGAGAGGAGTGAGGGGAGTTAAGGGTGACATGGGTGACCCTGGAGATCCTGGACTACCTGTGAGTGAAATTAAATACTGGGTGTTAACTTATACTAGCCCAGGAGTTAGAGGTTTTGTGAGCTACTAACTGCTGTTCATTATTTCATACAAGTTTCTATTTCTATATCTTTCATAGGGAACACCTGGAGTAAAAGGGGAAATGGGTCTCACGGTAAGTTCCTGAATTCACATAGCAATATAATAGCTATAATCTATGATACAATGAGCAGTTATACATGTAACTGTTGTTTTCCCAGAGAGAAGACATTATTAAACTGATCAAGGAGATTTGTGGTAAGCTTAAAGCATTAAAAATATCAAAGATGAATAAGGATCCCTAATGACATTATGTCAGTGCTGATATGTATGTATTTTTGTGTACTTTTTTAGGATGCGGCATTAAGTGTAAGGAGAGGCCTATGGAGCTGGTGTTCGTGATTGACAGTTCAGAGAGCGTTGGGCCTGAAAACTTTGAGATCATAAAGGACTTCGTCACAGCACTGGTGGACCGTGTCACTGTAGGCCGAAACACCACACGGATCGGCCTCGTTCTCTACAGCCTGGACGTGCACCTGGAGTTCAACCTGGCACGCTACATGACCAAGCAAGACGTCAAGCAGGCAATCAGGAAGATGCCCTACATGGGAGAGGGGACCTACACTGGCACTGCCATTCGCAAAGCCACACAGGAGGCTTTTTATAGCGCTCGCAGTGGTGTAAGAAAAGTGGCCATTGTTATCACCGATGGGCAGGCAGATAAGAGAGAGCCTGTGAAGCTGGACATGGCAGTACGGGAGGCCCAGGCTGCTAATATTGAGATGTATGCTATTGGAATCGTTAACACATCAGACCTTACTCAGGCAGAGTTTCTTAGGGAACTTAACCTCATTGCTTCTGATCCAGACAGTGAACACATGTACCTAATTGATGACTTCAATACCTTGCCAGGTGAGTGACGGGTCTTTAATAAATCTGTGGTTTCATGTTTTTATTATATGAACTGTATGGTGAAATGATAAAGTAAATTCAGAAATGTTCACCAAACAAACAGCCGCTGATCATTTTTGGTAAAACCCACCAAACAATTACTGTTGCAGTCAGACTGACCACAGTGGTAATTACCTAAAGAGAATATGTGGGCTACTACAACAGCTACAACTAAAGTTTATCATCATACTATGTCTTGTCTTGCAGCTTTGGAGTCTAAACTTGTCAGTCAGTTTTGTGAGGATGAGAATGGAGCGCTCATCTACAACCGCATCACTAATGGCGTCAACGGACAAAACGGATTCAGATATAACGGCTATGATAATCATGCGGACGTCTTATATGGAAACAATGGTTATGGGAATCCACATCAGGAACATCTGGACAGGACACGACTTGACACTCAGAGCCATGTCAGAAGCAGAGGCGACACTTTCACTTTACCAATCAACCCTGCTCCTCTCAGCACCCAGGTCTGTTTCTTAGCCTGATTTACTAAATTAAATTAAATGATAAATAATTGTAAATTCTCCTAAAACAATTTGAAAGGTGTTTAAATAAAACCAAACAATGAATGAGCAGGCATGCATTACTGATTAATGATAAATTAAAATATGTTAAATTGATACTGAAAGATCTGATCAGTTTTTAGATCAAAGGAATGTCTATCTCAATGCAATTTTTGGTGCCCAGGTCAAGGTGGAGGAAGACGCCTATGAAGGAGAAGATTTAGATGTAAGGACTCATCTACGAGGTGGCAGCAGAGTAACTGTCGTAAATAAAACTGTCCCACCTGTGCAGCCTGTGGGTGAAGCTAGCAGAACATCTCACTCCAGCGTCTCAACATCATTGCTGCCAGCTTCATCATCATCATCATCTTCATCTGTATCATCTTCCTCATCACAAACGGTCACATCTACTTCAGTGCATGTGAATCCACAGCCCCGTCCTGTTGTACTCAAAGGTAAGCACAGAAATATCGAATGAAACCATACTTAACCACATATATGTGAATGTGAAAGAAACTGATAGTTAAAAACATTGAAAACAGTAATTTCAGAGTGCAAGATAAGCAAAATAGTGATAGTGAAATGGGAGGATGAAAGAATAGACAACCAAACAAAGAACAAGAAAAGCTGCATGGATACAAGTTGCCAAAAAGCCTATATATCAAATTTGGTCACTTTGTTCTGAATGGACACCTGTGAAGACCAAAAAATGGATGAAACAAGTTTTCAGTTTAAGGTGTATCCAAAATTACAGTCCTTATTAGATTATTTACTAAATAAGAACACTTATTCCAAATGAATTACTACCATTAATTTACTATTAACTGATCCTCTCTGTGTATCTGCAGCTCCGCTGGATCCTCGCTGCTTACTGAGCCTGAACCAGGGGCCCTGCAGAGAGTACATCATCCGCTGGTACTATGACAAACAGGCAAACGCTTGCGCACAGTTCTGGTACGGAGGATGTGATGGCAACGAGAACCGCTTTGAGACAGAAGCTGAGTGCAAGAAAACATGTGTTCTTACCACTACAGGTATATTACACAACACTGCTGCATAATCAAAACTGAGCTCATATGGTGAACTCATGAATTCAGCATTGTGTCTTGTAGGGACGAAGTTATTTGAACACTGAAATCTTCAGCTAACTTTTTGCAAATACCCTTTGTGTAATCCTTTTTTATACCTTTATTTAATGAAATGACATGTGCCATCATCATATCCAACATGGGACATTGCTGTTCTCAAATTATACAAATTATTGTTAATAAATACCTAGTCCAGTCCTTGCATCCAGAATTCTATCTAGCACATGCTCCTTGTAAATCCTATATTATCCCTTTATTGTATGCCTTTTACAATTTGTATTTTCTCTCTTCTTCACAGTGGGTTAACCTGGACAACAAAATGAAACTCTCAGGAAATGGATCAAAGTGATGTTCTATTATTCCATTGTTCATCATTAATCCCACTGACGCCACACAAATTTTAGGAGCCTAGGTTATTCTTACACATCCATGCAGACTTGTAATAGCTCTTTTCTCATTCATCATCTCATATTTAGTACTGAGGCAGACATCAAACATTTCCTTTTTCAGAACATTTACAGTGAAAACAATGAAACAATGAAAATGAAAGAAAATAAGAGTCTCAAAAGGGTAGACCAAAATAATGATCTGCTGTTTGCTTTTATGAAGTAGCTCTACCTGCTCACCCTGTTCTCTATAGTTATAGTTACATACCTCATCATACACATTTTCTTTTTCTTTCTTTTTTAATTTTTTTTGGTACCCAGTAGGGATTTTCTGCACTGTATTTTATTATAATGTTCCTGTAAGTCACAGACCTGCATTTCTATGTTCAGTATTTACCTAATATAAAATTTAAGATATATATTCAAATCCAACACACAGTATAGTTGAAATCTCACACATTGTAACTTTTCATATTGAGAGAATATGAACAACTTTTAATGTAATTAGTCATTGTCATCAACAAATGTGATCTAATGTGCCCTAATTGCCGTTTTCTAATATCCAAAAGTCTCAGCTTTCATATTCTTTATTTTATTCTTTTTTACAGTAAAATCACTAAGTTGTGTGAAAATGATGAGAAGTAAAAATATACTTCTGTTGTGTTTGAATTGTTTGAATGCCTTCAACTGAACAGTTTATAATTATTGAAAACAAAAAAATGATTGATTTATGAAACAGATGTGTTGCGTACAATATGTATGATTGATGGTTTTGTACTTTTTTAAATAAAAGAATTGTTTGGATAATAATAGTGCTTCATATTGCCTTTTTGAAACTTGGAGCATTGGTGTTCAATTTGAAATATATCATACAAAACAAAATCTGCAAGCAAAACACACAGACCCACACAGCATGCGGTTTACTTGTAAAAGTACTCAGTCAGAAACTATGCAAATATTCTGCATTACATAATTTGTGTCAAGCTAAACCAGGTTTAAATGAAAACATTTCTTGGAGGCAATTGCTTCTGGTTCTATTGATCTTATTACTTAATCAACTTATTACTTATTATTACTTATCAGTGTTCAATCATTTTATTGATCCTATTTATCTTATTACTGAGTTCTTGAGAGCTTCACACTGTAATATCAACCCATCAGAAAAACACAGAATACACAGAATTACTGACTATTGGACAGCTCCAGGAACCAACAGAAACATGTAACGGTTTCAAAAACAGCTAAAGCTAGAAAGAGTTACAAAACACGACAAAAGCATGATTTAACGAAGAAACAGTATTACTAGCCTGAAGAACCTTAACACCACTGTAAAACTGAAGAGGACGCCAAGACTTCTCCCTCCAGCCTTTACTGAAAAACTACAGAAAAATCAACTGCTGCGTCCAAAACAGCATGTTAGCACACTAAATAGTACGTCAAAACTAGTACACCACCTATAGAAGTCCAGGCATTAGTTTAGTATGGGCAGTATAGTAGTGTGCGTTTTTTGGACGCAGCCGAATGTGAAAAGTCTGAATTGTCGTTTCCTGCTTGCCGTAGTTGTTGTTACCGAGGTGACGAAAAGACGCCAGTCGACAAATCCTCTTATCCGGCTAACGTTAGCAAAGGGAATTATAGAGCGTGATTATTGAGAAATCGTTGTTAAACTCAATCTAGTTCAAAATCGACTTAAAAACATATTGAACCCCGACTATGGCGGGTGTATTAGATGCACTTTGGGAGGACAGAGATGTTCGATTCGACATCACGCCACAGTAAGTTCACTAACGGGCGCTGCTGGTTAGCCGATGAGCTAGCGCTGCTTCCACTGAGTCACATCAGAACCGATATAAAACTCAACACATGGATGCATTATAGCTGTTGTACATGCGGCTGTTAAACAGAGATGTGCTAGTGTTCCAGCTGTGAGTTACTCGGCCTATTTACACTGGCTGTATTCTGCTGATAGCACCGTAGGCACGAAGCTGAAGTCTGCTTCTTATTCTTCTTCGAATTCTCCCATTCCACCTTAAATGGTGCCAGAATGTAACTGCTGCACCTTTTAAACTGTGAGAATTTCAGTAAATGTTTGTAGACATTTTCTTATTCTCTGCTGAGATGCAGTCTGTTGAATACGTTTTCTTTTGCCATGGCACAATTAGCTAGTGATCTTTACAAAGGGCAAAGATTACAGAGCCCTGCTGGTGACATCCTTAAATAAATAAAAATAATGCATGGAACGAGGTAATCAAGTTGTGGCCACGAATTAGTAAGGCGTGGGAACGAGGTAATTAAGTCGTGGCCACAACTTAATAAGGTGTGGGAACGAGATCGTGCTTTATTAAGCTGTCAAGCCTTAATCATCTCATTTCCACACCTTACTAAGTCGTGGCCACAACTTAGATATCTTGTTCCCACGCCTTACTAAGTCATGCATTAGGATCTCATTCCCATGTGTTAATACGGCGTGGCCATGCATTCTTTTAATTTATAGATACTGAAGATACTGAACTGAGAAAGAAAATTCAGAACTTTTATGGAATTTACAAGTCATCTAGCTCAGTGTTTCTCAACCCTGGTTCTGCAGGCCCACTGCCCTGCACACTGTAGTGCTTTGCCTTATCTAATACAGCTACTTTAACTCAGTAATGGACTGTTAATTTGCTAATTAGTTGGATCAGGTGTGTTGGGAGCAGGGAAAACACTAAAAAGTGCTGGGCAGTGGGCCTTTCATAACCCCACAGGACTAGGGTTATGAAACACTGAGCTAGCTGACTTTTGATGGCTTTTAAATGCAAGATAGCATGATTAAGTAACTGTAAAAATTGATCTTATTTTTCCATTTTTCTTGTTTGAAGACAGATGAAAACCAGACCGGGTGAAGTCCTCATCGACTGTCTAGATTCTATCGAAGACACAAAAGGAAACAACGGCGACAGAGGTGCTTATTATGTTACTTATCTATCTTCAAACATTCAAAGTTCGTTCTTTGTACTTACCTGTTTTTATTTACTTTTTTAAACTTTACAGTATCTGTTGTAACACATAGTGTAACCAGCCTGTTTTGCAAGCTAACACATTTCATATTAATAAAGCAAATAAACCCCACTTATGTAAGTATAATAAATATTATAAAAGCAAACACAATTATATAATAAGAGCAAACCATTTGTTAATATGAGGGGATGTTTGATTGTTTCTTCCTCACATTTAATTTAATGTAAAGGAAGACTCCTGGTGACCAATTTAAGAATCATCTGGCATTCCATCGCCCTGCCGAGGGTTAACCTGTGTAAGTATTATTCTTTGTATTTAACATGTCGTCTTGTGATCTTTTGTATGCGTGATCTTAAGTATTTAAGTTCTGATGTTAGCAGTAGCTCATAAAAATATAGCTAAACATGAACAGTCACTAAATAATGTACACCTGGTTTAATTTGTAAACACAGTAGTTTTCAGAGAAGCTACTAAATGTATACCTGTATGTTTTTTTTTTAAACCAATTTACAGCTGTTGGATACAATTCTGTCATAAACATCACCACAAGGACAGCAAATTCTGTAAGAAATATTTACATTACTTAGCAATTGCTTGATTTATACTATTACGTACTGCGTTTGATATGAAGTTTGTAACTCTTGCAGAAACTGAGGGGGCAGACTGAAGCTCTCTACATCTTGACCAAATCTAATAACACAAGATTTGAGTTCATATTCACCAATGTAGTTCCCGGCAGTCCAAGACTCTTCACATCTGTCATTGCTGTCCACAGGTATTGTAGCCACACATTCCTACAGAGAATTACCTTGATGGGCATCTGAATCATTCACTGCACTGTGCATGTTTAAAACAAATTACTCCCATTTTATTCATTCATTACACCTTGATAAATCATCTATAAATTGTCTGTAAATGATCTCTGTCTCAGTTTTTCTCTGAACTAGAACCGATTGCTTCCCCCTGCAGAGCTTATGAAACCTCTAAAATGTACCGTGATCTCAAATTAAGAGGGGCTCTGATTCAGAATAAGCAGCTGAGACTCCTGCCACGTGAACAAGTTTATGACAAAATAAATGGAGTTTGGAATTTATCCAGTGATCAGGTAGTATAATATTTAATATTAATATTGAAAAAATAAGCTTTAACAAATGATTTTGTTCATTTTGTCTAGATATTGTATTATATCACATTTTATAACCCAGTGCATTCTAAACCAACATTACCGTGTTTCAGGGTAACCTTGGCACGTTCTTCATAACTAATGTGAGGATAGTTTGGCATGCCAACATGAATGAAAGCTTCAATGTCAGCATTCCCTACTTGCAAATTGTAAGTGTATAATGTTGCCATAGTCATTAAGTAATTGCAGTTGTTAAAATCATTTGGTTAGAATGAATCTGATTCTTTTTCCTCTGTCCTTCTTTCATCAAGCGTTCCATAAGGATCAGAGATTCAAAGTTTGGACTTGCACTTGTGATTGAGAGTTCTCAACAGGTGGGTCTGAATACAAACACGGAAATCAAAGCTGCACAGTGGTAGTGTGCAGGCATTTGAAGAGCTGTTTTTTATTTGTAAAACGAGAAAAAAGAAAATTGTGTTGTGCTTTAAATAAAGTATACAAAAAGATGAAGGAAAAGTGCTGATGTTATCTGTAGATGTGGGCAATATAATGATATTTTATAATTATCATGATAAACAATGCTTTTCTGAGCATACTGTGGATATCGTACCTAAAGAACACTGAACAACTGCATGGTTCATTGCAAAGAGAGCATAATTAATCCTCTTTGATTGGATTTACTGGAGCACATTTGAAATTTTAAATCATCATACAATGACGATGTCTTTAAGTTTTGTAATATGTATCCCACCGTAATATATAGCCCACCCCTATCAATATGATTTGTGTATTTGTTTTCACTCTGCATAACTTCTCTTTCAGACAGGAGGATATGTACTAGGTTTCAAGATTGATCCAATGGACAAGTTGCAGGATGCAGTGAAAGAAATAAACTCTCTTCACAAAGTGTACTCTGCAAACCCCATTTTCGGTGTGGAGTATGAGATGGAAGAAAAGGTAAAAGGAAAGATTTGTGAACAAAACTTATAGCTGTATGAAGTTTTTTGTCAGTTAATTAATTACATGAAACACTACAGAGGTTTCAATAGCATTTTGTTTAGGATGACTCAGCTGTAAGCCTCTCATGTTTACCCAGCCTCAGCCATTGGAGGAGCTAACGGTGGAGCAGCCTCCTGATGACGTGGAGATTGAGCCAGATGAACAGACTGATGCTTTCACAGTGAGCACACACTACGCTCAGTAATGAATGATACACTCAGCAGGGAGCTTTCTGGGTCTCTCTCATGTGCTGAAAATAGCAACATGCTCAAGTTTGTCCCATCAACACTGACTTCTGTTGCCTGGTTTCAAACATGTTTACACACAAAAGCATTTTTACGTTATTTATTGGTTAAGACTAGCAACAATATTATTTATTATATTTTTATTCTAATTTGTGCTTTTTTTTCTCTTTATAGGCTTATTTTGCTGATGGCAACAAGGTACATTGACAGCATTACAGCATTACATTACATCAAAAAAGTGTCACGATTTGTTCTTAAACTGAAATTTGAAATAATCTATAAAATGTCTTGATAAATACACCACTGTTATTTCATTTTCCCCTAAAGCATCAAGACCGGGAGCCAGTGTTCTCTGAGGAGCTTGGTTTAGCGGTGGAGAAATTAAAAGACGGCTTCACATTGCAAGGACTTTGGGAAGTCATGGGCTGAAAACATCAGATTACACTGAGCTACAGTTTTTAATTGTAACAGTGAGGACCAAAGTAGCCTACTCACCATTAGAGTATTTTAAAGGCAAATGGATTATTTTAAAATTTAACTTTTGAGATAATATTGTTTACAAGTTTACAGCCAAAATCAAGGCTATATAAACATATTTATTTTCAGATTATTTACTTTAGACATGCGCACACACACACACACACACACACACACACACATATATATATATATATATATATATATATATATATATATATATATATATATATATATATATATATACAAGATTTGTTACATACAAGATGAAATTACCTGCCCTTATGTTCATAAACTGGATACATGTAGAGTCAGTCTTGCTACTAAATGCATTATGTGAATTATGTATGGCAAGAAAAGGATGTGCTATTTTTGATATTAGTGTCAAATAAAACATACCAAAAAAGTAAAGTGGAGTTTCAGATGTCATCTTGTTTAAAGTTCGCTGAAGTGCGCCACATTTATTTGCTCAGAGTCTAAGGCTGTCTGTCATGTCTGTCAAACAATGGACATCATGAGGCTATTTTGAAATCTGTCAGCAGAGCTGAAGAATTTTACAAATGGCCCAGGAGCACAGATTAACTGTTGTAACAGCTGCTCTTTGCTGACCTGTAAGCTAGGGACGCTCAGCTCATAAAACAAGCACTTGACATTTGAATATAAAACTGCACACGGATGACAAATGCACGAATGAGTCAACATTAGGAAAAAGTGAAAGAGCGACTTTACCTGCTTTAAAGCCATGACATGTAAAGCCACACAAAACAGGTAATGGTACTCTTTCACTACACTGTCCGCATATGGCTAATATCATGGAAAACTAAACTTACATTTACATAATAAGTAAACATTTTTAAAGTTTCATAATGTTCTGTTCACTATTCTATACATTCAGTCCATATATGGAAGATGAGCTACAAAAGGAGCCTGTTTTGAATTCACTGTTTTGTGATGTTGGCAGTGCAGTCTCTCCCATTCACATCAAAGTTATAAGGAGTGTTTGAGCTTGGACTTCTTTTTGAATGAAGCACAATACAGGAAAGCCAATCAGAACAGAAGTATTTTAAATGAATCAGTCTTAAAGGTCCATCGCAGGGCAGACAGACATACACAGTCACACACACACTCACACCTATGGGCAATTTAGCATGTCCAATCAGCCTGACTGAATGTTTTTGGACTGTGGGAGGAAACCGGAGTACCCGGAGGAAACCCACGCAGACACGTGGAGAACATGCAAACTCCACACAGAAATGACCCTGGTCGCCCGGCTGGGAATCGAACCCAGGCCATTCTTGCTGTGAGGCGACAGCGCTACCCACTGCGCCACTGTGCCCTGCGAGGGACTGGCGACCTGTCCAGGGTGTATCCTGCCTTCCGCCCAATGACAGCTGGGATAGGCTCCAGCACCCCACCGCAACCCAGAAGGATAAGCGGTTTAGATGATGTATGTATGTATGATGTAGTCTTAAAGGTGTAGAGGTTGGAAATAAAAGTTTGAAAATGGTCAAGTAAAAAATTATTTTGGCTGTTTTTGGTACAAACTTTGTTAGTGAACTACTAGAACAAATAAAATACTACAAAAATGTACACTCTTAAAAAAAAAGGGTTCTTTAGTAAAAAAAGTTGTTCCATATAGAACCATGAACTCTCAAAGATACCCTTTGCATGGTTAAATTGTGGTGATATATGGACAATGTGCTGTAGATGGTTCTATATAGAACCTTTTTGAAAAGGGTTCGATATAGCACCAAAAAGGGTTCTTCTATTGCTAAAAGCTCGTATCATAAAAACCTTTTCAAAAAGGTTCTATATAGAACCATCTACAGCACATTCTCCATATTTATTAAGAACTCTTTTACAATGCAATTTACAAAGGGTTCTTTGAGTGTCCATGGTTCTATATAAAACCATTTTGTTCACTAAAGTACCCTTAGAAGAACGATCTTCACTGTAGAATACAACATCTTTTAGAGCTTTATTATTCACAAACTTGTCTGACAGTCTTTAACAGCTAAAACATGAAGATACTCAAAAATCCATTTAACTACATGTACAAAATATACCTGAAATCATTGTAGGAACGTGACCAGCTCAGTCATGAATGACCTTGTGTCTAAAGTCAGCAGTTGTTTCTTTCAATCTTTGACAGCTGCTTAATGTGACTCTGTTTTCTAATCTGGCCAAACTGAATTCTTTCTGTGTGTCAGGGGTCCTAAATATAGAGAGGGGCAGGCTTTAAACTACATTGGCTTCTGTCTTTGCTCTATGTCATCTCAGACTGTTATAACGAAGAGAGCGAGACAAGGAGAAGCGCTTCAGTCGCAACATCCTTCCTGATACATATCTTCCAAGATGGAACCCACGACTATGAAAGAAGACTTGAAGCTCTATCAGAGCACTCTGCTTCAAGATGGTCTGAAGGAACTCCTGAAGGAGAACAAGTTTATTGACTGCATTCTGAAAGTAGGGGACAGGAGACTGCCTTGTCACAAACTCATCATGGCAGCATGTAGCCCTTACTTTAGAGAGCTTTACTTCTCAGAAGACGGCAAAGAGATAAGCAGCTCAAGCGAGGAGGTTGTGCTGGAAAACGTGGACCCAACCATAATGGACATGATTGTGAATTATCTTTATTCTGCAGAAATAGACATCACAGATGATAACGTGCAGGACATTTTTGCAGTAGCTAACCGCTTTCAGATACCATCTGTTTTCACAGTGTGCGTGAACTACCTGCAGAAAAAGCTCTCGCTGGGAAACTGCTTGGCTATCTTCAGACTCGGGCTGGTGCTCAACTGCCCAAGGCTGGCTATAGCAGCAAGAGACTACATAGCTGAGCGATTTGACAAACTGGCCAAGGAGGAGGATTTCCTGGAGTTCAACCCTCCTGAGCTGTTTGCCATCATAGGAGGTGATTCTCTCAATGTTGAGAAAGAGGAAGTGGTGTTTGAACTTCTGATGAAATGGGTCAGAAAGGACAAAGAGAATCGTGTGAAGTTTTTAGGGGAGGCCTTTGAGCATATCCGCTTCAGACTACTTCCAGAAAAATATTTCAAAGAGAAAGTAGAAAAAGACGACATTATCAAAGCAGATCCTGAGCTCGTGAAGAAACTTAAGGTCATCAAAGATGCTTTTGCTGGGAAACTTCCAGAAAATAAAGAAGGAGAGAACATGCCTGGTTATCTGAATGACAACCGAAGACTTGGCATGTATGTCAAAGAGCTTATCCTGATGATTAACGATACAGCAGCCGTGGCTTATGATCCTGAAGAGAATGAATGCTCCTTAGCAGCCATGGCAGAGCAGATACCCCGAAACCATGTCAGCATCTGTACCAAGAAGAATCAACTTTATGTCATAGGTGGACTCTTTGTGGATGAAGAGAATAAAGAAACACCCCTGCAGTGTTATATGTATCAGGTAAATGATCTCACAGTGTCCTGTACATGTGTTCATTTTATGAGTGTTTTTCACATTCAACTGAGTTGATAATAGGTTTCTACACTTAACCCTGTTTATTACAGCTGGACCCTCTTACTCCAGACTGGCTTGCTCTTCCACCACTGCCTTCTCCCAGATGTCTCTTTGCTCTGGGTGAATTTGAAAATCTCCTATTTGCTGTTGCTGGCAAAGATTTACAAAGCAATGAGTCTCTTGACTCTGTACTGTGTTATGACATTGAGTAAGTGTACGACCATCCACCTATCACCTTCATATCAATCAATCAGTTACAGATAGTAATCTCACAATCCTTGTTTTTGTTTGGCAGTAAAATGAAATGGACAGAGACGAAGAAACTTCCCTTGAGGACACATGGTCACAGTGTGATCTCACAAAATGGACTGGTGTACTGTATAGGAGGGAAGACTGATGAAAAGTAAGATCAGTGTCAGAGCAATTTGTATCATCATCTGTACCTTGTATCTCTGCAATACGACATGTTTTTTCTATCTTGCTCAAAAACAGTAAGACTATCAACAAGATGTTTGCATATAACCACAAGAGGGCAGAATGGAAGGAGTTGGCAGCAATGAAAACACCAAGGTCCATGTTTGGTGCAGTTGTTCACAAAGGAAAGATTATTGTGGTTGGAGGAGTAAATGAGGATGGTCTAATAGCATCTTGCGAAGCCTACGACTTTGGAACCAACAAGTGGGTGCCATTATGTAACTGACCGCATCAGTGCTGTTGGAACAAAACCTTGTATTTCCAAAAGAATTACTTTACAGGAGAAGGAAATGTTCCCAAATCTTAATAAGTTAATGTAATGATTTTTTTATTCAGTCATTACAGACTGTTTATATCGGTCCCTTCATCGTTAAGTTTTGACAGCATAAATGGCAGCTGGCATTTTCAAATTGTGTTACAAAAAACAAAACAAAAAAGGAGATAAAAGGTTCTGTTCCAACAGCAACAATATGTTATATATACACTGATACTTGACATTTTGGTAACAGTTTCATTCTGAAATTGCAGATACAGGATCAACCACTAAGCACATAAAATCGGCCAATATCTTTGTTTATGTCAATAAGGTATGCCTTTGTAACCATGTTTTGTAAATAATCAATTTTTCCATTTTGTAGATGGGAAACTTTCCCCGAGTTTGCCCAGGAAAGGAGCTCAGTTAACCTTGTCAGTGCTGGTGGTGCACTTTATGCAGTGGGGGGCTTCACCATGGTAGAGACAGATAATAAAGAGTGTGCTCCTTCAGAAGTCACAGACATTTGGCAGTAAGTAATGAATGAATTCGTACCTGACAATATTGGGTATCACTAGTATGCTTAACTATTTGTTGTCATCAGCTTTAGTGTTTAAAGTGTTTTGACATCATTTTATCTTTGTCATCCAAATCTTTTCAGGTCATTATATTACAAACTACATACTCCTGCAGAATGCTGTCAGAAATCTAACCTTTAAAATATTCTTTTTTATGATAGATATGAAGAGGACAAGAAGCAGTGGGCTGGAATGTTAAGAGAGATGCGATACGCATCTAGCGCCTCTTGTGTTTCCATGCAACTAAATGCTGTAAAAATGCCCAAACTGTAAAAATGGGACTTTGTTCTGTAAGTGATACCATTAAGGTATTACTTATTTTAAGACTCAGTAATTCCAGTACTCTGAAACTATAGGTTAGTAGTTACAGAAATATATTTAAGCATGAAACAGGCAACTCAACTAAAGTCTAATAGTTTTAGAGTTTGAGGAAACTATTTGTACAAGCACAAATGTCATAGATTCAAAAACATTTGCTTTTTACAAAAATAAAAAATATTTTGAGGGCAAAAACCTGCATTCACTTCATTCAGATATGAAAATGTCTGCAACATTTGGTTAAATCATTTATTACAAACATACTTTATAACAAATATTATTATGTATAAAACTCATGAGGAAGGTATCTGTGTGGCACTGCACTGCAGTCTATTTTCTGTGACTCACCTCTGGACATGTATAAGAAAAAGTTGCACTTTATAAATGTCTTTTTCAAGCATTCTGACAATTCAAGTGTCTCAGGCTAGTTCTGTAAATAATTTCCTTCGCAAATATTCCTTCCAAGCATCTTGGGTGGAGAGCTCCATAGAATTCCATTCAAAGTGAGGAATCTGTGTTGGAGAGCAATTCAAAAGTCTATGAATTTCCTTTATTTGTAACAAACACAGCAGAAAAGCAACCATTTTCTTACTACTCACTTGCAAAACGTGATATCCTAAAATCTCCAAGTGTCTCTTCCTCATCAGGATATCCCCTTTCATGTGCTGTGAATTTTTGCAGAAGGATTTTGAATCTAAGAAGTCCAGAGCAATACTAAGGAAGCAAGTTGCAGAGAGAAACAAGTTATTTCTTCACAGCTCCCTATTTGCAAGATGCAAGTCAAACAGGCAAAACACAATTTACAAAATCAGTCTGATGCCTGGCCCACACTAAAGGATTTTAAAAATTCTAACTGATGTTAAAAATGTGCGAGACCCTGCACGTGATATTTTTCACTGATTTTTCTGTCCTTGATCATTGTTAATCATCAAAATCCCCACATCTGCCCTTAATAAAACAGCACACTTTCAGGTTATGCATGCAAACAAGAGTCTTGACCAATGGTTCCAATTTTTAAATCCTCACAAACTAACGTGACTTTAGATCTAAATAAAAATGGCAGATGACTATTGCCACGCTGGTGGTGTGTGCTTTCTGCACCAAAAAAGCCAAGTGAAAAAAGAATTTGGATGAAGCCAAGGTGAAAAAGAAGGGGTCAACACGGCTTACACATAGTGCAACACAAGCTTGAGGTGAATACATACAGGTGCATCTCAATAAATTAGAATATCATCGAAAAGTTAATTTATTTCAGTAATTCAATTCAAAAGTGAACCTCGTATATTATATAGATTCATTACACACAGAGTGATCTATTTCAAGCGTTTATTTCTTTTAATGTTGATGATTATGGCCTACAGCCAATGAAAACCCAAAAGTCAGTATCTCAGAAAATTAGAATATTGTGAAAAAGTTCAATATTGTAGACTCATGGTGTCACACTCTAATCAGCTAATCAACACAAAACACCTGCAAAGATTTCCTAAGCCTTTATATGGTCCCTCAGTCTGGTTCAGTAGGCTACACAATCATCCAAGCATATAAATGGAAAGCTGAGTGGAAGGAAAAAGTGTGGTAGAAAAAGTGCACAAGCAACAGGGATAACCGCAGCCTTGAAAGGATTGTCAAGAAAAGGCGATTCAAGAATTTGGAGGAGATTCACAAGGAGTGGACTGCTGCTGGAGTCAGTGCTTCAAGAGCCACCACACACAAACATATCCAGGACATGGGCTACAACTGGCACATTCCTTGTGTCAAGCTATTCATGACCCAGAGACGACGTCAGAAGCGTCTTACCTGGGCGAAGGAGAAAAAGGACTGGACTGTTGCTCAGTGGTCCAAAGTCCTGTTTTTAGATGAAAGTAAATTTTACATCTCATTTGATTGGCCAGTAAACTCACCTGACCTAAACCCCATAGAGAATCTATGGGGTATTGTCAAGAGGAAGATGAGAGACACCAGACCCAACAATGCAGACGAGCTGAAGGCCGCTATCAAAGCAACCTGGGCTTCCATAACACCTCAAAAGTGCCACAGGCTGATCACCTCCATGCCACGCCGCATTGATGCAGTAATTCATGCAAAAGGTGCCCAGACCAAGTATTAAGTGCATATACTGTACATACTTTTCAGTAGGCCAACGTTAATGTATTAAAAATCATTTTTAAATTGATCTTATATAATATTCTAATTTTCTGAGATACTGACTTTTGGGTTTTCATTGGCTGTAGGCCATAATCATCAACATTAAAAGAAATAAACGCTCGAAATAGATCACTCTGGGTGTAATGAATCTACATAATATATGAGTCTCACTTTTTCAATTGAATTACTGAAATAAATGAACTTTTCAATGATATTCTAATTTGAGATGCACCTGTACATACATACATAAACACGAGATGAATAGTTCTCAATTTAGCTGCCATGCTTACAATTTCTTCTGTACACACTGACAAGTTCAGTTTAGCTCGCCTTTCATTGGTTGACAGTCTTCCAGGCATGACATTAACACCTCATTTCACACCAGATAACTGGCTACAGGATACTGAAGATACTGAATATTGAACATTTAATATCTGTAATTCACAACCGGGAGGCCCCACCTACACTGGGTGTAAATCAGAGAAGTAAAGATTGTAGTATTGACACCCCACACCACAGGATAATCTGGGAAGATTATTGTTTAAGATCACTCCGATATTGGGAGTCCTTTTGTGACTGCCGGGAGGAGCAAATCAACCTCAAAATCGCCATGATTACCCTGTAGTGTGGGCCAAGCATGAAAGATCTTATGTGCATACCACAGTTGAGCCTGAGCATAGATTTTATACTTCATCTTTATCTACTGCTAAATGAATGACTACATTCTGGTACACATACCGGCGAGCGCCTGGGGGTAGCTCTGTACTCTCTTTCCTGGCTGATCCGGAATCCCAGTGCACCTTCCCGTCTTCGCTGATTTGCAGCTGGCTTGGCTCACTGTAAGGTACTGCCTGTTGATGGTGGTCCAGGACACATTCAAAGTCTGCAGGAATATGATTAAAACATTCAAACTGATTAACATACAGCGTAGGGCCCGCCTAATACACTGGCTGACCGAAAGTGAAGCAGACCCTGATACTGCAAATTTATTTGTGTTGGGGGGAGAAAAGCACCATTTTTAGTGCTTCATGTTGGTTTCATGCTCATATGCCAAGCTTTATAAAAACTACTAAGCTGACAGTGATCACTCGTTCACATCTATTACACCAATACAGGCTGAACTGATTTAACACAAAACACCATCATGGTTAAAATTCAAAATGCATCCAAATCTAACCTTAATCCTAATGATGGCAGTGTAATACAAATGACACATAGATAACAAAAAAGGATAAAAGAAAACCAAGAATTAACAAAAGACAAAAACAAAAGGAATTTTGTGAAGCTATCATGCTGATATTCATATTATTTTAGATTTTGTGAGGTTCTGCTCTTTATTTGAGTTTAAGTAATGTTACAGTTTAAACAGGTCACAACTGACTGTTCTATCAGTCAGTAAAGCACTGTTTAACTAAAACTACTAAAGCCCACAATGTAAAATTACATTGGCAAACATTTTACATTTTAATTTTCATATCGTTTTTTCCCTAATATGTACTGTGCTCCCTATTTTTCTCCAGAAAAGATGCATTATAGCATATACAACTGGTACACTTACAAATGGTAAATTCACATCAGAAGTTATAGCAACAAAGATATATTAGTTCACAAACCACCATTAAAATTCTACTTCCATCAAACTTACCAACAGTGTAGAAGTATGGAGTCAACACTGCAACTCTGGCACAGTTAATTCCCCCAAGCACTTCACCCAGCATTCTATGGATCTGTTGTTGAACTGGACTGACTGAGCTGTTGTCTGCGTGTTTCACAAAGAGAAATTTGCCAAGTTAGTCAAATATTATTAGTCATTGTGCTCACATATTATTAGCTATTATGAAATCACTGGCTTAAACAATAAACAGATCAGCTAATGACAACGTATGGCCTTATAAAACATAAATGACTGCAAAATTACATATGACTATCTTCACTCACATCTCTTCTGGAGCTGCCTGCAGTAGCGCTCATGGAACCAGGGCACCTGGAGCTCAGGACATTCTAGACACACAGCGCGGTTAAGCCCCATCAGACGCAAACGCACCCGCATGTTCAGAGCATCTGGCAGTGCTGTTGGGAGAAATCATACAATAAGATGAGCATATTACACATAATGTTACAACTATTATTAATTATATACTCAGTAACACTTTATTTGAAAGCTACCTACATAGGGACTTCATAGTCCAGGCATAAGCATTGAATAGCATACTTATAAAGAAAACTTTAAATATTTATACATAGCTTATGCCAGTAATTGCAAGATAATGTAAAATGTTTTATAAAGTAAATGGCATTGTACTGGCATAAAAGATCTTAAAATAAAGTTACAGGTTTTTGTTCTGTTTATGAAACATTATTCTCAAGTAATGGAGCTTATAAAGCAGAGACATCAAAAACGTAATGTTTTTAAATTCTAACCGTTTCTACTTGAGTAAAAATACAAAAGTACAACAAAAAGTTTTTCTGCAATTACACAGGTCTCCTAATCGAACTGGGTAATCAAACTAAAAGATAACAGCTATAATAAATCAAAAGAACTTTTACTTTTGATCATTTAAAATCAAGTAATTTTGTACATGTACACATGTAGAAATACAAATAGGCAACTTCTGCTTTACTAAAGTAATATTTTCCCAAGGGTATTTCTACTTTACTCAAGTACAGAGGTTTTGTATGGGAACATGTATTAACATCAATATGGGAAATATGTATGCAAATAATCTCTTACATTTGAGGGCAGCTGTTTAAAAACCTTTTAAGTATTATAAATATGTTATTCGATGTTTATGCATGTGTTGTGAAGTCTATGTAGGTAGCCTTCAAATAAAGTGTTACCATATATTCTTTAGAATTAGCCTGAAATGCTGTTTCTAACTTTCTAATTTGTAAAGATAAAAAAGCCCTTTCCATACAAGATTCATAGTCATCATTACTGTTCAGTACAACAGCACATACTTTCAAGCTGTGCGTCCAGCTTAGCGAGGAAATCCACACTGAATATTTCTCTTATGACTTCCTCTGGAAAAACGTTGGCCACAGCCAAGGCATATGCCATGAGGACCAGCAGGTGAGGATCAAAAGAACCTGGGAGAATTCAAGATAGAACAGATGACTAACTCCAGTTGGATTTGCACCAGAAGAACTCACTTTTGCTGTACATTTGCAGTAACAAAGGAAGAACTTACCGATATGAGGAGTGAAATGCCGAACGCAAGCATCGAATAACTCATCCACCTTTGGAGGGTCGTAATTAAGTACAGCAAAGGGCAGTAAAGTGGCATAGGTTCCAGAGTAATGAATCTAAAAGGGATAAACACATAGAAAAAATGTAAAATATTAACAATCCACTCATGCTTCAGCTTTTTTCAGATTCACTGGAAACTGAGAGATCGAGAACACACCTAAATGTTCATTAATTCCTTGAATATAATCAACTCTGCTACTTTCAAAACACTTCACCTTATGTATGTTGTCTATGACCACACTGGCAATGCGGTCCAGCAGTGGAGTACAGAGGTAGTTGGTTCTGGTCAGGAAAAGGGCCAGGTCAGGTACATTGGTCCAGGATACCTGATCAACCAATCTCTGAAGCATTGCAATAGTTTCCTCAAGCAATATCTCCTCAAACCATTCTCCTGATATGTACTTCAGCTCCTCCAGCACAAGGTCCAGCCGGTCAGCCTTTTGCAGTCGGTCATGTCCACACCGGTTGAGAGTCTGAAGCAGACGGACATACTTGCTGGAAGTGCTGTGGCGGTAGGTGGGGTCATTGCGAATCCATTTGGCGATTGCCATAGTAAACGTATTGAGGTCATTCAGGCTGCACTGAGGAAGCACAGCTTCAACGCGAGAGATGACCACGTCTTCCATACGTGGAGTAGGGAGCATGGAGAGGACGCGAGTAAGCATGGTCACCTCATACGGGTATACACTACCTTGCAAGTAACTAATAGGGAGAGAAAATTCAAGGTTAAAATATGAAGATGATCCTGATCTATTTAAATGAAACAACACAACATTCAAGTAAAACATAATATATGTTTTAAACATACTTTAGGATATTAATAAGTGTTCAAATATTTTACATAAAATCCTGACCACCATAGATTCTTCAAACCCACACCAAGCTGGCTCTAAATATTTTAGCTCTTTTCCAACTACTATCAGACACGTTTCTCAATAATTCACCAACTTCTAAATGTCTCTTATTTTACATGCTTACAGTGGTGTGTAAAAGTTTGGGCTGGTCAAATTATGTTTTGTTGATTTTCTAAGTGAAAGTAATTACACATCCACACCTTTTAGTACAAAAGTTTGTACATTTTAAGGCACAATGAATTTAACTTATTGAAAAAAATAAAACACAATTTATGGAACCTTTTATATATTTTACGTAAACTTTTTTCTAATATGATGAACTAAGAATGCCATATTTAAGTTTGTTCCCCGTAAATGATGTATTAAGCAATTTTAGAAAAACTTAGAAAATCAACAAAACAATATCTGACCAAAACAGGTATCTTCAGGTATACAGAGGTTTATAGACCAAGGAAGAGACTCACCGAAGTAGTATACTCCTCAGCCTGGAGAAGAGCTCGGGGTTCTGATAGTGCAGGAAAATAAGTACCTGAGTGATTTTTGCAATCTCCACTGGCCGATATACATCCAGATTCTTTTGCAATATTGATACAATCCTGTTGAAGGATCACAAATTGCAGAGTAAAATAGGATAAGAACAACACATCTCTGTTATGCTACAGAGGTGATTTTGCTCTAGTTCTGCCACAGAGTTTGGTGATTTCTCAGCTCAAACACACAACTAAACCTGGTAAGTAACAGAGTTCAGACAGGTGTATTTGAAAAGGAACATCACCAAACTGCTGTAGTAGTTTATATGTGCTCTACTCAACAGAGATCACCAAAATGTTTTGTGTCACAGAGACGCAAAGAGTGAGTTTTATGTCTTACTTATTGATAAGCTGAAGATTCCGGGACTGAATATCCTCCAGTGTCTCAACAACAGCTAGTGCCTGCTGGGCATTTAGATCATCAGCCAATGACAGCGCTGTACTTTCTAGCCTGTAAGACCAGCGCACAATTACACAGATATCAAAACACTGACAGATCAGCCTTATTAAAATACTAGCAGCGTTTCTGGGGTTTGTCAGTTAATTTCCCTAGGATATTTTTGTCTCATTTGCAGCTGTGGACTAAATCACTGTTTTAATCATTTTAAAACAAATTTTGAACGATAGTGTATAAGGACTGTCACAGCAGCAAACACACAGCACAATTAATGAAAACTTGTCACCCTAATCAATTTCTTAGTGGTGCTGTTATAACTGTGAATATGCCCTGTATGCACTATTTGCGAATTTACACAAAAATAATATTATAATAAAAAAATAATAATAATATAAAAATACTGTTAAATGCTAAATGAAATATACTAAATGTAGCCTTCTGTAATTCCAAAATTACTGAGGTCAGCACTGCAGTAAAGTGTCAACACTGAGCAGCTAAAACCTCAGGTCTCAGACAGTTCTTCTCACTCTTACCCCTCTCTGGTTGCTTGCCCTGCCAAGGGTCCCAAAGCAGCAAAGAGCTTTGTAAAAGACACAGGGTCAGTGCTAGTATCCATGAGCTCCATCAGCCTCTGTTTAGCAGCCAGCCTAAAGTCACAGTTGTTGTACTGCATTGACTGATACAGTCCCAATATAATACTAATGTTCTCAGCATCTAGATGGGGGACGTTCTGGAGGAGAATATGGTTGCACTTTTCCAGTAACGGTCGATGAGTGTACTTGATGTTTCGGAGGAACTGCACGATCCTTCTGGGGTTGTTGAAATGTAAAGGGTTCATACTGTCCAACAGAGCATCAGCTTTTTCAATGAGTGCATCCCGTAACCGAGGAGACACCAGAGAGGATATACTGGTCATGAGGGTGGTCAGCACTCTGATTAAGATAAAAAAAAGAAAGGTCATTAATTGTTGTCATTAAGAATTTCATTGTACTAATATGACAGAAATGGTTGGACATATACAACTGATACCTGGCATCTTCTATTAAATCCAGTTTCTGACTCACAATCTCGGTAATCTGACCCATCAGTGGACTATAGTACAGAAACTGTTCACTTAAACAAATGGAAAACTTTGATAGTGTTGTCACTGGAAATCTGTAAAACATGACAAACCAGGACTTTATATTCAGAATCAACAGTATGCAATAAAATAAGCATTACCCATATTAAAAATTTAGTCCGGCAAATACCTCTGTAATCTGTTCCAGCCTTCCGTCATCAACTGCTGGACAAGAGAGTCACGTGGTTCAACACTGAGCCTTCAATTTGAGAAATAAATGAGAAAAGGTTTGGCAAGGTCAGATTCATTACCAAGGTGCTTTTTTATGACTAAACATCTGTGTACATGTGCTATAAATGTCCAAGAGATATATAACTCATTGTAAAATTATCTGGGTCACAACAGTTCTGATAGCCAAGACTACAGTATATTGCACATTTGCTTTAGGTAAAGGTGGATTTAATTAATCTTTTCCCTGCAGGACTGGGTTGAAAACCACAGGTCAAAGTCTGAATAACAGATGTACCTGAGCACATTATAAAGCATGTCCACCACTGTAACATCGTCCATCAGATGGATCTTGTTCTCAGCCAAGACTCGAAGTGTCAAAAACTCCGGGTGGCCCCGGATCAGTTCAGTCGTCCGGAGCATCTGTGGTCTCTCCTTCTGAAACTGCCACAGCAGGCCCATGGCACAGCTCACATGACTTACAGACAGGTTGGCCTTGTTCTTGCCCACTACACCAAAGACCTGGTCCTCTGCTGTACAGGCTTGGAGCTGTCCCAGAAGCTGGTCTCTGCATGCAGCCCCATAGTGAAAAACCCTGCGAGGGTAGCAGTGCAGGGCCCGGAGCCTGAACATGACTGGTCAGGAAAGATGCCTAACCCAGGCCATTCAGCAATGTGAACGGAGCTGCTGAAGTCACAGGGGCGGTGATACTGGTGAGGTGATGCACCTAAGTTTTAAGTACAGGAATCACAAGGCCACTTTATAAATCATATGGCATTAACGACGCCATCACATATAGTTGACTAACACTATTCTTAAAAGTAAGAGTGTGCAGAGCCATCTACATGACATTTATCTTAGCTGTCACTGCATCTATAAAGCTAAGTTTGTGAGTGACAAAAAAGATCAAAAATGTTAAACAATACCTTTAACATTTTGCCATTCCGACAGAGCTATGTAAAAACAGCAAACCTTGATGCAGAATGACCTTCTCTGGGTAAGATTCAATGTCTGTTATAAAAGCATGTTTGTCCTGTGCTGTGTTTTAGCTACCCAGCTACTCACGTGGGAAACGTGGTCAGCTAGCCAGCTAACTTATAAACATCTGAAACATTTTCCGGGGTTTTATTATGTACCACCGCTTGCATTTGTTTCCCACCAACAAAAGCACCTGAGGGCTAGCAGCCCCACTGTTGTGAACATCAGGCGCCGACACTTTTAGAAACAGAAACGTTTAGCCCACTGACTGCTAAAGTAACTTAGCATGTTTATTTGACCTCTCGCGAATGGCTTCACGGTGCAATGAACAGCAGCAGAACTCAGAATTTCAAAATAAAAGCTCCTTACTGCGCGCGGTTTTCACTCGGCTTAGGAAGTAGAATGTGCTGTTGCAAAACACTCAAGCAGACTAGTAAACATATTGCATATTACTGTTGAAGTGCATTGTAATTTTTTACAGGAAAACAAATACGATTATTGAGTTTGCTGATTGTATTTTCTGTTTACCAGTAAGGAAACAGGAAAAAGGCAAGGTCAAAAGTCAAAAGGTTAAAGCCAAAAATCTGGGCCCTGTTTCTTAAACACAATAATCACTTGGAAAAGTGTCATTTGCAGAAAATTTGTGATGAAGACTTTGTATTTTAATTTATAGAACTGCCTACCTACATTCTGTGGTGTTGGTCCAGATGCAAATGTAAAGAAATAAACCACAAACATAATGAATGCATATGAATTTAATTAAATTTAAATGTATAAATTTAAACATTAATGAATTAAATTTAATTGTTTACATTATCACTACAAGGATGGCCAATACCTAAACATATTCTACATTTACACTATTATATGTGACACAAAAACTCAAAACAGTGCAATACATATGCAATTATCAGCAAATCTGCAATACCTATAGAGAATATTTGAACAATCAGTTAATTTGAAAGATATGTTCTCTTTATTATTTTGACAATGGTGGCAATAACAGCTAAATGTTATATTGCTCATGACCATCACCAAGTAAATCCCAGCCGTTTCTTGGATTGCTGAATGTCAATGGTCTCATTCAGCTCCTTTATGCCTTGAGTAGTACTGCTTACATAACCAGGCATCTGAACACCCGACTCATCATGAACAAGATAACTTGGCCTAACTCCACCAAATACAGGACCCAATCCTCCACCAATGCCTTCCCTGGCAGCCTTGCGCAGCGGGTAGGTGTTCCTCTGGGCTTCGGTGGCAGTCTGAATCACATGCTTTGCATACTGCTGAAACTGATTCTCTTCCTCTGCGATAAGCGCTGCATTGCTCGCCTCAGACTCCCATTGTTCTTTTTTCATGCGCTTGTCTTGTTCACGTTTCTCAGCCTAGATTGAACAAAGGTGACCAGAAATGCAGTGACAAGTTATGATAAATAATACCACTATAGTGAACTGAAGAAAAGAAAATCCAAACAGTTGACAACAGCTGACCCACCATCTGATGAACATATGTGTCTTGGAGTGATCTGGCATACTCTTTCATTTTCTGTGCCTTGAGTTGTTGCTTTTCAAGAAAAATTTTATCAGCCTCTTTTTTTGCATTTAGCATCTCGACAGCCTTTTGTTTCTCCTCTTGCTCCTTGTGCTCCTGCTCTTGTTGCTAAAAATCATATGATTGGAGGCGGGTTACCACAAGCATAATGTAAATGGGCTTAGCAACAACACTCTGGAGTAACCTAAATCTGCTTTCATCAGAATAGTGATGCTAATGTAATTTCATCATGTCATTTTATTTGGAAAGTGTCAAATACCTGATATGTGTCATTACAACTACTTGTAATGATTTATTTTTCAATTAACAGCTCTAAAAGTGAAGTTTACCACGGCTTCTCTGTGTGCAGCAATGGACTTCAGCATGGCTGCTTTCTTCGCGTCCTTCTCACGCTGATGCTGAGCCCGCTTGGCCTCAGCTTCTGCCACTGCTTTGGAGATCAGATTGTCCTCGTTGGTGGTCTGCTCCTGATGCTGTGCTGACAGCCTCTCAATAATGGCCTCCCTGTGTCTCTGCATCTCTCTGCCACAGACAATTAGAATCAGCAGAATATGTAATGATGCCAAGTTCATTCTCAATTTAAAATAACATACCATTACAGAGTTCTACTGTGTTTTCTAGCATTAAAAAATAGCTACCATGAATAAAAATAAGCATCTGGTTTGTGACAAAGTGGGTGTAAGTGAAAATGGACATGTACTTAGGCTTATACAACACAATAATGTGGCAATGCACCTAAACAGCTCTGCTTCTTTTTCTTTCCTCAGTTTCATCATCTTCTCTTTAGCACTTGCATAAAGCCTTTGCCTATCCTCCTCCTCTTTCTGCTTCTGAGCCTCAATCGCTTGGATTTCATCTCTGTTGGCCAGGTGTTCCTGGCAGAAAGCAAAATATAGATTTGTAATATTTTACTGCATTCTGATGGGTAAGCATCTGTGCAAGAGACAATCTGTGAGACTATGCATTGGAAACAGTGGTCTGGTGAGAAAAGCAAGCAGTATACTTTGCTGCAATACCATACTACTGCCATCATGAACTAAAAGAAGACTGAAAACTCTTTCTACCTGTATAAGACTTACCTGATGGGCTCTCATGATGTTTATTTTTTCCTCTTGCTTCTTCTGCTCATGCATGTATTGCTCCCGAAGATAAAGCTCTCTGAGCCGCTGGAGTTCCTCTGCCTCCTTCTTCTGCTCCATTCTGTCCTGTTCTCTTGCACGTTCATGCTCTTTAATCCTGAAAAAGATGAAGAATTCTGATGTACTGTTACAATACAGAGCAGCTCCTCAAAATGTAAAAAGGAAATATATTGCTGATTTTGATTGTCCATATCTTCTGCTGCCACATACTTTATTCACTATGTTAACAGTTAATAGAAAAACACATCTATGTGAGAGATTATACATTACTGTTGTTTTAAATTCTCAGCTACTGAGAGACACTCTTGCTTCCTCTGCAGGGCTTTCTGGTGCTCCTGCTGTGTAGCTTGCTCTTCTCTGCATGCAATCATGGTCAAGACCTCTTTATCCACATCTTTAGAAGCATTCTGCTTCCTTCTTTTCAGCTCAATCTGGGCCTCCCTCTCCTTCAAAACTTCAGTCAGCAAAAGGGCACTCTGAGGAAAAAAACAGAAAGCAAAAACAGACACTGTATCAATGAACAGGGATGTGAGAACGTGTGATAATCTAAAGATAAGTCAAACACACCCGTAGAAAAGCAATATAACTGAAAAGTTTTGTTATACGAACATGAAATTCTTTCACTCTGTTCGTCTGATAGTATTGGCGGGTCTTTGCCATCTCAATTGCCTCTTTTCTTTTTTGCTCTTGGAACTTTGCTTCCTCAATGTCAATTCGTTTCCTTTCCTCCTCTTCAGCTTCTTCTCTATTTTTCTTAGCCTCCAACTTTTTTTGCCGTTGTCCCTGTAAACGTGTGACATGACTACATTATAAAGGTATTTTCACCAAAGCATGTTGTCGTATGTAAAAGGTTAAACACCACCGGTCATATTACATATTTTGTTGACATTTCTTGATGAAAGTGTGCAGAAGTCTGTTCTCTGTAGAGGATGTGTACTTATTTTCACAAACAAAATAATAAAACGTAATTTTACCGAGGTGCCCAAACTTTTGCATACCACTGTATGTGCTGTGCAAAGTGCAGCAAAATTTGAGTTGAAATGCAAGTAGCTCTAAAAGATTCAAGGACTTAATTCACCACATTTCATTTAACAGAAAATTAACAGATTAAAAGTTACTTACAGCGATGGTATTTGTCCAGTTTTTTACCACCTCCTTGGATCGCAAGTGCAATTCCTCCCTCTGTTTTGCTGCTTCAATCAGACTCTCCTTGTGTTTGTTCACCTGATTCAGACTGTCCTGGAGTCGCAGCCATTCTGATCTGGGCAGCACTGTCACTTGCCGAAGATCTACTGGCTGACTAGGTACAGTTTTCACCTCTGCTGAGGCAACTAATGTTGGATAGAGATACAAGCCATAAGTAAATATTAAAATGGTTTCCAGGGATGTAGTTATTCAGCCAAATCTAGCCGGACAACTTAGCATAGTACTGATTCTTTTTTCTTTAAAATATTCAGTACTGAACAATAAGATTCATATTGCTTCTGCTGAATAAGATATTTAATGTCTTAAGTTTAAAAATTATTGATTGTTTTATTTAATAACAGCTTTCTTAGTGATTTACCCAATTGTATATAGCTAATGGCGTCCCTGTGGAGCACCCATGCCCAGGGTCCCATTAGAGAGCTTTTCGTTTTACTTGAGGACGCGGGCTTGGTTCCTGTGTTTTATCCAGAATGCCACGAAGGGTTTTACTACTTAGTGGCATCCTAAATCATTGTCTAGACATAAACCTCTCAGAAAAGAAGAAGTTAAAGACGTCAGTTAGCGCCGTTACTTAAGACCGACAACGTTGGAAATAAGCTCTTTAACTCACCTTTCCTGCTGGATCCTTTTCTTCGACCATACTGCACAACAGAAGTAGAAACTGTGGACATTTCGGCCGATTATTTTAATTCACTTTCTTTGAAAGCATCTGATGAACGTACTATTTGCTAACTAATATGAATTAGCCTCTAAACGTATAATTTTATCTTCTGTTTCAAACTATCATTAAGTTACACAGAAGGCTAGGACAGCATTTCCCAGCGCACTACTAGTGTTGCCTAGCAACGGCGTTTACTAGTAACACCGTGTTCTATGGCAACCTCGCGAGACCAAGAGCCCTACGTCACGGCAATGTGAAAACAAGACACACAACCACAAGTAAATTATTTCTCTTTTTGTTTTATTCTATTGTTGGTGTCTTTTGATTAATGTTTTCTTATCATATCTGTATATTTGCATTTGACGAAACGAAAAGTAAATGAGTGAATGAAATAAGGAAAATAAAAAAATAAACAATAATGATTAAACTTGTGCTCTGTGTGTTTGTTGCAGAGCAGGAATTAGCACTGATCTGATTTTCTGCAATTGTGCAAATCTATCACAAATCTGACATAAGACTGTTCACCTATGAGATAAATAACAACAGAGCACAACTGATCTTTTTTTTTTCATTTATTTGTTAAAGAAAACTCAACTTTGCTCAACCTACCCTTAGTGTGAAGTGTTTCCTGCGTCCACCCTCTCACCACCATGGTGTAATCTCTTCCACAATCTCAGTAAGGTGTAGTCTGTGCCATTCTTCAACGTTTAATTCCTTCTTATGGTTATTTTTCTTCTGTTGTCTTGTGGTCTTCTTTTTGTTGCCCAAAAACTGTAAACAGCAGATTCATCTGTGGACACTGAGTAGCTTCAAGACTCATGAGGGTCATCATCCAGTGCAAGCTCCAACCTGAAAAGAGAATTCATTCATTTTGTTGCTATGTCACAATTTCAGTTTTTTTTCAACAAACAGATTTCTTTGCAAGCTCACTCAGCCAAGCCCAAGCCTGTTCAGTGTGGCTCAGTGTTGGTTAAAAAAACATGATTGCATGTTTGATCTGGGCAAAAAAAAAAAATCACCATATCATGCGATTAAATCTTGAGTCGGGGGAAGAGCTGAGGGATGGTGTGCTGTCATGTGGTGCTGTTATTGGTCAGGTGCTTGAATGTGTGTCAGAAATTTGTGCAAGATTGTGACTTTCATTAAATCTTAGAGTATTTATTATGGCAAACTCTAAAGATAGTTCAACGTAGCACAATACGTCCTGTGTTTGCCCTGTCCTTTGTATGTTTAGCTCTAACGTTACTTACGTTTAAACTGTGGTTTGCATGGTTGTGTTCTCCCCCTGTGTCTTGTTTATCCAATATAGCTCTGTAAGTCTTTTTGTGTTCCTCTCAGTGTGATTTGTCCTGTAAGTTGAGCAGTTTTCAACATGCCAAAACAAATTCCTGTACATGTACTGACAAATAAGCTGATTTTGATTCTGATGTACACTGAGCAGAGGTGAGCCTAGAGTAGCCTAACTGCATACTGCACAGTCACCTACTCTCTATAACACAGGTTCCACTTGCAATTTCAGCGTTTTTCTGTTCTAACACACCCAAAATGAACACATATACAAATGTGCAGAGTAAGGGGTTAAAGGACCATGTCTGGGAAACTGTCCCTGTATAGGACTGAAGGTGAACTTGGTATCTACCAGCCTGGGAAATGTTTGTTAGGTGGGGTATATTTATAGGTCTGAACAACAGCAGGGCAGTTCAGATAGTGTCGCCAACAAAACAGAAAAAGTTAACTCTAAATAAATTAGTAAGTATAAATGACTAAAACAGAAAAAAGCATCCTTACCTCAGAAAAAAAGAAGTCAAAGTGTTACCATTTGTCTGTACTAAGAACGGTGCAGATCCATTAACATATTACAGGGGAATTCCATCTATTTTTCAAACTTTCTGAATAATTCAATGCTTGAGATGTAAACAGATTCATCCAGTGTGATTTGACATGAAGTGCTTCATTGTAGAGAGTCTTACAGACTCAGATTTCTTTACAGTGGTGGTGATAGGAACCAGGGATCACAATGTATACAGCACAAATACACCCATTTCATCTACTATCCAAAACCACCAGTGAACCTATGTTTCTCTTGTGAGTTTTTATATAGAATGTTGATGATAGTAAAATAATCATAAATCTGAAAAAAAAAAATGTTTTCTTTTGGGGACTATTTTGCCTCACAAGGTCCTGTATGTATCCCTCCACCATGAATGGATTAAAATAAATGGACTCAAACACATTTTAAGACAAAACCTGATCACAAAACTATTATAAAACTATGTGTCAGACATCAGGCAGCATATATCTAACCGTTTCATCTAATAACTTTCTGTGAGGGAGCTTTCAAAGGCATCAAACTCTTCAGACGTCTGGTTCCTATCACTATCACTGTGAACAATTCTGACTCTGTAAGTTTGTTTCCCTTGAACAAAGCATTTCACACCAAACCACTCTGAATGACTTGGTTTACACCTCAACCATTTAGTTATGGGAAAAATCGGTGGAGTTCCCCTTTAAGTTCGTGGAATTGAGTTAAAGAAACTAGTTATGGTTGTGGAATTAGCGGGTATTTCTGGTTTAACGTTGGTCCTGATCCAAGGGGGCGGGGCTTCCACCCAGCCAGGCGCCTCCCGTATCTACGTCCCACCCCAACGTTCATTCAAAGCCAGGCTACGTAAAATCAGTTCACTCATGCCCATCAGCTCTTGCGACCTGCATCCCCGAAGAGGAGAAAAATGGCCCCGGTTTCAATCAGACGCGTTCTTATCAGTGAAAGTGTTGATCCGAGCTGCAAGACGATTCTGCAAGAAAACGGAATTGAAGTGACGGAAAAACAAAATATGAGCAAAGATGAGCTGATTGCTCAGATTAAGGTAACTGACTTCTAACCGATGTTATTTCACAGTCTAGGTTGTCTTTGCTTATGTTATAGCCCGCATTGTTTTTCAGTAATATCCACTGGTAGCGACTTTTTAAACTTTTCCAAGCCAGTTTCATCGTAATTCAAGCTGCTGACTGAGCTGAGCAGAGCAGTGGAGTGCAGTGCAGCGCAGCGCCATTGGCGCCTCCTCAAGAGGCTGATGTAACATCACCGCCGGCTACAGCCACAAAACCTGCTTGTTTACAAATGCAATAACAACGTGTTTACAGCTGGAAACCCAGTCTTTGTCCACGTGCATTTGCATTCGTACTAAAATAACTCGTTAAGGGTTGAAAAAACACACAAAGTTTTTTAAAGTTTGACTTCGACTCGCATATTTGCCTCGTTTGGACAGCAGCTGATGTGACTGCAGCAAGACACGCTGCAGCAGCTCTCTCTCCCCCCATCTCTCTCTCACACACACAGGCAGCCAAATCTGCTGAGAAACGTGCAAATTTGATTGGGAAAAAAACTCAATGTAATCTATTTTTACATATTCGATATAAACTGCCTTATATTTGGTTTGAAATGGTCTGAATGATCAGATTTTAGTTTGTCTTTTTTCGTCAGTTAATGTAAAATTAGGTAGGGACATCATTACTATAGCAAAAAAAAAAAGCGCGGATAAAAAAGCGCGTCCCCAAAGATGGAGTTGGAGCTGCCAGTGTGAATATAACCTACTAGTGATGACCGTGTTTGACCCGGTAAGCTGACCCCTTTGCTCCTCTCTGTCAGGACTACGACGGCCTCATAGTTCGATCGGCGACCAAAGTTACTGCCGACGTCATCGGCGCTGCCAGTAGTCTGAAGGTGATTGGCCGAGCCGGGACCGGAGTGGACAACGTCGACGTGGATGTGGCAACTAAGAAGGGCATAATAGTCATGAAGTAATGAGAACTTCACTCTGTGTGTGCATGTGAGGTGTCCTCTCTGTCTTCAAAGCAGGGCTGGAAAATACTTAAGCAATTACTTTATTACTGTACTTATTAATTTAGAAGATTTGTACTTTGATCAAGTATTGCAGAAATTGAATACTTATACTGTCACTCAGTTACCTTTCCAAGATAAAACCATACTTTTTACTTTTGACATTTTCATTTAGACCCTCAAAGTACAAACTTCAAGTTGAAAAGGATAAAAGACCAGTCAGTTTAACTTAGTACGCGTTTTGTAGAGCGTGGTCAACTCGTGCTTGGCATTAAACTTATTGTTAAACAGTATACATTTCTCAATTAATTATGACTCTTTATGTTAAAACACCTGCTTTTTACTTTTGTATACTTGAATATGTTTAAATGTTGATACTTTTTTACTTTTACTAAAATACATTTTTGGTGCAGTACCTCCAATTTAAATTGAGTAAGGTTTGACCCAGTACTCATACTTTCATTTGCTTCAAAGTTATTGTAGTTGGTGCAATGCAAAAACATCCTGTGTCTGCTAAGCTGTGTCTCCAGGGTTGTTGTTTTATGCAATGAGGTTTCTCATTTTGCCAGATGACTTAAGCCACAGTAAAGAGTCTTCAATAGGAACATATTCACATCTCCTCTTATTGGTGTGGACATTTGTATCATGTTTTCAAACTACCTGGAAAATCCTAATTTGTGATGCTAAATGATCACATTGGGTGCTATAGATAATTCTTCCATACTTTGAAGTGAACTGTTTAAATATTCATTAGTACGTTTATAGTACTGGGCTGTTGGGAGCAGCATGAGCCTTTGCTTTTAGTGGTGAGCCATTTTTTTATGGAAAATGCTATACCCCTACATTGATTTTCTTCATTTCACAGCACTCCAAGTGGCAATACCATCAGTGCTGCTGAACTGACCTGTACACTATTGATGAGTTTATCAAGGTAAGAGAAACCAGATACATCATGCAGTAAGATAGTAAACATTGCAATTTTTAATGAAGGGATTTCTGTTTTTGTTCTGAATGCTTTTTAGTTTCTGAGTCATATAATTTTTGCTAGGTGATGTGTACATACAATGTTCATACTCAGGGCCATAATTTTAGAAGTATTCCTATTTTGTTTTTCTATGTTATCCCAACAACTGTAGCACTTTTTTCTTTCTCTAGACATGTTCCACAAGCTACTATGTCAATGAAAGCAGAAAACTGGGATCGTAAAAAGGTACAGGCTGGAGTGAGCTCTGTATGTGAGGCTGTTTGGTATACAGAGTAATTACGGATGCTTTTGTGTTCTCTGTGCTCATCCAATCATCGCTAATCAGGTCTGATCGCTGGATATATTATGTCATACAGGCTTTTAAGGGAGGTGAATCAGTGTTTTGTTAATGATTTTACAGTTCATGGGTGCAGAGCTGTATGGAAAAACACTTGGAATAGTTGGGCTTGGAAGAATTGGAAAAGAGGTAGCCACCAGAATGCAGTCCTTTGGCATGAGGGTAAGATGAACTCTTGCATGTACTGAACATGTTGCGCAGCGTTTTTTCCAAGAATATTATTTGTTGTCCAAGCATGAGGTGCTGACTTGTCTGATTTACTGCCAGACCATTGGTTATGACCCCATTACCCCTCAAGAAGTATCAGCCAGCTGGGGGGTGGAACAGATGTCTCTGGAGGAGCTTTGGCCCCAGTGTGATTACATCACAGTGCACACACCTCTTATGCCCTCCACTACAGGTGAGTGTGACCCAAATAGAGAGCAGGGCATTAAGCAAGTTAGATAAATGGTATTGTTTTACACTAGCATATCAGCTAAACCTAGTAATTAACTGTTGAGTTGAATCAGTTCTGCCTAACCAGTAAAATCACAAATCTGCAGGAATCAGAACCAAAATTCTCTGTACCCACTTTTCATTAAAGAGTAGGCATATCAGCTTCTTTGCAAAATTCTTTTAAGGCTGAATATCTCACTGCTGTCCTTGGCTTGATTGTTCATAGGATTACTTAACGATGCCTCCTTTGCTAAATGTAAGCGAGGGGTGAAGGTGGTGAACTGTGCCCGTGGAGGTATCATTGATGAAGCTGCTTTACTAAGAGCTCTGGAGTCTGGCCAGTGTGGAGGAGCAGGCCTGGATGTGTTTGTGGAGGTGAGGGAGTTATTCTCCAGTTGTTATTCATCTAACAATCATAATGAAGGCATTGGAAGTGAAACATGTGCACATAATAACTTGCATTCATGCGTAATTCTGCATGTACAGGTACAGAAGTTAAGTCTTTGATAACTGGTAAACAGATGTGAAACAGATGTGTGATGGTGCTTTCCTATAATGCTGGTTTAGGAACCTCCAAGAAACTGGGCCCTGGTGAAGCACCCTAATGTCATCAGCTGCCCTCATTTGGGAGCTAGCACAAAGGAAGCCCAGGCTCGCTGTGGCCAGGACATTGCATTGCAGATTGTGGACATGGTCAAAGGCAAAGCATTAGTGGGCGCTGTGAGTTTTCCCCAGAATTGCAACACAGTTTTAATAACAAAATGCACTTCACATGCATGAATTATTGAAGTAACACAATTAAGTAACTATTAGCCAGGCAATCTTAGTCAAGAACAATTGTATCTCCTCACCAAGAACATTCAGATCAATGTCAGTCTGTTTACACTATAACGATTGTCTGCATATTAAGTTGGCAGATTTTGTTAGGGCTCAAGCCAATGGTTAACTATTTTTGACAAATTTGACTCTTGGAAAAGTGGTTGGACTGATGGTGTAATTTAGTACAAGATTATATAATAGTAGACTACTGTGGTAGGCTACTACATTATAATGAACTAACCTTCACCTTAAATGACGGTCATAAACCTGATTATCTCTACACTTTTGTTCAGGTAAATGCCCAGGTGCTGGCCAGTACCTTTACCCCTGAGTCACAGCAGTGGATCAGGTTAGGTGAGGCCATGGGCAGAGTACTAAAGGCCTGCAGCTCCTCTAAACAACCCTGTGCTCATGTTCACATCACAACCCAAGGTGGCCTTCGTTGTATTCACAGATTACATTAGAGAAAAAAAATCTGTTCAAAATAATTGTACTTGCAGTCTCTTAAGTGGTTGGTCATTGCCCTCTAGTGTTTATAAATGTGTACTACATGCTTGATTTTACTCTGAGAAAATGTGGCCTTGCAGTGTCTTGGTATGATTGGACAAACTGTGTTGAAACATGTTCTAAACAACATGATATTTTTGTTATTTCCATTCAGGAGATTGTTTAAAGAAATCAGTTGGGTTCCTGAGCTCAGCAGCTGTAGTTGGACTGCTGTCTGAAGGATCAGAGAATGGCCCTAACTTGGTGAACGCGCTGCCTCTAGCCGAGGAGACAGGGATTACAGTAAGGATGTGTTGCCTGTTTTTCGCCTTAGACTGTGTTTACAGCTTGTACTCATTAGTTCTGCTCCTGAAGCCTTAATGGTCTCTGAAAAGCCTCAGCTAGTTATAAGGCAACACTAAATTTAGCTTTGTATCTTATCCTACAGCAGTGCCTCTGAACTAAGATATAGTCTTTGGTTTCACCCAACAGATAAAAAAGAGCCACAGTGACGTGAACGAAGCTAATGGGACCTGTATGGTGGAGGTGTCTGTAAATGGCAGCATCTATAAAGCCTTAGGTTCTGTGCAGGCAGAGGTACCAGTCCTGCTGGAGCTGAATGGCAGTGTGTTCCGACAGCCAATCCCTCTCTTTGGAAACCTGCTCTTCTTCAGGGCAGCCGGATCACCACAGCTCCTGCCCTCTGTTGCCAGTGAGTTAATTGTTTGAGAAAACCTGTGCAATTTTTAATGAATGAAATCAAGCTGATAATAAAAATCTTACATGTGTAAAGTGAACTTACAACCAATATCTCACATTTTCAGGCATCTTGGCAGCAGCTGGTGTAGAGATGGACTACTTTAGTGCCTCTACTGCCTCTGAGGGTGACCAGTGGTACTGTATGGGGATACAGTCTCTGCTGGGAGACCTCGGTTCTTTGAAGCCCTTGGTGAAAGAAGCTGCACAACTCACTGTATAAAATCCCTGCTAACTGAAAATCGTTGGGAATTATGTAGCATTCCAGTGCCTAACAGGGTTACATAACATGACTCTAAACTAGCACAAACATATCGTTACTGCACTCTCAAATTTACTGTGAAGAGCCTTAAACACTAGCTTTGGTCTGTATAGTGCTAATATGGTAAATGTAGTATGTGCTAATAAGTGCTAATAAACACCAAAATAAGAAAATAAGGTTTGACTGGGCTACTAAAATGTTATTGTGAAGTAATTCATTACGTAACACAAAAAAATCACATCGTTTAATACTGTGATACTGACATATGAGTTTTTATCCACATTAAGGAAGCCCATTTCCACCATTTTAAATAAAACAAATCGTATGAATTGCTATGCCATTATTTTGAGAGATTTATACATTTTGTGTGTGTGTGTGTGTGTGTGTGTGTGTGTGTGTGTGTGTGTGTATACCCACTGAGCATTTTAAAAGGAATACCTCTTAAAGTGATACCTACTCTTTGGTGGTCCTGTGGGGTTCCTGACCATTGAAGAACAGGGTGAAAGGGGGCTAAGAAAGTATGGAGAAAAACAGATGGACTACAGTCTGCAATTGTAGAACTACTTTGTAGTAATTCTATAGTTGCACGTGTGTGTGTGTGTGTGTGTGTGTGTGTGTATTAATATTAAATTAATGGCATAGCAGTTCACTTAATGGACAAAAAATAACAGGTTGTAGATTTTCTTCGTGAAGTGGCAGAAATGGGTTTCTATAGAGTGATGATGTGAAAACGCAAAAAAACCCTGTCTTTGTACTGTAGAAATGTGAGTTTGATTAAAAGCAGTAATACAATCAGAAACTGTCGCCTTTTTGTTTTTCTCACCGCTTACACTGTTTATTTTTGAAGCGTGCACTCGGTCTCCATGGAAACAGCTGGCGTTGGTTATTTTTGCTCGGTAGTGTGCGCTCTCTGCGCTGCTTCCTAATACCATAATAAGTCAAGCTGTATGTGAACAGGGAATGGCCTCCCAAAACGACAATGAAAATGTGCAGAAATGACCGGACTACCTCCTCGTGTCTGCCTCTCCTCGGTACAGTCTCGCTTTAAAAGCTACATTATGCAATGGTCTTAAGCCTTATTAGGATTACCGTTAGATCCGATTCTGCCATGGCAACAGGGGAGAGCGCTGTATGTGCAGCATTCCTTCATGCAATGATGGGCTGTAAAGTTTCCGACCTGAACTGCTCTCGTTTGCTCCGAGAATGCAGTCCGCTGGAAGCTGACATTATCTATGAGGCTGTGTGGAATCAGCAGCGCCTCTCCAACTATACACAGTTACCAAAATAGGAGGGCAGCACTCGAGCCTGGGGCTAAACTGAGGGGGGGGCCATATGTCTCAACTGTCCCAGACAGAGACACGCCTGAGGAGCCCTGGCCATGAGTCACACCATGCTCTCTTTTTAATAGAAGAACGGCTGCTTCTCTACACCAGGTAAGTTGGGGGTTTGTATATTTATCAGACTTTATTAGTAGTAACGTTAGGCCTTGTGTTACGTGTGGGTCAAAATAACCTGTTTACTTTAAATAATGAACCAGGAGTTTATGTGAATGCATAGAAGGTTAAAAGTAATAATAATAAATTGTATATTTTATGGAATAGGCCCTTCGCCTTCATCAGTGACAATAGCAGAATTGCATCAAAACTCAATAACAGCACTATGATTTATTAACTCATATAACACATATTAACCACAAATGCTGATATTGCAAATAATTGAAATAATGAAAAGGCTTATTAGCTTTAAAAAAAATACATTAAAAAAAAAGCCTTTAAGTATTGTGATACGACGTTTTGCCATATGCCCACCTCTAGTCCTGATAAAGCACATGACAGTACATTCATAGCAAACAGTACACAAGGCTTAAAGGTTCCTGTGCAAAGAAATATGTAAGCGGAGTTAGCTTAACCTTTATTGCTGCCGACTTCCAGATGTAGGCAAAAAAATTGTAAAATTTTATAAAAATCCAATTCTCTTTCTTCTATTTACTCCAAAGGAATCATGTCAGCCAAGGATCATGAACGTTACACATATGAATTCCGTGATGACTCCCATCCATCAGAAATGCTGAACGCTCTTTATGAGTTCTACACTAACGACCTGTTCACTGACATCACTCTCTGCTGCTCTACTGGCCAGATGTTTCACTGTCACAAGGCAGTGCTGTCAGCCTGTAGTGCCTACTTTAAGGTAATGTTCACCTTAGACATGAGGGAACGTTCAAATGGCATCATCAGTCTGCCTAGTGTAGATGGAGATATTCTGAGTGCCTTGGTCAACTATGTCTATACCTCCAAAGTGAGCATCACACAAGCCAATGCGCAAAGCCTTCTTGAGGCAGCCGACCTCCTTCAGTTCAGTTCAGTAAAGAAGGCCTGCGAGGAGTTTTTGATACGGTGTTTGGATGTTGATAACTGTCTCGGAATGCACTCTTTTGCTGAGCTCCATGTCTGTCCCATGCTGGAGCATGAGGCACTGAGAATTATACATGGCAGATTTGAGGAGCTTGTAAATCAAGAAGAGTTTCTGGGACTAGATCTCCAAAAGCTCATCGCAATATTGTCTGCTGAGAACCTCAATGTGTGGAGGGAGGAGACACTATTAGAAGCATCTGTAAAGTGGGTGACCTTTAACATAGATGCTCGAAGAGACTGTGTTCAGGAGCTGTTGCACTGCATTCAGCTTGAGGTGGATGATATGTACCTCAGAACTGCGCTGGAGGTTCACAAAGCATGTAATGACCGTAAACTGAGATCTATCATCATTCAGTCTATGAAATCTGGTGGAAAAGACAAATCTTTAACTTGTAAAAAGCCCTCATCAAACATATATGTCATAGGAGGTTATTACTGGCATCCGCTGTCAGAAATTCACATATGGAATCCCATTTCCAACACGTGGGCCCAAGGGAAAGACCTGCCTGACTATACGAGAGAGAGTTATGGTGTATCACTTCTAGGTTCCAACATCTATGTCACCGGAGGATACAGGACAGAGACTGTGGATGCACTGGACACAGTTTGGATTTATAATGTTGACTCTGATGAGTGGACAGAAGGATACCCTATGATCACTGCCAGATACTACCATTGCTCTGTGCCTTTACATGGATGTATATATGCCATAGGTGGATATAGGGGAGGTGCCCCTGCTCGTGAGACTGAATTCTATGATCCTTTAAAAAAGAAATGGTTCCCAGTGGCAGATATGATACAAGGTAGGAAATATGAAATTAAACTGAAGGTCTACATGGCTCTTTTTTTGGCATTCATTTTGAAGTTATAACAAACTAGAAAAGGCATTTTTGGCTTACATGCAGTTCGTCTGAGGGGCTCTAAAGCCCACATTCATGTTAAAAATCCAAAATCCTGCAGTCATTACTAAGCACTTGGGTAACCCTGTACACTGGCATGCCTCTCAGCTACTCACACAGAGCGAGACGGTGGTCTTTAATTAGAAACAGGGCTAAAAATACAACCTAGGCTTGCGACAGACATGCCTGCTGTGACCAAGTTGGACAGTAAACATAATGTATATGGTAAACAGTATCAGCATTTGAAGATTTATGAATCATGTTTTTTGAAGGTGTCGGAAATGCTACTGCATGTGTGGTGCAAGACAGAATCTATGTGACTGGAGGCCATTATGGGTACAGAGGAAGCTGTACCTATGACAAAATCCAGACTTATAGAGCTGACATCAATGAGTGGAGCATTACAACAATAAGTCCCCATCCAGGTATGGTACTCATACCACTTCACATTTTAAGTACAGGAAGTCATTGGCTGGTTGTTCCTTGATAGTGAGTGTGTAAGCTTTTGTCTAATGAACATGAAGTAAAGCAAGGACAGTATGCTTTTGGTTATAAACTGTTTAATCCTCAGATTTTAGAACAGTCATACATCTTTGAAAAAAAAACTGAACATTTACACAGTTTTCCCTTCACCCCAAATGTAGTTGATTGGCCAAAGCATATTTGGTGTCCACATTTTGCTTATTTTTTCATCGAAGCTATGAGACTAATGTAGTTATGTAATGTATACTAACTAGTAATGAAAGCTCACACCCCACAAATCAGCAATGTGCAAACTGCATGTCCAGTTGTTTACAAATTTGCTAAAATCACAGGGAGTTGTCAAAGGGAATTTTCAAATAATTCTGCAAAGTTCAATCGTTGAGATGTAAACAGTTATTCAGAGTAGTCTGACATGGTGCATTGCAGAGAAACTTACAGACTTTAATTTCTTTGCAGTAGTGGTGATAGGAAGCACAGTTTTTTCATTTGTTGATAATGGTTAAACTGTGGCAAAAAAGTGTTTTGGGGGAACTCTCTTGCCTTACAATGCCCTGCATGTACCTTTCCATCATGAACACACATGAACAAAATGGCCAAAATTTTCTCTAAACTGTCGTAAAACAACGTCTCAGGCATCAGGCACCATATTTATAACCATTTTATGCAATATCTTTCTGTGATGTGGCTTTTAGAGACATTAAATTCTTCAGACACATGGCTCCTTTCACAACCTCCATGAACAATTCTGGCTCAGTAAGTTTCTCCAGATCAGAGCATTTCAAATCAAACCACTCTAATACTTTTTTATATTATAACAATTTAAGCATGCACATTTTTTTTGAAATGGTGACATTCCCCTTAAATAAGACTTGCATATGTGGTTTCCAACACTGTGTTCAATACATAAATATACATATAGACAAAACTACAAACTAATTCAATAGCTGGTGCAATGGTTCAGAGTAACATGTTTTTTTTCCCCTCTCACCTCTCATTATTGTGTGCTTTCAAGTCAATTCGGAGACCTGGCAATAATATGGATAGTGTTTCTCCAGAATATCCTGACTTTGGTTTGGGACTGTTGCCTTCTTAATGGCTTGTTCACGATTCCTCTGGTTGTCTCCATCCATCTTGTTGCTGGCTGCCCTCTTTTTCTTCAACCATTCCAGGCATAATTGTCTTTTCCAATTAATGGGTTCTTCTCAAATAAGATTCAGTCCAAAATAAGATTCAGTTTGGTTATCTGGGCTTTTAGTAAGAGGTGAGGCTTGATTTGGTCAGGGATCAATTTGTTTGTTTTCTTTGCCATCCAAGGTTCTTTCAGAGGTCTTTGCCAGCATTAAAGTTTACACACATCAGTATTTTTCTTTTCACATTTTTTTTTCTGCAGCTTTCACAAGTACCACAAAAAAAGACCATAGCCTGGATATTATTCTGATCTTTGGTTGAAGAGACACATCATTACTTTTGAAGATCTTTTCCAACTCCTTCATCCTTGTTCTGCAGATTGCAAACCTGTGTCATATTTTTTTAATTGCTGCATCCTTTGCAGTTAATAATTGATCTAAGGTCCAGCACTTTTCCATCTTTACCATCAATGGTAACATTAGGCATACTTTCTGTTGTCATAGCTTCCTTTATTATAGATAACAGTATGTCACATGTTAGAAACCACATAAGCAATATTTTAGATTAGGTGACAACAGGGTTTGAGACAAATGTCTGATGATGCAGTCTGCACAATAATTGGTAGTAATACGTTTTCATAACTTTTTAGCTACATTAGTCTCATAGCTTCACTGCAAAACTAAACAAGCAAACTTCCTAGGTCTTTGCTGATCGCCCACATTTGTTTTAAGGGAAATATAATTTAAAATAGATTTTACCAATAAATACTACTTTAAAGAAGTGAAAAAAACAATGTAACCAAAGTAACCCTTTTACCCTTTGCAGAGTATGGGCTTTGCTCAGTGTCACTGAACAACAAGCTCTATTTGGTCGGCGGTCAGACCACCATCACAGACTGCTATGATCCAGACAGGGACGAATGGAGGCAGCTGACTGTAATGAAGGAGAGAAGGATGGAGTGTGGAGCTACAGTAATAAACGGGTGCATCTATGTGACAGGCGGCTATTCCTACTCAAAGGGCACCTACTTGCAGAGCATAGAGAGGTATGACCCTGAGTTGGACTGCTGGGAAATAGTAGGCAACTTACCTACTGCAACCCGCTCACACGGCTGTGTTTGTGTGTTCAGTGTGTAGAATATATACACTATATCGCCAAGAGTATGAGGACACCTAAACATCTCACCTATATGAGCTTGTTGGACATCCCATTCCAAAAATAATTGGGGTCAATATGGCCTCCCCTTTGCAGCTATAACAGCATCCGCTCAGAAAGAAGCTGTTTTGGAGTGTGTCTATTGGAATTTGTGCCCATTCAGTCAAAAGAGCATTTGTGACACTGACACTGATGTGGGACAAGGCCTGGCTCGCAATTCAAGTTCCAGTTCATCCCCAAGGTGTTTAGTGGGTGTTGAGGTCAGGGCTCTGTGCAGGCCACTGGAGTTCCTTCACACCAAACTTGACAAACCATACCTCTATGGAGCTCGTTTTGTGCATAGGGGCACAGTAATGCTAGAACAGGAAAGGGACTTCCCCAAACTGTTGCCACAAAGTTAAAAGCATATAATTGTATAAAATGTCTTTGTATGCTGTAGCATTGGCATTACCCTTCACTGGAACTAAGCAGCCGAGTCCAAACCCTGCAAAACAGCCCCAGACCATTTCCTTTCCTCCACCAAACTTTACTGTTGGCACTATGTATTCCAGTAGGTAACGTTCTCCTGGCATCCACCAAACCCAGATTCATCTGTCAGACTGCCAGACAGTGAAGCATGATTCATCACTCCAGAGAACGTTTCTACAGTTCCAGAGTCCAGTGGTGGTGTGCTTTACACCACTCCAGCCAATGCTTGGCGTTGTGCATTTTGATCTTTGGTTTGTGTGCAGCTGATCTGCCATGGCAACCCATTTTATGAAGCTACCGACATGAAGTTCTTTTGCTGATGTTGCTTCCAGAAACAATTTGGAACTCTGGTGTGTGATAAAATAGAGGACAGGAGCTACACGCTTCAGCACTCAACAGCCCCGCTGCAGTGAGTTTTGTGGTCTGCCGCTTTGTGGTCAATGCTTCCACGTAAACATGTAATTCCAAATAATAATGTCAAGATTATCACACTGTGACTGTGATATAAACATGTTTCCACATACAGTGCCCCGCTTAACAAAGCAGTCAAAAAAGCTCCACAAACTCCTTATTAATATCCTTAATTTCAGAAATGTTGTTGAATGAGCAGGTGTCTCCAAACTTTTGGACATGCAGTGTATCACAGGTTTCTTCACTATTGCAGTCTGAGATTTTTGTATGTGTTATTGTTTGTAGAATCTTTATACATTTGACAAAACTTTTAGAAACCACAAGTATTATGATGATGAGTCAGTGATGTATGTAATGACTCCTAACAATGAATAACGTTTTTTCAAACTTCAACATAAATCCTCTCCTGCACTTTTGCACTCCTAATGTTTATTCAAAATGAGATAGGGGCAAAATCACTGTAACCTGGAAATTCCGGACCTGTGAATTATGAAGACATTTATAGAGAGGTTTACAAAAACAGATCAAGTTAAAAGTATTAAACCTCTTGGAAACCACTAAGCTGTTTTTAGCAGTATTTTACTGTGATGACCAATGTGCCAAAGTGTATTGAGACTGACTACATAACCATTTTTCACCTCATGTGTTTTGTTGAGACTGTACTGTGTGGTATTCACTATAGATACAGAAAACCATTTTAAGTGATTTTTAATTCTATTTTTGCATTGTATTTATATTGTTGACAAAGTGTTCAGGATGTAAAGTGTTGATATAAATAAAATGTTAACATTAAATCTATTACACTGTTTTTCTGTGCTTTAGTATGTAATGTTATTGTTCTTAATTAAAACACCATCCTTATTATTACATCATCTATAGGGGATGTTTTTTAGCCTGAAGATACAAATGTAAAATTTCAAATTTTGTCTAGGTGCAACATCCCCATCTAGAGGAAGACAAAAGAAATTGCACGAGACTGGTTCCTTTATTTTTTATAATCCTGGCTCTCTCTACTTTACACAATCAGAAAATATAGTTGATAGTTGATAGCTGAGCCTTGGAATAACACTGTAGACTTGACTCCCTCTTACCCTCTTCATAATGTAATAAAACTGAATATAATGATACGAGTACTGTAGCTGCAATTAACTTTAAATTGTCTTTAAATTTTAAGAAGAAAAAAGTGATTTTTTGTACTTCAGTTAAGTTACTAAAATTTATTTTCAAATACATCCACTGTAGTGTTAAAAAAAAAAGTTTCAAAGTACAAAGAAGTTCAGAAAATACAGAAAATTGATCTTCCAAGCTTCACGTAGGGGTAAATCGAATGAAGTCCACTTGGATATCAACCTAGAGTTTTCAAATTGAAAGGCTCAGATTAATAAATTATACAGACTTTCATTCATTTTTTAATTTATATTATTAAGAATTGTTCATTTTAATTAATATTATTTATTGTACCTTTTTGGCATCACACTTTTTGTAAAGCCATTTCAAATAACTGCAGTGTTTAAAAGTCAGCGAGAGTCAATATTTACTCATTCTTACCGACTTCTTTTTGTGGAACTTATAGGATGCTGGGAGGTCATACCTAAGCTCTATGAATAGAGAGACAAACATTGTTATTACAAAACGCACAACATTGTTATTTTATCATGTTATGAGGAAATAAATGATCAGCATAGCATTAAAACCACTACACTCTTAAAAATAAAGGTCCTTCAGTGTTTCTTGGCTCAGATGTATGGTCATTGAAAAATATTTAACTGGCACAGAACCTTTAATTTAAACTTTAAAAGGTTCTTCACACTCGCATCTTTAAAAAACTGCTTTTGTTACTATTAATTGAAAGGTAATTCAGGAACCAATCATTCTTCTACGGGTTTGCTCCAAAGAACCCTTTTGGGCACCTTTATATTAAAGAGTGAAGACTATTACATCTGACTTAAAACTCCCATTTGCTGGTGTACCTGCAAGTAAGACAGTAAGACAGTACCTGCAATAACTTCCATTTTCACTTTCCAGTCTTTTGCCTTCTTCTGTATGTGCTGTAGAAAAGCAAAGCATATTTCTAAAACTGTAGCTTTAGAAGATGCTGTCCCTCTAACAAGAATAAAGACACCACTTACATCTCGTGTAGAAGTCTTGTGAAGGGAGTATACTGCTTTGCTAGCCATCGAAATCGCTGTCTTTAAAAACTGCATATCTATACCTTCAAATAAAAGAACACTGCATGTTAGAGCTGGATACTATGATGATGTAATGACTTGACAGTTTTTGCTTTATCTTTGAGATACCTGATGAAAACTTCCAGCATTCTCTCACCTTGATTGTGTTTTGTGCCAAACGGAGGGTTCATAATGACTGTGTCAAATTTCTTTGCAAATGATGATCCAATGGAGCAGATGTCACTCTGGACCATGTCGATATTTGGTAGTTCAAATTCTTCCACATTTCGTTTGAAAATGTCTAGTGCATCACTGTCAATATCAAATCCCACACAAAATCTGTTTGGGAGAAAAACAAATAACATCATCATTGCAGTGACTTATACTGTGGTACTTACTACATTTCTACTGTCAATGAAAGAAGACACAAAGATCGGTGATTCTAGTTTTTTTTTTACCCTGCATCCAAGACTGCGGCTCCAATACTAAGTACTCCACATCCACATCCCAAGTCAGCAACTAGTTTATTCTCAATGTCATCAAATGTGTTGTGGATGGTGTACAGCATACAGCCTGTGATGAACAAAAATGCAGTAAAGCCTGATCACGCTCTGCATACATATTTTACATGAATTTATGAAATCAGATAACATGACAGTCAGTAACTAAGTTTCCACTGTCTGCACAAATTGTGAGCAATAAAATGAATATGCATGGTGTTTTTTTTTTGCTGCTCAAGAGAATCAAACGTCCATCATACTGACTTGTAGCGATTAAAACACTACATAATCAGACCATATTAAAGAAAAACACAGTTGTATGAGTTTTGATTTAGTGACAAAAAAGTCTGTCATGTTTCCATCTTTGATTTCATGTATGACACAACTTGTTTACTTTTGGCTTCCCTGACTTCCCCATAACGTGCTGAGGAAATTGTATGTATTTTTTATTATTATTATTATTCCATCAGAACTTACTGACTGACTTATAGAGCTATATGAGAACTTTCCATTTCCAGTGTAGGTTACAAAATATTACACATAATAGTTTCCTTGGCGTACATGGGCAAACATTTTGAAGCACGGCAAAGTAAAAAAAAAACATCATCTGGATTGCAAAGTAGCTCCTGATGAGATAATATTTAAAATGTACCACTAATTTTACTTAATTTAAATTTCCAGTAATTGTTAATAACCAAACAGACTACAAAGTGATAGTTACCTGCTATATGGGGGCTGGTGGGATACTGTTCCAGGAGGATTTTTGGCTCCTCAAATCCATCTACTTGCTGAAGGCAACTCTCCAGTTCTTTCAGTTTCATAGTTACAGTATATTAGAGTTGAGATGTCTTCCAGTAGCTGTCAGGATGTTTTGCACAGAATGCAACAAGACTGATGTGTCAGCACTGGCAGGACAATGACTGACCTGACAAATCAGCGCTTACTTCCCAGGCTATGTACTAGTGCTCGCTTTCAGCGATGTTTTAATAACTCTGCAAACAAAAATGTGAGTATTATGTTACTGTTTGTTAATGAAAAACTCTCAGCTCAAACACACACATAATTTGCATCACTGTCAAAGTCAGAATGAAACAAAATGGTATGCTTACAAAAAGAATTGTTCAATCATTTAGAAGAGAAAGAGTGGAGAGCAGCCAGTGGAGTGTCATACACAGTCAGCACTAACTAGCTATCTATATCTTTTCTGTGTCGCCTCTTTATGAACAGACTGACGCAGCTTCCCGTCTTCAGTCGTGTAGTACCTTTACCTTTACAGTCTCACGCTCTCCTGCTGGTTCAGCTGAAGAAGGAATCGACATGATGTGATGATGTGACTGAGGCATAAGGTAAACAAAAAACTATATCAGCTATTCCCAATATTGGTTCTGATTCTGGAGGTTCTGGAGCACCACTGTCCTGCCTTACATATTTTGGGGTTTTCCCTACTGTAACAGATCCGGACTACAAGACTGGAGTTGGAAACACTATTAAAACGTTTATGAAGTTTAAATCTTGCCTACAAGTCAACACTAACAGCTCAGAGCCTTTATAGCAGCAGCACAGTCCTCTGAGCTAATTTACATTAAAACATTCAAGTTAGCTTAAATCTCTCTCTCCAAATGAGCTGCAGTCTCGTCAGCGTGTTTACTTGAAATGAAGGACACTGAATGCTGCAGAGGGGTTGATGTAGCTACGTGTTAGCGCTGTTTTCTTTACCACGAACGGTGCAGAAACGGAACGTATGTTTTCAAGCACTTACATGAATTTACCGTGTGTTGACGCACAGCCATGTGCCACCATATTTTGTTTCGCTACATTCCCTTTCCGGATTAGTCCCGTTGTGCGATGCTTCAAAATAAGAGTCCTTAATCCTTAAAATATATTAAGAGTCCTTAGTCCTTAAAATATAATGTGTTAGTGTGAGTAATAGCAGTAACGCAAATCTAACTTTTCAATCATTCATTTTACCAAATAAATGAATAGATAGATAGATAGATAGATAGATAGATAAGCAAGCTTAGGTTTAAATTACAATTTTGACAGCTTTCTTTCTTTTCTTGTGAAATGTGTGCTTCTAAAGTAAGGCACAGTGCCCAATTATACTCCCAAAAGCTACCACAGTGCATAAAACTGCGTACAGTTTTTGGCTCAAAACAGTTTAGCAGTTCAGCATTATATGCCCTTAGGTTATTGTGCGAATTATGAAAACATTCACAGACCACATCACTGCCCACGACATTCAAGTGAGTGCAAAGGAGTTCAACAGTTCCAAATTTCTGTCTGAAAATATTGCTGCGCATAAGAAGTTCTAAAAGCAATTTTTGTTGTTTATTCTCTATAGAAGCTAATTTGAAGTAATAATAATAATAATAATAATAATAATAAAACTTGTAGAAATATACATGTTTTTAATATTTTGCCAGAGACCAACAATGTAATGCATAATGTTTTTGAATCACAGTCTGTTGTGTCACATATTTAAGTGTTTAAGTGTTTCATATGGTTTAATAATGAAAAAAGGGGTTGGGGGCATTCTTGCTGAATTGGTGTATCTATATATTAGCATTTCCTCTATGACTCCTGTACTCTTTTTTCCTTTCTTTGCCCATCTGAAGGCAGTCTCATCATTGCTCCTGTTTTTCTGTGCTTGTTCATGAAGGGGCAGTGGAGACCACAAACAACATCAGAACATGTGAATGAAGAGTTGGCCGGTCCGCTCCAGCAGCTTTAACGGCCCAGCGAGCCCGTTTTATTTTCTATTATGTGGGTGTAGAAGGGGTTGTTCTTTTAATGTATGCAATTTAAGTGTAGGGTGGAGCAGTATTTAGTAAGGAAGCATTTTATAGCTTAAAATGGTTAAGGAGATTGAGTGCGAGCGATGGGGAGATGTGGTCAGGGCTGCTGCGGTAAGGAAACCTAAAGCCTGCCGTCTGACCAGCACCACAGTAACAGCATAGTTCCCATTCTTCCTCCAAACCTCAGACTAGCCACGCCAATTCTTCTCACTGAGTGCTTAAATCCTCCCCTTCTCCTGCCTCGGGATGAATGGAGGCCGGAGGAGTACATACAGTCAGTGTGTGTGAACAGTTGTAACTGTGGAATGTAATTCATCATAATGTTTTTTTCCTCTTTTTTTGTGGTAAGCTTGTGATCTTGTTTTTTTCCCCCTGTGGGAAAGCTGTGTTTACATGAATGGCTAAGTGCTGAGGAGAAGTATGGTATTTGTTAGTCAAACCTAACATTCATTGTCAAGAGTTTACTTACTCACACATTCAGGCACGCTCACACATACAGAGGTTAGTGTAATGGATGGATGGATGGAAGGAAGGAAAGGTGGACAGATGGATGCAAACAGATGGATGCAGATGTTCAGCCAGAGTAAAAGTTTCTGAATGAGCAAACCAGTGTTGTGTTTGTAATATCAATCATGATTAACAGGGGGCAGCATAAGTCAACAATAGGACTTAAAGCCAAAGCAGTGGCCCTGCGTCCACTCTCCTGACTGTGTGCTGTTCCCAGACGGGCTCCTTTGGCCTCTGCAGCTTGATGTTTTTCCTGGCGCACAGTGCCAGGCCAGTGGCAGCCATGATGAGGAAATGATAATGGACAGTGGTTAGCGCGGCACTAGCTGTCAGACTCGTTTAGAGAAATGTCATTCCCCTTCTGGCCGCCAGCTGCTGGTTTCAACTGTTTCTGCTGAAAAGCATCCGTCCGCTTCGAGGGTGTACTGGAGTTTCTTGTTTTGGTGTGTTTTTGTGTCCTCTGATGAGGTTAATAGTCAGATAAATTACTGTGCAGATCATGGGCTGTAACAGCATATATACCAATACAAAAGAAGGACACCTCTGGAGACCTTCATCCAGTGAATGTGAAGTTCCTCTTGGGGTTTACCACTCAGTTTACCTTATCCATCATCCCTGAGAAGATCTGTGCTTCTGAATTCAAAAAAGACAGGGCGAGGGAGAGCAAGAGGGAGAGAGAGAAAAAGAAAGAGATGTGTGAATGAGTGGTGGAGTCCGAGCGCCAGGGTGACGCAGTCGGCCGCAAGAGAGGGCTTATAAAATGTGAATCATCTTGCACCCTGTTTTTAGCCAAACCATGAAAATGCTGGAATGAGAGGGCACTTAATTTAGACTCCTCTTTTTTAACTTCCCTGTGGCTGGTAATTCATGCATGGAAGCAAGCAGACCGGATTTTGGGGTAGAAGGCAGCGAGAAACGTTGGGCCAGGGGAGGCGGCACCTTCTCCAGCACCCAACTCTGGAGCCCATTAGTGAACCCACCAAGCTGCCCTCCTCAATCAACTGGCACCAGGCAGGAGAGGAGATAAGAGAGGAGAGTAGACGAGAGAAATGAGTGGACTTCATAAAAAGTATGAAAGCGTTAAGAGTGAGAGACATTAGGCTTGGAAGCAAACTGCCATTCTCTTCTCTTCTCTTCTCTTCTCTTCTCTTCTCTTCTCCTTTTGGACTATTATGGACTAGTAAGTAGAAACAGTTAGATTTAAACATTTTTCTTATCTCCAAATTGTTCCAGAGATGCTTCTCAAAATCATTGTAAATATGAAGAGTTCTGTTCCAAAATGCTGTATATCTGTTACAATTACAGATATAATAAGCTTTGAAAAGAATAATAGCGGACATTTAATGGAAAACACATTTTTATTTCTTTATTAAAAGCAGTATTAATTAAAATATAGCACTAATATTTCTTATACCTGAAAAGCTCATTATCATCAGCTAATTTCACATTTAAAAAGAAAACTCTTGAAAGTGGTCTATAATGAATTTTATAAAGACCTTTCATATGCTGTTAGCACACTTCCTCTGTTAAATAAAGTTTCTATTTCAGAAGTCTAATGTTCCTTGTTTAAGCACAGTTGAAAAGCAGTTATACAAATGAAATCACTATTGCTGTGATATCATCGTGTTCTGTCCAGTTTGCTAGAGAAAGGTCTTTTAGCGAACTGAGCTTACTCTTCTAAAACAAGAGTGCACTGTTATATAATTCATGAGATAAACATTATCTAAGTTCATTGTGGCCCGTGTCCTCTCCTGCGTAAAACTGGAACTGTAGGCTTTTTTTCTTCACTGCTTTTCTTTATTTAGAGCTGTCTATTATAGCTAGTATACAGTTTGTTGTCATAATATCTGGAATAAAAACTGTTAAACTTCATTTAGTTTCTCAGAATTTGTCTAAGATTCTCCCTTTCAGATAAGAAAGTGCCTGCAGTGCCTCTTTAACATCTGTTAACAGATTGATTGGCTTCCAGAAGCTCTATTTATTAGGCCTAAAATACTTGAAAAAGGTTTTAGAACGTCCAAGCATAATCCAAAACTGTGCCTTTTTTCACATTATGTTTGTATTGCAAGTAGCCAATAGGATAAATCAAACTTATTTCGTTCTTGGACGTTCTTGAAACCTAAACCAGAAATCCACCACTATTACCTTAGCTCAGAAGAACCCTAAAGAGCTGTTAAAAAGGTAATGGCCATGCAATCTGATTGTTGTGGGTTAAAGTCCTGGGAAGACCAGCAAGACCTTTGGTCCTTGTGAAAAACAGCAATTACAATATTATTGCCCCTTAGCAATAGCCTCAGACAAGACCTTCAGAGAGGCAGGAGTTACAAAAAGGCCATGTGGGAAAATAAATACTTTTTTGCATCAGTGTTTGTAAAAACTCTTGAAGATACTTTAAAAATGTAAGTACAAAAATTCACCTGTTTCTGAAAGTAAACCCTCCTGACAGAAACCGAATGAACTAGGAGAAGTTACTATTTACATTTAACTTATAAGGCTATGTTGTTAAAAAGGGTAGGTGAGGTGAGTTTGTTTCAAACTGCTAAACTAGAATTTAACATTAATTGATTATTAAGTGCATAATGAGTTTACAGACAGTGAAGGTATTGATGTCCCATCGTGGTCTAGAACCCACTAAGCAAGCAGTCATGAACAGATTGCAGCCTATTCTATGAATGCCAGTTAATCTAGTCAAGGCTAATATACATTCCTATGAATGGGCTACATATGTCAATGTTTTGCCAAAAATCAAGTGCAGGATGCCTTTCAGAGTGCATAATGAGTTGAGAGTGTGAGTTGAGGTGAGCTGAAGGGTTTGGTTTTGAAACAGCTGTGGACTGACAGTTCCTAAAGCACCTACATTATCCACTGGCGTTACCGCACAGTAATATAGATACTGTTACAGTGAGCTACGTTCTGTGTGCGCACTCACTTTACTCGCTTTCCAATGGGAAGCTTGTTGACAAATTAAGACGTGTCATTTCAGTTTAAAGTGCGCTGCATGGATTGCAGCAAGCATTCCTTGAGCACATAGCAACACACATACACAGAGTCTCAGCATATAATAAGCACTGTCCCGACTATGCGGTTTGTCTTTCCCCATGTGCAATCGTGGAGAAGCCACTTGAAAAGGCCTCGGTATTAAAGGACAAGTCTTGGTTGGGAGGGATTTTGTCATGCAACAAGAGTGTGTTTTTCACTTTTTTCTCCACTTTTTGGAGCAATTCAGCCTCTTGTGCATTAGGCAGGCAAACCGCACTTTTCTGCCTCTTCAAAGACCCTCACCACCGGAAGAGCTTTTTTACTGCCCAGTGCTTTCAATTAAGGGTTAATGAAGTATAGCTGTTTAGCTGCTGGCAAACACCTCTTTTTCTGTATGGCTACACACTGATCAATGACATTGAATCAGACATTGCTTTATTATCATTGTAAAAGAGGCTCATATGAAGGGAAAACATGAATAAGTAAACTGTTCTTCAGATTTGCGCCCCTTCTTCTTTTTCATCAGGTGAATTTGTACCAAACTTTAGACTATTTCT